CTGACACGACTTAATCTTTTTGCTGATTGTAAGCATTCTTTTAATCAACTTTACCTGTTTATAATCATTTCAATCAAGCAGGGATCTAGGATTTTCTTGAGGGGGCGGATTTTCAAATCATTTTTGAAGTTTTGACGCCTTTTTTTTTAAGTCGACCAAATTGGTTTTCCGAGCTCTCCCAAAGCACTAAAAAGTCCTTGTTTTTGCCAAGTTTTCAGCGACGCAGGTTAAACTTTAAAAAAACAGGCCAAAAAGGCGTTTTTGGGCAACTTTAGGAAAAATTTTAACGAAAAATTGCGTTTTTTTCGGCGCGCGCTCCCCCCTTAAAATAAGTATATATTGGCGCCAAAGGCGCCTTTGGAAAAGTTTTAAGGTCGGTCAGCCAAAAATGGATATCTGAAAATAGTTCAAAGGGGAGACCCTTTGGGTCGGCAGGGGATCGAATCCTTGGGGAAAGAGCGTCCGAACCCGCCCAAAAAATCAACGGCCAATTTACTCAACACTGATTAATTTTAGTGTTTTCATTGCTGCTCAAAAACACGACTGGAAGAGTTTAATTATCAGTATTCACTCTAACTTATCTGCCATTTGCTTTTAGATCTTTTTTTGCTATTAAATAATTAGCCCAAAGACAAAAATATGCGATCATTTTTGATGATCGCCATGAAAAGTAAGAACAATACAATCAAAACTTTCGCGTTTCACGATAAGAAGGTAAGTAAGTATATGTATTTCACTTTTAATGTCAATTGTTTGTTTTTCCAACGTAAAATAAATACAATTATTAACCTTTTCAAATTGTGAAGTTGGAATAGATGCCTTCGGAACCTCAGACAAGGAGTTTTCTCTAAGACAAAGCAGAATTTCCATCCCTTTCCGGGAACAATCATTTCTGTTTTTCTAATATACTGATTTTCTATAGCATGACACACCAATTTAGTTTCATTCTAAGCAGTGGGCACATCAAAATATCATAGCCGACGTATTTCCATACGTCTTAAGGAAGTCAGGGTAACTTAAAAAACAAACTTGATATAATTTTTCTTTATATCAAGTTTTCGAGAAATTCAGCTTAAAAGTCATTGTCATATAGCATTAAGTACATAATAATATCAAAAGTAAATGACGCCAGGTCCCCTAAAGGCTGAAATGTAACAAACGATAAAATTTGAACAAATTTAACAAACAATTAGTTCGTCTTGAAGCTCTTAGAATTTCTCAATTTTTTCAATTGATTATTTTTCGGATAAACATTACCCAGATTGAAAATTTCGGGCTAATGTTATTTAATGATTTTACTCAGGAATTTTGGTTTTATATAAGTTGCATATGTTAGCTCAATTATAAAAGGCAATATCAAAAAATAGTAAGGATAGCCGGTTTCTGTGCAAGTAGCACAGAATGTTCCCACCATATTGTTACAAAACTACAAACAATGATAGCCTACAATTTTGATATTAAAAGTAAATTAGGTTCATTCAAAAGCAGCAAATAAAAATTAAAAACAAATCAAAAACTTTTTCGAAAACTTTTTCAAACTTTTTTTCAGAATTTTTTTGTTCTTACAATCAACAAGAAGGAGTTTTCGATAACTTATTTTAAATTAGAAAAACTTTGTAATAGTTAGTTTCCTAATTTAAGTTTAAACTAACAATTATAAAATTGTTACAAATTAGACGTTAGAACTTTTTTCGCTGGAAATTAGACAGGTTTTCAAACCTGTTTTTCTCAGCACTGGGAACAATTTTTGGAAATTTTTCAATGTCGTTCAATTTACGACTGAAATAAGTTATATAAAATATAACACTCGACTTGTTCAAATGAATATTTGTGGTGCTTGATTTTGTGTGGAAAAAACTGAAACACTCCCAAATACAAAGTCCCCCCCCCCCCCCATTTCCAATGGTCGGAACAAAAAGAACCTCCCGTTGCCGTATCACAATGTTGTTAGCACGAAAAATGTTATAAGCATATACAAAACAAGGCAAGGATAGCCTTTCTTTTTCCAGTACCTTGTTGTCATTTTTTGCGCGCGAGGTGATGAGAACGCCTACAAAATTAGTGAATTACACATAATTGATAACGTTTGTTTTCAAAAACAAATAACAAACAAAAAAACAAATAAAAAATGTATAACAACTTTAATTGCTAAATGAGCGCAAAAACGAGTTTTCTTGAAGGTATATTCAAGTTTTCTCAGGCTATATAAACAGTTTTTCTATAACGAACCTTACTCAATTGCTGTACTTGCTCAAAATTTCAAAAAAACTCTTCTAAAAAACTTCAAAGTTTGGCAATGCGACAAATAGAGGCCAGCTAAAGCCGGAAACACTTGTTTGATAGTTTTTAAATTTTTGTACTGATGCGGAAGGACAAGGGTAATTTCAAAAGTAGACCTATAGCAGAGAAAAGTAAATCCGAATTTAATGACTTCAAAATCTGTTATTTTCATCAATTACTTCAGTTATTTTAAATATTGGAATGATTACAAGAGCTTTTTAGGTTGAAGGATGCTTAAAGTGTTGCTCATTAGATTTGGGTGGGTAGTTTTCGAGAATAGCTAAAAAGTCAAAATCGGTTTAAAAAAGTCGAAATTTTTACATTTCCGAGGGTCATAACTTTTTGGGTAAAAAAACAGGGCGTAATAGCTTCTGCAGAGGAACTCTCACAACTCTTCCTTCCGATTGAAACTAAAATCTCAAATTTTCTAAAAGTTTCAAAAAGAAGTCAAAACATTGATAATTGCACTTTTATGATGATCCTCATAAAAGTCAAATTATCAGTGTTTTGACTTTTTTTGAAACTTTTAATTTTTGTGTATGCATAAGAGTTTCTAATAAACCGTCCTTTTGATTGAAACTAAAGTCTCAGAATTGGGAGGTAGGTTTTGAGAAAAGTCAAAAAAGTTTGAAAAAACGGTCAAAAAATCGTGAAATTGAATTTTCCGAGGGTCATAACTGTTTGTGTAAAAGAATAGGGCGTAATCGCTTCTGCAGAGGAGCTCTCACAACAAGTCCTTTCGATTGAAACTAAAATCTCAGAAGATTAGAAGATTTCAAAAAACGGTCGAAAAGTCGAAAATTTTTCATTTCCGAGGGTCATAATTTCCTGTATAAAACAATAGGAGCGTAATCGCTTCTGCAGGGGAGCTGCTCACACCCCGTATTTTCGATGGAAACTAAAACCTCAGAGTTGGGAGTGTAGTTTCCTTAAGGTAGTTTCCGAGGGTGATTAGTATAAAAACTTGGGCGTAACCGCTTATGCAAAAGAGCTTCTCACAACCCGTCCTTTCTATTGAAACTTAAGTCTCAGAATTGGGAGGGCAGTTTTTGAGAAAAGTCAAAAAGTTTCAAAAAACGGCCAAAAAATAGTGCATTTGACTTTTCCGAGGGTCATAATTTTTTAGGTAAAACAGCAGGGGCGTAATAGTTTCTGAAGAAGAGCTTCTCACAACCTGTCATTTCGATTGAAACTAAAGTCTCAGAATTAGGAGGGCTGTTTTTGAGAAAAGTCAAAACATTTCAAAAAACGGTCAAAAATTAGTGAAATTGACTTTTCCGAGGGTCGTAACTTTTTGTGAGAGAAAAACTTGGGCATAGCCGTTTATGCAGGGGAGCTTAGCACAACCCGTCTTTTGGACTGAAACAAAAATCTTAGAATTGGGAGGGTAGTTTTCTAGAAAATTAAAATTTTCGAAAAATGGTCGAAAAATTGAAAGTGGGACATTTCCCGGGGTCATAACTTTTTATGCAAAAAATAGGGGCAAAATTGCTTCTGCAGAGGAGCTTTTCTCAACCCTTTCTCTTTATCGAAAGTAAAATCTCAGATTTGCGAAAGTAGTTTTCAAGAAAAATTAAAAATAAAAAAACCCAATCCCATACATTTTCATAATACCTGTTTTTTTTCGAACAGTAATTTTTTGAAAACTTTTTTATGTCGTTCGAATTACGGCTGAAAATGCTTTAATATGACATATCAAGCGACATTTACCAATCGCTAATTGTGATACCTGATTTTGTGTGTAAAATAAATGAACAAAAAAGACCGAATGACCCGATTTCAATCTTCTTTACCATTTTCAATTGTCGGAACAAAAACATCAAGAACAACTTTTTTTGTTAATTTTTCGCTATTTTCAGATTAGTTTATTTGAATTCAAAAACGGTATCAGAATTCATTGTTAAACTATCAAAATCACTTATTAATAGCTTCAAAATTAAACCAGTTCAAATTAGCAGCAGAAGTAGATACGTAAGTCAGTATAAAAGTCAAGTTTGAAAAAAAAGAACATATCACCGTAGTTCATTCCCACCCGCTTTAGGATGAGACAAAATAACAAGGATAGCCGAATAAAAAGTCGCACAAAATAATCCAGCCACAAAGTTTAAAAGTATGAAATTCGAAAATAAGTGTGAACTCGGTATGAACTCGGTCTAATAAAAACCTGGATTCAATTTGTTTGATCAATTTGTCGTTATTAGAGCTTTTTCAGACTTTTTCCTGAAAAAAAAACTGAATCATCAAGACCCATATAAGAGTCTTCAGTTCGTTCATTAACTCTTAAAAATTGTTTAAGCCTTAGATTGTCTAGTGGTAGCCACAGATACACAAACGGCTCTTTTCTGGAGATTTTGGGAGCTCGTAAAACTAATTGCTCAAATTAGAAACAAATGAAATTTTATTTTTTTAAATATGATGCTTTCAGAAAAGTGTAAATCTGATACCAAAATCAGGTAGTTCTCATTTTCCCAGACAATATGCCCTGTTTGTCTCTAACAAACAACTAATTGTAGGAAAAAATTATCCATAGGATTGAGAATTGAACAGATATCACTAAAGCCTTCGAAAAAGAAGAAATATCTAAGTGAAATTGAATTTGTTTAGTAACTTCATAATTTTCTGACCAAATCAAAAATTTTAGGAGAATTTTGCCCGAAATTTTTGAAGTAATTGTTTCACTGAAATTTTTTGCCTCTGTCTCATATTATCAGTAAGTCTAACTACTTTTTTCAAGCTGCTAAGGTTTTCTTTCTCGCTTTGTTGACTTTTTTCCAGATTTTATTTGAACAAGTATATTGCAACATGATTTACAACACAGAATGCACATCAAAATATATGTCATAACTAGGCAAAAGCTTCGTTTTCAATGATAATTTGTGGCTAATACGTCATTCCAAATCAATTAAAACAGGGTTCAGCAATTAAATGAGTTTACTCGACTTGGGCTCAAAACTAATTTCAGTGTTTCAATGATCGGGTTTTAATTCATGCCCGTCCATTGTGTTGGTTATTTTGCAAATGGGCATGTGGCTGTGGATTGGCTGGTTGCGCGTGGTACTGTATTCCAGTGGTGCTATCGTGGATGAAACACTGTGTGGGGGGTCCCGTCGTTGTCAAGTAGGTGGTTGCTGTTTGAGGGTGGAGAAAGGCGGCTGCCGAGGGAACTACTGTAGCGGTTGGTCCGTTGCCCTCAATCGAACTGCTGTCAATCTACAACACATCAATTATGCATAACAGGAATGATGCTTTTTTCTGGAAGTGATTTATAGTCTTTTCGCTAAAGAAAAAATAAGACTCAGTGCAAATAAAAATTCATCGTTTGATGGAGATACGAATTTTTTAAACCAGCTTGAACTCAAGTCTACACCAGAACTCGCTTGGCGAAAACATCAATTACGGTATAACAAAAAATCACGTGCATCTGCGGTTGAGGTGGCGACTAGAGTGGCGGGTGTGGCTACATAAGCGACCGCTGTGCCGGTGGCATTCAGTACTGCTGTGGCGGTGGCGCTGCCCACGTAGCTGGTGTTGGAGGACACTGCGACAGCTGTTGCTCCGGATGCACTGATACATTGTCCTTGTTGGGACACGTTAACTGTCGAAAGTTCTGTGCTGCTGGTGGGAATCGTTGCAACTAAATTCAACAGCTGCGTCGTATGGCCTAAACAACGTCAAAAAAGAGTGCATGTCGCCTTGAAAATAGAAAATCAGCAGAAGAATAAGCGTACCCAATATGAACTTGCTTTACCACCAAACCGAATGTTGACTCATTTTCGTTGATCTTTGCAGTAAATTAAGGTCAAATGAATGTTTTGTGAACATTATGCAACTGCTTCCATTTTAACTGCTTTTCATCAAAAAACGCAATACAGAACAGCCGATATCTCTTTTTTGGATTTTTAAAACAAAGCTTTGCATCAATTGCCTTGAAAATATTTTTTCAAATTGTCCGTGGGAGGCAAGCAATAAAAAAACGCTTGTATTTCTTATGCAGGCCCAACAGCAGTTCTCCGTAAAACAACTGATAAGTTTGTATGTTAGTCTTTCTCCTCGGGGATAAATGATCTTAAATTTCCTACTCTATTAAAACAGCGCGCGTCTTTCAGTACCTCAATTTCATCCTTTCGTCGGTCTAGATAGCAAACATTTCTAATAGTTTATTTTCCAATAATAAGAAGATAGATAACTGACAGTTGGAAAAGAGTAATGATCGTAATGAATCGGAAAAAAAACACTTGTTTCTGAATCGGACTTATTTTTGAAAAAACTTCCACTTTCCAATTTTAAAAAATATATATATGCCCTTAGAGCTTGAATTTCAAGAACTATCTAAGACCGGTGCTTTTTGATAAAATCAACCCAATTTGAGAAAACTTGATCAATATGTAAATTTTTAATTCCGCTGGAAAATCTGAACATCAAAATTCACTTTCAAAACTGAAGTTAACATTTCGATAAAGTTAACATTTTTTCAAACTTAACATTTTTTCTGTCCGATAGTGGAGTCCAATTTAAAAATAAATCAAAAGTCAAACCGCGAAAAATCAAAACTGAGCGTGATCTAAAACTTTTCCTGAAAAAAAAACAATCGCCAAGACCTATATAAGAGTCCTCATTACGTTCATTACTCGTAAAAAATAAAGGAGAATTTCTCATTACAGCTCGAATATTGATTGAAAGTCGACTGTTTCTATAACACTCGCTGCTCAACGACTTCTATTTGTTGTACATTTTACGTGGATAAACACCCTGAATATAACAAACAGCTATTGAACAAAATCTAATTTGCCCAAACAGCCATCAGTGAGCAACTTTCTAACACAGAGGCGAAGTTGCACTTCGAATACACAAGCAAAATATGACCGATGACGCTACTGAGAAATACTGAATGAGTAAAACTTTGAGTCTACTACATTTCTTAAGTGACGCAAGCCAATTACACCACATTAGCAGTATCAGTCAATTTGAAAAAGAAAGAAATTTATCAATTGCACATGCCTCAATTTAAAGAGCGGACGCATTTTAGCTAGTATAGGAAAAAGTTCATTAAATTATATGACCCTGCCCAGGTTCGAACCATCTTATTTTGTTGCGGGTCTCCTCCCTACCTCTACGCTACAGATCAATGATACCCTGAAGCTAAAAAGCTACTTGTAATACAAAACTGCTCGTATCAGGGCGAAGCCCTGAATGTTCTGACTGCCTTTCAAAGTCTATGGAGCAGTAATAACATGAACAATTAAATGTTAATGAAAATGAGTTTTTTTTTAAATTTGAGATTTATTGTAAAAAATTATCCCCCCACACGCCATTTAAAGCACAAAAAGATAAATTTCGCTCTCATTAACAAATCAGTTATGGCAAGTAAGCTTCCTTCAACCAATTTGGAACGATTTCTAAGAAGGGTTAAACCTCCACTTACGCGCTAAAAGCGCGAAATATATCGCGCCTTAATTGTCCCAAATTAGCTGAAATGGCAATTTTTAAACCCCCATAACTTTACAAATGATCACAGGTGAAATATATTTTCAAATTTAAGCTCAGGACAATACCTTCTGTATGATTAAAAAAATTCCGTCAAAAATGGCTAGTTGAAAAGTCGAAATTTGTCTGAAGAAAAAAAACCACCCCGAGCACAAATATTCCGTTACTTTCAATACAAAATTCTGAACAATAATAGTCGGTGTTAATATCCTTAGCGTTGGCTGTACTTAATATCTAGTATTGATCAAGATGAACACTTTCAAAATGAACACATTTTTATCGCAACAATATTTGCGACTTGGGTTGGAAAAAAAGATAGTTCATACTATAACACAAGCTATGCTTGTGTAAATATTGGAGCAACTCTCTAACAAAACCATTCAAGCTATAAACTTCGGAATGAATTGGTGTGTCTCGCATCTTACCTTGTACGTGTATTGTATTGGCAGATGGCATATTATTGGCACTGTGGCAATTGCTACTGATGCTGCTGATCTCGTGGTGGCTGTTGATGTTATTATTGGTGGTACCGGTGCTGTCTCTGGCCGCCCTGGCCTGTTGGAGTGTGTAGAGTGCTTGGTCTATTTCCTCCAAACTCACTTCTGGCTCCGCCCCTGTTTTCTCCACAGCCTGCAGAATGTACTGGATAACCTGAAACCCGAACAGAATACAGTCCAGTCCCAGCTGAAAGTAATTTATTGGTGCAATCTGACTAAAACAATTGGCGCGCATATGTCAAACAATTGACCTAAATTAAAATTTTTTGAAGCCTTCGAGTAATCATGGAGCGGAATTATTAATATATAATAACAGCATTAACATATAATAATAAAAGTTTTACAGAACGAGGTTTTTTCGAAATATGAAGTAAAAAAATCACTTAAAGCTGATTCAATTTGGGACATCAAATTATAAAGAAAATGCTAACAACATTTTTGAGTCGATTACCGGAAAAACGTAGTGTGAAACTTCGTAGTGGGAAATTTTCGTTTTATTTAAACTAACCAGTAAATTATTGTATAATTTATGCATTTCATTGAATTTTTCAAAAGAGTGAAAATATTGTCAAATTGAAACTAATTGGTATGAAAAGTACAAATTTACCGCAATGGATTTCAAAAGATCAAGTTCTCTTCACACTACGATATTTCCCACTACGATATTTCCTAATCAACGAGATACTACATAATTTCATACTATGTTATTTCGTACAACGTTATTTCCGCCTCCCTTTGAGTCACTTGATGTCATAAAACTATGAGTTCCCTTACCTCGTGCAGTTTAGCCGGTCGCTTGCATGTTGGGGGAGCGAGTTTGTCTTTGATCTTCCGAGCGATGCCGTCGTGTTCCGATCCCCCATTTTCATCGCTTCCGAGCAGTTCAGCGGCCGATGGAGAGTCCGAATCATTCTCTCGGTCTCTGTAGTGGCGCTTATATCGACTAATACTTCCAGCTCCTCGTTTGTCACTCGTAGAGTCAGTCTGATCAATGAAAAAAGCAAATATGCAGATTTGTAGCTAAAATGATCTATTTACTTAGACTTTTCTCAGAATTAGAAGCTTTCGACAAGATGTTTTTGAGCCCTTAAATGATATTCATCCCTGCAATTGTCTTTATTCCTAACCAGAGTGTTTCAAAACCGTTGAATCAGATTAAAAACAAGGAGTTTCTTCCAGTGTGATTTAAAACATCGTATTTTTTGGTCAGCAAATGTAAGGTTTGCAGCCAATGTTTGCATCCAATGTTCGGGGGTCAAGTATTGACTCAATCTGAAATAAGAAAGCCATGGAGTGCGTTTTGGAAGTCCGAGATGAATATATTCATGATATCAGCGGATGAAAATTTTCTTAAGAAAAACTCTTTCAAAATGTTTTTTAACTAACCCTGCTATTAAATAAACTTCATTCGTTCCTCCTTGTATTGATAAAATTAAAACTGTTTCTTCCGTTATCAGTCTTTAACTAACTGACCTGTTCGTCTTTGGCGCGAGTTAGGCGTCTTTTTCCTTTGGACTTGCTGATAGCCTGTTTGTATTGGTGCGGTGACAGTGCGGTGGCCGGGTAGGCGACCAGGGCACTGGGCGACACCAGCTGGGAGCGTTGCTGGAGAGAGAACTGGACACATGAGGTTATGATTAAGTGGAATGCTTCCTGCAAAGGCATGTGGCGGTGTTCTGCACGAGCAAAAAGGCAGGCGCACGGCGAAAAACAAAAAGGCAACAAGTGAGATGAGAACAGACAATCATAATTGAGACAATAACACAAATAACTCTTCAAGGCTATCTTTAACGCCATTCTTACAACATCTATCGAGCTCTTTTTTAACTATTAATGTAAGACAGCCAACAGACATTTGAAAAAATTTCAATGGACACACGGAAACCAAAAAACGATTGATTTTTATCCCAGACAAAATTCTTCAGTTTCGAAGAAAAAACTTCTTGAGGTTTAAAAGGAAAAATATCAAATCTTCCTTAAAGCTCTTTGATTTTCGAAAATACTTTATGAGATTAAGTCAAATTCAGAAAGTTTAACCATTAGGCAGGTGCGAATTTGGAAGGGGGGATTTGACCCCCTGCCGACCCAAAGGGTCCCCCCTTTGGTACTTTTTAAGAAATCTATTTTTGGCTGACGGACCCTAAATTTTTTCTAAAGGCTCTTTGGGCGCCAATATATACTATTTTTGACGGAAGCGCGCGCCAAAAAACGCATTTTTTTGTCAAAATTTTCCAAAAAGTGCACAAAAACGGCTTTTTTTAAACCTGTTTTTTCAAAAATTTGCTTGAGGCGCAGAAAAATTGGCCAAAACAGGGTCTTTTTAGTGCTTTAGGAGAGCTCGGAAAATCAATTTGATCGACCTTAAGAAAAGATCGTCGTCAAATTTTGAAAAATCCGCCCTAGAGAAAATCCTGATCCGCCCCTGCCATTAGGTAAATAAAAAAAAAAATTAATTGACCTAAACAAGTTCTTCACTTCTTTCCGACACTTAATAAATATAATTAGACTATTCGGTCAACATTAAAATTAGGCAAAGTGAGTCACAATGACGTTTCAGTGATATTGATTTTGCTTATGAAACTGAGCTTTATCAAAACGACTAGTTCTTGTACGTTAGAAAGTGGAGTCCCATAATAACTGGAATCAGGAAGATTAAAATAAGGGAATAAGTTTTTACCTTCTACAGTTGTTGCATAGTGAAGGTTGACAGAGAGAGACTTCTGAACACTGTTTGTGTACGTCACCGGACCCACACTCACCGGCACACAACCCAACCTCGCAACATCCCCCACGAGCCGTCTGGCCTCCCAATGGTCCACACTCGATCCCGGCGGCAGATGAGGACCAGCCATGCTTCCTGTCCCAACTGTGGGATAGGCTGGGCAATGAGACATGGGGGTGGGTAAAGTGATCACGTGACAAGACAGCCCCGCTGTGGATTTGAGGTAGCCGATTATGTAGTCCACAAAATCACTAGCACAACAAATTTTCTGTTACCCAGCAAGAGAACAACTTCCCTTATTTAAATTAAAAACAAAAGAAATTGAACATGCTTCATTAATGCCTATCAAAAATGAATTGAATGCAAAACGGACACTAAATACAAATTGTTTGTTTTGATTCTCTCACCGTAGAGATTTGTCACTGCTAATGACAAGACAGTCAAAAGGTCTCTCCTTTTGAATTTCTGCTTGGTATTTGGACATGGGAGCCTCGCGTGAAGAAGGAGTTCCGTAGGCTACCGAGGAAGACGGCACACTCCCTGTTCCTCCTCGACCCCACGACTCAGAGCTCTCCGAGGAGTATGCCGAAGTAGACTTAGGGACAGGTGGGGGGTATGCTGAATGGTCTTGGTGAAATCGGGAAGGCGGCGAGTCAGGTCTTAAAACAATCAAGTAGTAATTTCTAAACTGAAATATTGTTTTGCATGGTAAAATGAAAATGATGTATTTCGTTTTCGTCCACATCGCCCGCGTAAACTAAATTTGGAACAACCATAATTGAACGTTATTTCTGAATGGTAATGTATTACCCCAGGAACTGAAAAACCAATGACAATATTCTTTATTAGAGCGTTGTTTGCACATGTTTGCGTTGCAGTCTTCTAACCTGCTGAGTGGCTGGCTGAATCTAGAGAGAGCACTCTGTCTGTTCTTGGGTGCACTCTGCACTGCACTAACAAAACTGCCACTGGAGCCAGAAAAGCCTCCACTTCTGCCTTCACTGGCTACTTTGCAATCTAAACAATTCCTTTTCTGTGAACTCGTTTGACTTGGTTTTTGAAAAACTTTCGAATTTCCAAGAAAAAAATATATGGCCTTCAGGCTCTAGGAATTTCTAGAACAATTTATGACTGACAAGTTTTCTGAAAATTATTCCGATTTGAAAGTTGGATCAATGAGTAAAATTTTTATTTTGCTAGAAAATCTGAACTTAAGTTTCATTTTCGAAATTAGAAGTCGATCACGTTTTTCGTGACCTTTACACATTTTTGCTATTTGATAGTGGAGTTTGCCTTCCGTTTAATAAAGGAAATGAACTGAACACAGAAAGAAATCAATAGTCAAACCGCTAAAAGTAAATTTGAGCCTGAACAAATTTTTAGACAGTGTTTTGAAAAAAAATCATCGCGACCTATATAAGAGACTGAACTAAATTCATCGACTCTTAATATAACAAGGAAAAACAAGGATTTTTGGTGAAATGTGGTTCTTGTTTCCAAACTATTTGGTAAAGTTTGCCAAAGTTCCTTTGCCTCTGTGTCTTCATTCATCGTACATTATGACGTGCCAATGACACCACTATTTTGGGGCATCACAAGACTGCACTCACCAATGTAGCTTCCGCAGACCTGTTGGCCGTGCTCACTGTTCACTGCATCTCTCGCGTCTGCCTCACAAGTGTATTGGACGAAAGCGAAGCCCTTGTGCAGAGACACAGCTGAAATATATCACACAATTTGAAAAGCAGTCGCAAATCCGGAGGAGGCGCAATATAGGAGCACAGTGTTCGTAGCATCTGAGAGTTCGAAAGAATTACCAGCGCCGAAAATAGCCATTTTTCAACATAGAACATACACAAATAAAAGAGTGAGCCAGTTAACAAAGGGAAAAAGACTCAATCAGATGTTTAAATTAGATAAAAGCCTACTGCTTTTTATAATTAAGTGGGACATAAAAAAAATATTCTTCAATTCTGACAAAAATAGCCGGGGCAGTGCAAATGTCACAGAATATTTCTACCATAATAAATTAGCTAGGCGAAATAAAAGAGAAGAAAGATTTAAAAAACATCGAAAAAAACGTAATCTTTTGCATGAAAATGTGTGTGGTTTTTTCTTTTCTTTTTCTCCAGGCATTATGAGTACGTTCAATTAGATTAGCTTCCGCAGACTTGGCTCATTACAGCTGCAATAAGGTAAATTTCAGTAGAATTAGATAGGAAGACACCATTTGTCTTATCATCACGGAGTGCAAAATGGAAGAAACCAGACCAATTGAAAGGGCTTTAATATGATACTTCAATTGACCACCTGAAAGCTTTTTCGAGGGAGTAAATTGGGTAAAAAAAAAGCTAATCCGTAGTTCCTTCTGGTCACGTTCAATGACGCGGTGGGAACTAAAACGTCTACTTGAAAAACATTGCAGGATTTTATATAATTGAACTACTTGTATCATTAGGAATCTATGAAAGTTGTTTAATTAAGAAGCAACACATCAAGAAAACCTAAATTTTGAGGTGATAAAATTGTGACCACAAAATACTTATTTTTAACAAAAAACTTAAGAACTTGGGCTCTAATAAACAACGCCAAATGTTATTAAGTAATAAGAAAACTGCATTTTTTTATTAATCGTTGAATTTTGCACAGAACCATATTCAAACTATGTTGTCTATATCATGCTTTCTACGCTGAGAAAGGGCTTCTTGCTAACACTACAAAGACGAAAAAAACTCCTGAATCAACTTCTAAATAAAAAAGCTTCTGAGAATATCGGATTCGAACATACGACCACCCGGCTAAGTTTCAATCAAATGAGTTAGCAGTAAGACAATTCCTGCTTGGATCTACTTTCGCGCATGTTTTAGTAGCAAATGCTAAGCAGCAGTAATTCCGCCAAGTAATTACAAATACAGCTCATATTAATTGAAACGAGACTAAATAGAAACTAATAATCGCACATACTGGGCTCGAAAATTACAAAAAAAATTGAAGACAAAAAGTTGCGACTTCGGTTGGAGGATCGTACACTGATCATATGAAAAAAATGTTGCGTGTGTTAAAAGCTTTCTAACTGATTGCGGTTTGAGAAAAATCAGCAAACAACCCGAAAAATACAATCCGAAAAATACAATCCGAAAAACTATGTTTGAAAGCAGAACACTTTCTGTTTTCAGAACAAGGTCTTAACTAGTCTCTTCTCAGTGATCTTTGTCGTCCAAGCATGGAAGCTTCAAAAATACACGTTTTAAATACTCCAATTCAACTGCTGAAACTTGTTTTCATTACAGATCAAGTTAACAACTGATTCATTCATTCTATAAGACAAGTTGTTTACCATAAAAAAAGCCCATATTCCGATTTGTCGATAATAATTGCCGACTGCAAGCGTAAACAACTATATCAACTTTTAATAGGTCAATTTCCTGTTGCGTAGTTAGTTTCATTTGAGTTTAATTGAAAAATTTAAGCTGTAGCAGAAACAAAAATTTATTCAAAATAATAGATCGAAACAACAAAAGGCCATAGTAACTAAAAATCTATATTCAGATTGGACAGTTGACAGGCAACAAACAGTGACGTTAAGTTAAAAGTTAAAAAGAGCACTACTGACCTGTGATTTCGCCGTACTTGTTAAAGAGAGTGAGCAGCGTGGCTTTGTCCACCTTGTCAGTTGGCAGATTGCCGATGAACACGCGAGCATTGGCCTTGCAGGGGTCATTGGTGTGACTGGACAGGGCAGTCGTAGAAGTGTTTGTCATAATCGCTGAAGTCAAATCCGGTTCGCTAACCGCGGCGTCTTCTTGCAATTTTCGTTGAACTTATAATTACACAATCAGCAAACTTTCGGTTGAAACCTTTGCGGTTCGAAAACCAAAAGAAGATTAAATTGCTTTTGTTAAACTATCGCTCGTTTTTTAGGTAAATTTGACATCTGCGTTACTGGAATACGCAGCTGCGAATTTCAGATTTTCTGACACATCTGTAGAAAAATGCATGAAAGCTTTGCAAGCTATTCCTGTTACAATATTTTACCGTTCAATTGTAAGTCAGCATGAAATCTGAAAATTGTCGCCAATGATCACAGACGTTGGTTAGAATTATGATACCAGGACACAAAGCTTCAATATCGACAACAGATCTTCTTCATTTCCATTTTAAGTTTAAGTTAGCGCAACAACGCGACTGTTCGTGGACGGTTGTTGCACAGAGCGCTCGGTATGAGCTAAAAAATACTATAATGAAATAAACTTAATTTAACATGCAGTTTGAGCCTATTTCGGAAGTTTTAATCGAGAAAAGAACAAGATTCACAGGACAGAACTGAACCTTCCATCAGGTTTATGGAACTTTCCATCAGGATTCATTGCTGTCTGCGTCTTTCGCTTGAATTTTTTTGTTTACTGAGGTGTATTTTATGTTTTTGTCGTTTTTTCTGCAATTTTTAGAGAAATAGGGATTAAAATTTTGACACATGCTGGTTGAAACTATTTGGAAGGATATTAATCGATCCAAATTTTTAGTACATGCGACCAAGACCTTTTAATATATGTATCGTCAAAACAGATACGACCATTTTTTTGACGCACGCCGGACCAAGCGTATCTTTCAAAACTTTTTGCCTATCGTTTTTCCGAGGCCTAGAGACTACGTTAAGATCATCCGCTTCCCAGAGAACCAATTTGAGTGCATACATTCAAATTCCTTGTGTCGTTTTTTAAATTGCTTCCAAAGCAAGAAAACCTCTGAAACTAATTATGATTTACTGGCTAGTTTACGCATTCAAAACTAAGAGTTCTCAATAATTGATCTGGTAACATCATTCCAAATAGTTCCATCTAACATGAGTCAAAATTTCAATCTTATTTTGTTATAGTTTGAGAGAAAACGATAAAAACGTGAAAAAAAAAATCCGTTCATTTGCTCCTTGAAATCAAAAAATTGCAACTTCAAGCTGCATCATCTAACTGCTATCTAAATACTTACTTTGCTATTAGATGAGGCAGTGCGTATTCAAATTACGAGAACCAAAAAATCGGCTAGATGCTTATCAACTATTATGATCCATCTCGTGATTTTCATACGAGCCTCGTTGATTCAAAATGCGTGAAACAAAAAACAAAACAAACTATCAATAGTTTTTCGTGATTGAAAATTGTTTCACACTTGCTCATTCATCTTTATCAATGGATTTGGTGAAATTCTGAAAGCGCTATAAAACTTTAAGAAAAGGTTAGTTTTCGGTCAGCGATGAAGAAAAAACATCGCAATTAAAAATGAATAGAATGAAGTATAAGACCGGGCACTATAGAATAAACTGGAGAGATATTCCACTTCGCAGAAAATCGCAGAAAAAATATAAGACCTTAAAGCTCTTTGAACTTAAAGAAAAATTTATGAGTGATACTTTTTTGGATAGAATTACCCAATTTGAGAAAACTGAATCGATAGGTACTTTTTATTTCTTGCTGAGATTTCTGAAATGTAAAATCCACTTTCGAAACTAGAAGTCGATCGCGTTTTTTGTGACCTTTCAACACTTTCAAAACTTTAAAGGAAATAAATACTCAAACGAAAAAAAAATCAAATTTGAGCCTCTCCGGAAAAACTCACGACCTAATCACGGCTACGTTTATTGACGCTTTAAAAATCCATACAGTCATTTTTCAGCAGCAAACTATTTGAAAAATCTTCTCTTTATGCCAAAACTAACATTGAAAAGGTTTAGGAATTATGTAATTTAGATAGTGGTATGTTACTATATAGATTAACACAGGCGAAGCAGAGCTTCGCACCACTTGCGATACAACGCAATCATAACAAAAACAAGTGCAAAAAAGAAAATGTTGAAAAAACTAGGTGAACCACAATTTTCGCATGTCTCGATGAAGGACAACTAGGACCCATCTAAAGCTGGAGGCACGTGTCTGGCATTTTCTGAATTTGTTATACTGATGCCAGATAAAGTACATATTTTCAAAAACTAGTTTTTACACAAAACCTTACTTGATTCTCTAAAAATAAGAGAGAAGATTGAAAATTTTGGAGACAAGGGAACTTTCCCAAAGACAAAATTTCTTACAAAAAATTAGGGAGTAGCCGCTTCAGCAGGAAAACATCGCACAACCACTTCTTTCGATTGAATTTTTCATCTCAGATTTGATAGGTAGTTTTTTAAAAAATTCTAAATGTTTTTTAAAAAAAACGGTCAAAGTTTAAAAACTTGACTTTCCGAAATCCGTAAGTTTTTTCTGCTAATAACAAGTCGTGGCCAGTTAAGTAGAAAAGATTCCACAAAACGGTCAACAAATTAAAAAGTTGACATTTCCGAGAATTATAGCTTTTCGTTTTAAACAAAATTTGGGCGTAGCCATTCACACAAAAGAGATTCAACCAACCTGTTATTTCGATTGAACCCGAAAATCCTGGTTTGGCAGCGTAGTTCTGGAGAAAACTCAAAGTTTCGAAGAAAAAAAAAACGGTTTAAAAAATCAAATTTTTGACTTACCCGAGGGCCATCATTTCCTATGTCGAATAAATTTGGGCGTAGTCGCATATGCAAAGGAGATTCCCACAACCCGTTCTTTGGATTGAACGCAAAATCTCAGATATGGGAGGGTATTTTTTGATAAAAATTCATACAATTTGAAGCGTGGCGGTTAATGAAGGAGAGATTCTCACTACCTGTCATCTCCATTTAACCCACAAAGTCAGGTTTGGGAGGTTAGTTTTTGCGAAAAGTCGAAAAGATTCAAGAAACGAACAAAAAAATCAAAAACTTCACTATTCCGAGGGCCATAAATTAATGTTTAAAAAAACTTGGACATAGCCGCTGATAGAGCGAGCTTTTCAAATCCACTCCATTCAATGAAACCAAAATCTCAGATTTCGTAGGTTATTTTTTGAGAAAATGAAAGAAAAATCAAAATTATCGGCCAAGTTTTCCCCCACAGACTTGTTCGATGGCTGTATACAACAGGGTAAATCAAAAAGATACCAGAAGGCACACAAGAGTGAAAGAGGTCTTTTTATGGATACCCTTTTTTTGAAAATCGGTTTGCAAAAAAGGGCAAAACTTTCCAAAACGTCTCAAAAAAAATAAAACAAAAAATCATATCCAATAGTTTTCATAATACCTGTTTTTATCGAATAGGAACTCCAGGCAAACATGCCAAGCAAGACAATTGAAATTAGCAACTGAAAAAAAATTACGAAGCGGAAACAAGGCCGACAATTTTTAAGCAGACACCAGTTGAGCCGAAAAAATTTGTAGTAACTAATCCCCACTCAATAGTTTAATTTGAATTTTTATGAAATTGAGAATGTCAGCTGCATAGCATCATCAAAATTGCCAAAAAGATAAGTACTAATTGATTATGAATAACTGATTCAATTGATTTTGTTAAATTAGTTGTTAACCCGAAAAAGTCGACATTCCGATTTGATACGCTTCCTAATCGCAAGCGTAAAAAAACTTCAGTCAAACTTTGCCGAAGAGCTCAGCAAGTTATCGAGCTCCTCTTTATGTTAGAATCTTTTGTACGGGTCTATCTAAGATATAAGACTTTCGAACGAACACTTTGAGGTCCAAAAATTCAAGATACTGGAGCTATTTATTAGGGCGCTTTATGGCATTCGGAACACTTTTCTAACGAGCTTTGACTGAATAGCCATATCACGTTTAGAAAAAAAAGGCAACAGCGTGAAGAAAATATTTCGTTTCATCGGAAGAAAACTAAGTTGCAACTTCTACGTCCAGTGGTTGTATATTAAACAACTGGAGCCAGTATAATACATTAAATAGTTTGCGAAATCCGTTAAAAGATGTTTGTTTCATCGAATAATTTCGCTGCTATCACGATAAGCAAATCGCTTCGAGAATTTTTTGATAAATTACTAAAAAACGAGGAAATGAACTGAGCAGTATAAAGTTTTTTCAAGGAAATAAAGTCTTTGTCTTCCTGCATACAAGGTACAACATCAGATGCCACTGAATATCTTCGTTTCATCGGAAGAAAACTAAGTTGCAACTTCTACGTCCAGTGGTTGTATATTAAACAACTGGAGCCAGTATAATACATTAAATAGTTTGCGAAATCCGTTAAAAGATGTTTGTTTTATCGAATAAATTACTAAAAAACGAGGAAATGAACTGAGCAGTATAAAGTTTTTTCAAGGAAATAAAGTCTTTGTCTTCCTGCATACAAGGTACAACATCAGATGCCACTGAATATCTGAAGATAAAAACAAACCAAATCAATCCGAGAAAAAGTTTTAAAAAACTGCAATAATCGTTGGTTCGAACTCGGTATTATGCAAAAATCCACATGGCAGATGACAGTGGCTACCGATAACATCTGGCAGCTCTCGATGCGTGTCATGATCTATCTTCTATCAGACTCTTTAACAATCTGCTCTGTGAAAAAATGTTTCATTCGCTAGAAAGAAGCAGGTCTTTCATTCTTGCATCAATAATCGAGAAAGAAGATCTGCTAGCAGAACTTCGTTCTTGATTATTGATGCAAGAATCAAAGACCCGCTTCTTTCGGATCTTGTTAACAATTGCCCCCCCCCTCCATATTGCAATGGGGGGGGACTTGTTAACACGGCACCAAATTCGTAATGCTTAACTGTTCAACTTTCTTTATGGTGGTGGGGGGGGGGATTCGTTACAAGGTATCATAGGGGGGAAATAGTTATTAAGATCCCTTCTTTCTAGCGAATGAATCATTTTTTTCAGAGCAGATTGTCAAAGAGTCCGATAGAAGAGAATTTTGAGATAAGGTGAAGTGGTTGAAAGAAAACAAAAAAAACGTCAACCGAGCCTTTTTGGTAACTTGTTACTCGCAGTCAGTTGATCTCCGATCATTTTAAACTTCAGTGCACAGCTGCAGCACTTAATTGCTACACAAGGGGCATTCAGCAGTGCCAAAGTACAACAGCGCCGAAACTTAAAATGCGTTCAACAGTCTCCAAAATTAATCATATTTGGGAGTTTTCAGTTCTTTTTGTGAATTGTTGGCAGTTTTGCGTTAATACTGTTTTATTTTGGAGCGAAACCGAGAAAATTTGACGATTTCTTGAGCTAATTTTTTGCTCAGAAAAAGTTATGACGCCACGCTTGGTGAACTTTTGCAGACGTCATCAAATAAAAAAATCATCTATTTTGTCTTTTCAATTTCCATTTGATTATAATTTTGTCATGATTATTTGGGATGAGTAAAAACAGTACTCAAACTAATTTTCGGCACTGTTGAACAAGATTTAGATTTTCGGCAAGGTACTGCCCCGCTACACGCAATAAGACATCACGGAATTAGGGTAGTGGGAAAATTAAATTCGTCAACTAGTATTTTGGTCATTAAGTAACAGTCTAAATCTAACAGGCTAAATCAGTTTAAAAAATAATATCTTGTGAATGATAATAGCACCAAATCACACGCTATCTAATTGAGTTTTTGTAAATATTGGAAAGAAACATTAGCTGAGCAGCTTTTCGAATAGATTTATAAAACAATAAGATGTACGACATAAAAATTAGATAGATTAAGTAAACTTATGGGTTCATATACTCTTTGAGGGCACAAATTCAGATTGGTGTTCAAATTATCCAGCGAAATCACTTATAAATATTAAAAGGAAATCAACCCTAAGGGAAATTTCACTGTTAAGGGTCATACATTACATCTAGTAGCTATAAACACATTACATCTAGTAGCTATAAACAATCAACTCCTGGTCGTCTGCAATTTTGATATTTCATTCATAAATTTGCGACCTCATTTTACATCTGCTGATAGTTAAACCCATTCGGTCTGTTCGCGTCACTCTCGTTGTCCGTATACGGTGTGTTGGTAGCCGTTCGATCAGCATGCGCATGCTGCTGCAAATCGTAGAACTTCTCTCGCCTTCGCTTCAGAACAAACACCAGAACTCCCCCCAGCACAATCACGGCCAGCGGCACAAATATACCCACTGCTGTGATCGATATTATAACTACAGTCAGTTCATCGTACTCAACAGTCCCATATCCCATCTGGCCTTCCCTGAACAAACAACAACACATCACACTTGCCTTCAAGTCCAATTTCAAACCAAAAATTGTAAAAGCAAACATGGGCTCAATCCCAGCAAATTAATGTTGTTGTTGCCTGGTTGAAGGGCAGCGCTATCGTCCGATAATCTTAGTAATTTAGAATGGTTCAAACTAGTAGTATGTCTGCAACTGGTTGCGCGAGTGTACAGTACTTCGGCGTTCAGAGGATTGTTGTCTTAGTTTTGGTTATATCCAGTACTTCCAGGGGAAGCTTCTTGCTTGTAGATTCCTCTCGTCTTACACTTCGACCACCGGCGGGTTGCCTCTGAGCAGACGGAGCGACTCGATTCCAGTAACCAAGACGTCCGGTGACTCTGGTTGCGCCGCCCATTTCGGTGAAACACCAGGGCGTCGAACGGGGAAGAGTAAAGCGGAGCTAATTACAAGCATCGCCCAAGATAAAACCTACCGCGTTGAGGTTATAAATTTTCTGTAACAGGCTGGCGGGGGAATTATAAACAGAAAGAGCCTGAAAATATGTTAGCACTTTTAGTGGTTTTCTTTGCGGGATTTTCGTTCGAAAAAAACAGCAGTGTTGCTCATACTTTGAACTAATTGAACTCAAATTGTTGTCATTAACTGATTTTAAAAAACTGATTTGAAGGTGAAATGAACACACCGGCGAAAAGAGAACACAACTCGATCAAAACAACTGCCCAAAAAATGCTATAGATAATCCAGAATTGCAATAAAAAGACCAAACTGGTATTGCACTAATAGAAAAAAGTGAGTATGGTCACCGCTGAGTCCGAAAAAGAATCATTGATAAAAATTCGGAGAAGACCATCAAACAAACAACTGAAAAATAAATGGCCACTATGCTAGAACAATTCAAAGCCAAGATTGCTTCAACTGTTCAAGAAATCATATCCCTCGAAATCCAAAACATGAAACCACATTTTCTCGATGAAGCTGACGACATATTCAATTACCTAGAAAGCCAATGCGATCTGAAAGCTCGAGAGTGAGGCAGAGTTATAGAAGGCTCTATAGCAGAGATAATCTGAGAATGATTGAAAAGCCTTAAAATTTTGACTCGGACCAAAATAGGCGGCGAACATTTGAAGACAACTAAAAAAATATCGCCACAATATTTTAAGTAGCTGCCATTATTGATGCTAGGGTAACAAAAACTGATATTTCTACTGCGCACGGATTGCCTACCAGAAAAAAATCAACCTCAAACGATTATCGTGCTTTATTAAATGAGACTGAAGGAAGTAAGCATGCTAAAGAACAAGAAAAAACTCAAACAATCTAAAGCAATAAAAGATATTAAAACATTCGAAGACCTCACAACATTTCCAGTCAAATATCTGAACATGACGAAGAAAGATGCTAGGCTTGATTCAGCATGGTCACGTGAAGGATCAATAATTTACAAGTACAAGAATATCGACGGCATAGACTGCTTACGAATGCGGCATTGTCTTATAAAATTCCCTCAATGAGAATTCCCAAATTCCCTTTATAAACAGTAACCTAATCAAGTGCTAATGTTGCTAAATGTTTAACTACTAACTGTCGGAAACTGCTACATAAAAAAACAAGATCTAGTAAAAAACATCATGAGAAACCAGAAGCATTTATAAGTAGTCTTGCATCACCACCAAAACTAACAGTAACAAGCGCGACCTGGTTGAATGATTCAAACGACCCTAGCTGCTTCAATATTGAAGGGTTTAAATCATGTGTCTCAAAATGCAGGTCTGGTACGGAAGGAGGAGGCGTTTTGATCCATTGCGATAAAAGCATATATTTATTGAAGAAGGACGTTATTTACTACCGGAATCCATCATTATGGAAGTAAGGGTACTCACAACTACCTATTATATAGTATTGGCCTATAACCCTACTAGAACAGACAAAATGTCATTAATCGAGAAGTTTCATAGTCGTCTGGAACAAATGTCTCAAAAATTTACAGTTTGTCTGCGGTGACGTCAATATCGATAAACTCTAGAAGAATCTTGCAACACTAAATTATTCAGATGCAGTGATTTCAAATAGCTCCAATGTTCTGGGTTATGAAGTAACGCTAACTATTGAAACTTACATAGATCATATTTCATTTGCTGAAAAACGAGATTGATTTGAGATTCACGAGATTCTCAGATCATTCACGAGATTCATTTGCTGGAAAAAAGTTCTGATCAAATGGCAGTGAAATTACAAATTTTCAATCGTAAGTAAAAATTAGAGGGCTATTTTAGCTATAAACATGTCTCTCACCAAAGTAATAAGCAAATTGTATTGTTCACTAAAGAGCTCCTACGAGAATTGCAAACGCTACTTACTGTATGAAAAAAATATAGATGATTCTTTAGGTACACTCAAAAACACAATTGACAATTACGCCCCTGTTGCCACACAGGGTTATTAACCAACTAAATACGCCAAAAGGTACTCAAAAAGTCTCAAAAAATGATCTTCAAAAAAGAGACTATCAAGGTTGGATTTTGAATTCCAATCGTAGAGCTATACAGCACAGCAATACAAGTCCAGAGGTGAAAAGTCGACAATGAACTTAAGCAAGCCAAATCAAAGTTTGACTAAATATTCAATGTTGTATTGCTAAATCAACACAAATACAAAATTTCTTAGTTGCAGTTACAGAAAAAAAAAATCAAACAAAAAATGATTGGTGAGATTAATGACAGAAGCGGTTTCACAATCATTCTCAAATGCAGATTCGCAAAGAGTTATTGCGTTCTTTGCTAGTATTGGTCATAAGCTAAATTCAGCTATCCCTCAAACGCTAACTGATTTTGAAGTCGAGCCGAACTTCTCAATTTACAATTATCCATGTAAGGCGGAAGAAATTTATGTCACAATCAATGAGTTTTAGAAAAAGCCTTTTGATGGGCTGGATGATATTCGTAACACACAAAAAAAAATTGGCATGCGATCCAGTGGTTCCTCGTCTGACCCATGAAAAAAAAGAATGAAAAACGGGATCTGTCCAAAATTTGTAAGGCAAACTAAAGTTTTCTATTTTTCAAGCAAGGATCAAAACTAGAGATGGGTAACTATAGAGCGATTTATTTACTAATTTTATGCAGCAAAAAATTATGCAGCAGAAAATACAATTATATGGAAGCTGAAAATATAATATTTTTACAAACAGTTTGGTTTTCAATCAAAACGTAATACGGTTGACAAATGGCTGAACTCGCTGAAATGGCTGAACTCACTTAAAATCATTCTTTTTTCATAAAGAATTCGGGCTGTTAAGGATTAAATGGACAATGTCTTCAGAGGAAAAAAATTACTTATCAAACCGATTTCAACGCATCAAAATGAATATATTACGGTTATTTTGGGAGAAAGTCGACCGAGGTATTACTCAAGGATCAAAACTCGGCCCTTTTTATTCTTTCTCAATAAATTGATTAAATTCAAATAATTGATAAAATTCAAATAAGATCAGTTTAAATTTCAAAATATGTACACGTTAAATGCATCCAAGAAAAGCGCCTTTAATTCGCTATAGTATTCATGCAAATATCTCGGTATAACTCTGGATTTAAGGCTTACGTTCAGTAAGCACATTGAAATTTTGCATAATTAGCAGCGTAAAGCGGAATAATTTCTAAAAATTGGCTTCCAGTCCTCAGGAACGCTTTATTGCGATACCACGATTCAAATGTTTAATCCAATAAACAATACAATATTTTGATATTAGGTTGTACTAGCTACATCTCATTTCCACCCATTCTAAAAGTGCAGAAAGATAATTCGCAATCTTTACTTTTTCAAAAAGACATTGTGAAAACACTTTTTGAATGTACCAACATTTTAACTGTCCGCGAACTCTAAACTTACGAATTGCTGACGTTTTTATATCGATCGCTATCAGATGCAGTTTTTAAAAATATTTATTCGAGTTCAATACATATATTCGAAATTCCAGAACATAAAAAAGGCCTGCTGTAAAAACACTTTGCTCAAACTAAGATGCGGAATTTTTCAATGAAGGACGGATATCCAGGCTATTGATTTTGCTGCAAGAAAATAATTTAAAACCAGTAAATTCAACTTTTAAAAGAAAATCCAGCTTTTGAAAGTGGTTCGTGATACCTTGTTTTTTTTATTTGCTGATTATACACTATCTTTGGCTCATACTTGGTTGGCACAATCACCAGTTAAATTTTGCGAGAAGAACAAACGTTCTAAATTAATTTTTTGAGCTTCGTTTTTGGATTTAGTTTGCTTTTGGCAAACTGCTTTCCGTCTTGGACTTGTTCACTGATTATTGTATCATGGTCTCAGTTGGGTGCCCTCTGTCAAAAGTCTCCATCCAATTCCAACCGTATTATGGAGGCAAAACCTCTAAGCATAAGCCTCTAAGTGAGCAAGTTCAAGAAACTTAATTAAACTGATTCAAGAGGCCTACAAGCAGGTTTTTGAACAAAATTGATTTTTTGTTGATATTTTGAGCTACATTAAATCTAATTAAAAGACAATCAACCATAAAAATATTTCAAGGAAACGTACGCCTAATCAATGTCTAATGCGGCTGAATTGTATTTTCAGAAATATTTGTGTGTCTTCGATTTTTAATAATGATGCCATTTAAGGACTTTTGTTTCTTTTTCTATTTGTTGTTATATTTTTCACTCTAATGTTTCTTGCTGTATAAGTCTTTGGAACCTGTTCGGGCTCGGTGCAGTCATCTAAAAACCCAAATCGGTTCATAGGCTTCATGTTAAAATGCAAGTACGTTCTTGGGCTGTCCTCTCAGAGTAATGAAATGTGTATACTGTTTTAAAAGTACATTTACAAGGAGAAGAAGCTGCGCACCGCAAACACTAGCGAAAACACCACAAAAAGCAGCTCTATAAAATACAATAAGAAAAAGAAAGTAGAAATAAGCCTTTAATTAGTAAAAATTCGGTTGTGTCTCGTATTCGATCTGCGACCTAGAGATTACACAGAGGCGCAGCTGCGCTTCGATAACACTATCCAGAATACGACAAAAAGCAGCTTTATTAAGTGAAACAAAAAAAATAGAAATAAACCTCGATTTGGTAAACGTTAACTAAGCATGGTCTTCGAAGCTGCGACCTCGAGAATTGGAGTCTCACACCCTGCCCTTTGGGAAACGTCAAAGGCTTAACAACCTAACAACACAAGTCACAAACAAAGCAGCTGCATATGCTAAAAATTGCCAATTTTTATCAAATGAACTGAAAAAAGCAACAACAACAATAAATAAACCTCGATGTCAGAAACTTCCTTTCTCAATCTATTTCGCAATGTTTTTGAAATTCAATATTAATTCATAATTTGTCTCATGCGAGCCAATTTTTTTTACATGCAAGTTAGTGTGAATGCCCAGTTTGTCTTAGTTCAAATTAATTCATGCAAAAGTGTGTTTGTTTGTTTTTGGTGCCACTTGGTGCATGGCTTTTTTCAGTTCATTTGATAAAAAATAAAATGCATCAACTGTGTTAAATTAATACTATTCGAATGTCAAAGCACATGCTATCAATAAGCAGTAAAGGTGCCTCAAAAAGTGAACCACTATTTGCGACTGAGGTTGGAAAAAAGTCCTAGTATAACAATTACACTCAGTAAAAGTTAGTCAGTCTAATAAGTCTATCGCACTAACCATTCAGCCACGGAGGCTTAATAAATCACAAACACTAGCCACAAACAAAGCAGAGAACAGATGCAATGAAATTTCCAATGCTACAGATCGTGATTATAGCAAAAAGGCCACCAAATAAGTAAACACTTCTATTGAACACTTTTATTAGAAGGTTCCTACCCATACATTACGCTCGCAAGTGTAATAATAGCCAACTGACAGCTGGAAAAGAGTAATAACGCAAGCAAACTGAAAAAAACTGACTTGTTTTTTTTTTCAAAATTCTTCAACTTTTGTATTTCGAAAAAAAAATTAGATGGCCTTAAAGATTTTGAATTTGTAAAAAAATTATGATTAACACTTTTTTGTTGAAAAAAACCCAATTTGAGAAAACTGGATCAATAGGTGAAACTTTTATTTCGCTGGGAAATCTGACAATTAATTTCCATTTTCGAAGTCAATCACGTTTTTCGTGACATTTACACTTTTGCAGTTCGATTGTGGTGTTTGCCTTCCTTCCAAAAATGGAAATGCACTGAACTTGAAAAAAAAACCAAAAGTCAAGCCACGAAAAATCAAAATTGAGCATGAAAAAAATTTAAAACTTTTTCCTGAAAAAAAAATCAACACGACCTATAGAAGAGTACTCACTACGTTCATTACTCTTAATAACTATTCTTCTTCTTCAACTGCATGTCATAAATTTGTTAAGGCAAAACATACTACCATGTCAAATAATGATCGTATCCATCGTCATCTACACTGGACCCAAATGTCATGTTGAATGACACCGACCAAACCCTGTCTAGTAGACGTGTACCACTGAAAAAATCAGTGGCCAACGAAGAGACATTTTTAAAAGCACCAGAGCCGTTAGCCACCGGAATTTCTTCTGGCTCTTGTTGAAAGTACACGGTCACAATGTTCTGCAGATCCAATTTGGGGCTCTTGTATCCGGCCTGCTTCCACCCGAAGAACGTCTGCTGACCAGAAGCGGCATGTGCATTGTATTGCTGATACTGATACAAAACATCCGAATGAAACAAATAGGATCAAAATACACGAAATAAACAAAATACGGGGGATAGCTGAGAAATGTCTCTCAGTATTGTTAAAAGCACTTTGCATGTTTTTAAAGACCAAGCTATGCAACACAGACACAATTAAAAATTGGTTAATAATACGCTCATCATTCGACCTTTAGCTGTATTGTCTTCTTTTTTATTACTCCAGGATATATTTTCTTTTCAGGATGTGTATAGACGTAGATGCCAAGGCAACAATGGTGATGCTTGAAAAGGAATGAAGATCACTCACTTGGAAGACTCCAGGCGTGAACTGGTCGTTGAGCCCCCTGTGTGTTTTGAACGTGATATCCTCTCCCTGCGCACTGATGTACAGGTGTTCTAGAGAGTACCTCGCTTTACCAGAGTCCGGGAAATTATCCAAAGCCAACATAAACTGGGTAGAATTCTCAGAATGCAACGAGGGCTCCAGGCCAGTCGAGGAATCCGAACGTCCGGATTCCTTATAGATTGTAACCTTGTACAAATTTTAAAAACGTAAACGAAATTTCATTCAGTGAACTAGTATAGCTGTTTCGCCCATGCTAATATAAACTCTAGAATATTAACTTTTAAAGTAAACCTCGGTTACACTTAAAGTGTTACGTCTCGTGCGAAGGATTTCCTCATGGCACACAGCTCAAACAACAGAATGTTATATTAGTATATCAACATTCGACAATTCTTAATTCGAAGCATGGAGGTCGGTCAGTGTTGGATATTTTGTTGATTAAACGAAATCTTTGAACCTTCTGATATGAGAATAGGCCAAATTAATATCGACCAAATTAATCTCGATATTAATTTCCAATACAATATCAACCTGTTCATGTCCATGCATCTAAATTTCTCAGATCGCTTCAGATTCTAACAAAACGTTTTTTTTAAATTACTAAATGACGCATTTCTCTCTTCTAACCTGCACGGTTAGCTCTCCATCTCCAAATCGACTATCGTCCGAACGGAAGCTGAAGCTGTAGCCAATGTTGGAAATAGACTGAAAAACAAATTTCCGGCTAGGAAACACTCATGTTAAAAAGCCACAATTAGCTATTTTTTATTGAAAAATAATAATGTAAGCAGGAAATTCAAAGCAATGCAACTAAATCAGTGAGAACAATCGGTCAAGTTCTAAGGAAAAATGGAAATGTGCTATGATGAGGAAGGGGAGGGTGAAAACCATCGTTGTAGGGGAGTGCTTGCGGAAATAACACGAATTTTTGGTTTCAAATTGCACTTAGGTCCGAAAACTTTAAAATGCCAAAAAAAGTTTTTCAAAACACCCGCATGCAGGGGCGGATCTAGGATTTTCTCGAGGGGGGGGGGGGGGGGGCGGATTTTCAAAAACAAATCGAAAATTTTGACGACCTTTTTTTTAGGTCCAAATTGATTTTTTGAGCTCTCCCAAAGCACTGTTTTGCCCCTGTTTTGGCAAATTTTCTGCACCGCAGGCAAATTTTTGAAAAAAAAAAACAGTCAAAAAAGGCGTTTTTAGCCACTTTTTGGAAATTTTTGACCAAAAAATTGCGTTTTTTCGGCGCGCGTTCCCCCCCTCAAAACTAGTAAATACTGGCGCCCAAGGCGCCTTTAGAAAAATTTTAGGGTCGGTCGGCCAAAAGTGGATTTCTTAAAAAGTACCAAAGAGGGGACCCTTTGGGTCGGCAGGGTGTCGAATCCCTGAGGGGGGAGGGGGGGGCCTCCGCCCCCCCCCCTAAATCCGCCCCTGCCCGCATGCAAAAAATCGCTCAGGTAACTGATTGTACTATCATTTAGTTGAAGAGTAAACTATTGGGGAGGAACTTTGTATTCGGGTGTTTTAATTTTTTTTGTTTTCCACGCAAAATTAGGTACCACAAATAATCATGGGACTGGATTGAGTGATATATCTTAGTGATTCGAACGACATTAAAAATTTCCAAAAATTTTTCCCAGTGTCGAGAAAAACCGGTTTGAAATTTTTGATTTTTGGTCTAATTTCGCGTGTAGGCTTAGTTAGGCCCAAAGAGCGTGTAGTTTGTTATGCCCAAGCAGAATTATGCCTAATTTAAAACCTTAAAACTTAATTTTAAGCATTTAAAACTAGTTTTTGGACTTTCTAGCTTCATTTTGGGAACCAAAAACTTCAAAAAGTTATGACTGTCTAATATGCCTTAATTATAATTTTATATCAGATCCTTTTATCACACACAGCAGAAAAAACTGCACTTATTTGGAAAAAAAACGTCTAAACCAAAGACTATCTATGGTCGGAACATTCTGTGCTAATTGCAGGAGTAACCGGCTATCCTTGTTATGTGTAAATTGTGTCCTTATAATACTGTTCTTCTTTTGTGTCAGAGGCTAAGAAGAGGAAGTTAGGAAAACTTACAGCGATGGTGTGTGAGTTGTTGTACCACAGTACTGTCTCGTCCAGGGGTATGCGAGTGAGTTTGTCAGCGGAACAATCGGACAAATCCACGGGAATCTTCACACTAGTTGCGCCAGGGTCATCCGTCTCACACTTCCATATCTAAGAGCAAATCCACGCAATTACTCATTAGAGTATTTATGTTACATACGAAAAAATACCAGTCTAATAACTACCGATTTCAACTAAACTAAGCTCATGATAAGATGGCATAGGAGGATGAGATTTTATTAATGCTTGCAGCAAGTTCTCAGTATTGTCGACACTGCATTCATATTACTCTTGACTAAAAAAACCGCTAATTAGCGGAAGGGGGCGTATATTGATGATGGAGGGACCAAATGGAAAATTTTAAGCCACTCACAATCGCTAGACTTTCCTATAGGAACGTCTAATGATTTTCAAAAATTAACATGTGCTAAAAATAGCTTAAGTCTAAGGGAACTATTTGGACAATTAGCTTCAATTTTAAACAATGAATTGAACGCTTTCAAATTTGAATCGCTACAAAAAGTCGCACTTAAACGTTGAAAAACCCATTTGCAAGTGCGAAACATTGGGAATAATTCAGTCTAACAAGTTGTAATTTTTCATGATTGCACGTAAAATATGCTTGAAATATTTGAGCTCAAGTCTTCGATATCTTCAAATCAATTTTGTACCAAATTGTACACTAAGATGTGCGACTTTGACTTGTGTTATTTACATTAGAGGAACTGCGCAATTTAAGATTTAGATTGCGTATTTAGATTGCACGTTTAGAAAAACTAAATATACAATCTAAGTCTCGAGACTTAAAATGCGCAATCTAATTGCAATTAGATAGCGATTTTTAAAAATCTTATCTTTGAAAGAACTTCAAAGAACTTCATTTACACATGCTCAAAAGTATACAGAGCTGGGAACGCTGATGGATTGTTTATATAAACATTGCCCATCAGTATTTTAAAAAATATCTTGTTCATACCGTTATTAACAATTACTCGCTCCCTATTGTTGACATTTACCGAACTCAGGGACTAACAAAACTCGGTAAAATCGAGGAGTTGAATTAAATAACATCAGCTGTAGTATATAAGTAATAACATACTTATAAGTGATCTTATCCGATCCAGAATTGACCTTTTATAATCAAAGGGTTTTCAAGTAGTTAAGGACAATAGTTTTGTTAGCTAACGTAACAAATAAGAATAGGTCTGTATCTTAGCACAGATGAACAGACAGATGAACAAAAGATTAAGCACCATGAGATATAGCTTAGCACGGCTGATGGGCGACCTTGACGCCACTGCAATAACTGCAGCAAGAATGTAACGAATAAACATACTATGTTATATGCGTGGCATGACATACCCGGGGCCAACAAAAAAATCTTATACAATACGATTTTCTTAATATAAACAACACCACCGCCAGGGTGAGAAACAGACTAGGCATAAGAGTTTTAACGAAAGTTTAAGAGAGTTTTGATACTGGGGTTGTTTATTCTTCAAAGACGATCTCTTTTGGGGAATGTCTGCTAGTCGAAGAACCTGACTGAACAAAGTCCTCGGTGTTTCTTCTAATGAAGCATCGCTTTGGGGTGACTGGGGAACTGCCTCCGACCTGAACTGTCGACGGAGAAGTGGCTACACCTTTTTCCACATCTTTTACTGAGTGACGAATTGGACTGCCGTAGCGAGCTGGAGTTTTTCTATGGCGACCTGACGCCCTAGCACTTGAGTACGATGAGGTTTGCGACTCCACGTCATCCTGCACCGTTGGCTGAGTCGGATTGGCTTTAATTAGACTTTCTCAAGTAGTGGGACCCGGTTTGGCGAGTTCTGTCGCCTCTGGGCCTGGAGACGATGATGGCCCCGCTGAGTTAACCGGAATCATTTGAGCGGTGTATCGAGATCTTAGAGTAGGGGTTCGTACGGCTGCGGTGTGTGCAGTAGGTAGGGTGGCCACAGAGGTATTCGAGGCTTTCAGATTTCCCAATGGCGAGTCCAAGGGCAAAGATGAGTGCAATAGAGTAGAAGGCGTCTGAGGAACAAGATTCGTCGACGATGCCTGAAGAGGCGCTGACGAGGTTTTCGAGGCCGGCTGGGGCGTGGACACCGCACGAGGAGACCGCCTGGGCGACTGAGTCCGGGACAGAGCCTCCTGAGTGTCCGAGTCCGACAACAGGACCACTGGTGGAGCTGTCGACCGCTGATGAGAAGCAGGCACTATGGTGATAGGACAATTGTGCGTAGGCCTAATAGTTTGGCCTCTTGGCGCTATTTTTCGTGGAAGCATTTGTCCAATCCTGACTCCCCGAACGGGGGCTGCTGCTGATCTTTTAGCTAAAACCTCACATTTATTAACATTGCGTTTTAAAGCTATATGATTCTTCCGGTATACTTTTCCCGTATCGTAAAGTATGTTTTGTTTGTGATCTTGAATTTTGCCGGTCTATAAAGTGGTTTGACAGATTTTCTATCTAGACATTTTCTGTAAATTTTTACTTTATCAGGGCTATGTAACAACAGAGATTCTAAAGTACTCGTACCGGAAAGTCCGGTGAAGCTGAAGGCTCTCTACTCGGCGCATCCGCAACGCGGTCGTAAAACCTCAGGAAACTTTTATTGAGGCCTGTTTTTAGAGCATAAGCAATCTCATTTTCGCGCGACCCAAGTTCCCGCATCAGGTTTCGTCCCGTCTCCACGTTGATATTGCGTTTAATCTGGCTCCAATTATTAGCAGCAAGTGCAAGTTCTTCAAGGGCCTTATATTACTTGGTGTCGGCTATCTTCTGGCCCGGGACGATTTTCTTGAAGCGGAGTGGCACATCTGGACTGTGAAGACCGCTTTTGACCACTTTTACTCTGTCCAGGCTATAATCTTGACTGTGACGGTTTTGCGGCTTCAAGAGACTCCGCGCAAGTGAACTTTGATCAGAAGCATTAGCAAGAATCTTATCCCTAGCCAAAGAAAATTCCGTATTCGGTTTTCTACCGAAGTGAACTTCAAAAGGGGATTTCTTAAGGATTGCATGCTTGGATTTTCTAAGGTCATCCAAGATCGTGTGGAGTACATGATTGAGACCTTTATACTGAGGGCTAAATGCCTCTGTTCCCAATTTACGTTTTATCGTCTGGAAAGTCCTTTCCACTAGACCACAGCCACAGTGGTCAAAGGCTGGACAGAACAATTGATCGATTCCCAAGTTTTTGCAAAATTCTTTAAGCAACGTATTTTTAAGCACGTATTCCGTGGTCTGTGCGTATAGAATTTGGTATGCCGTGGATGCGTATATAGGCTTCTAGGAACTTGACCACTTTTTTGGAACCGGTATTTTTTGTAAGTAAAGCGGACGGGAATTTTGAGAACCGGTCTACTGCGACTAAGATGAAGACCTTTTTCCCTTTTTCATCCTGCAACGGACCAGCAAAATCTAACTGCACTTCATCGTTAGGAGCAAAGAGGGGAGGGAGCGGTAGCGAAGAATTAAAGGTTTTATATGACTTCAGGTTCTTACCAAACTTGGTACATTCCATGCACCCCTGACATTTCTCAACGATTTGGCGATTCATGTAGGGCCACCAAATATACTCCGCCGTCTCCATCATAGCTTGCTGGCCCGGGTGAGAAAGGTGGATTCGGGTCAGGATCGCCGAACGGAGTTTGAAGGGTATTGCCAGCTTGTTGTCGATTAGGATACAGTTATCCACCACAGACGCGATTGGACAAAACTGCGAAGTGTACACACCCTGTTTCGAGAAGGACTGAACGTCGTTGTCCAAGATTTCCCTCTTCATGGGCCCGAGAAACTCATCTTTGTCAGTAAGTTCCGTCAGCAGCCCAACATCGAATAAGCTGGGAAGGCCTACTATCTCCTTTTTATCTTGGGAGACAAAGAGTTTCGTCTTGATCGCATAAACTCCTTAAGACTCACGCTGCTGACGGGCCCGGATTGCGAGGCGTCTGCGACAACACTTCTCGATTGAACTCGCAATTGACTGTAGTGGAATTCTGGGAGGCCCCTGACGATTCCTCTGAGCTTGATTGCTGACGGTCTGCAGTAGAGTGTATCTGAGCAACGGGCGAGAGCGTGGCGGGTTGGCCAGAGCCATTTCCACAATAATAGGAGCCGGGGTGCTAGGTGAAATGAGAATTGGGGCCGCATCGAAGTTTTCGACAAAGTCGAGGAGATTTTCTCTGACTGCTGTATTACCCAGCAAGGCAGAGGCGTTAATAGGCGAAGTCAGATCGGAGTGTGATTGGCCAACTGAATATGAGTTAACAACTGAGCAAAACTGATTTGAGAATGACTTGTTTTGGCCTTGAGGATGCGTGAATTTCAATTTTGAAACTGATTGGTTGAGTACGGGATCATACGACCGATCACCCTCTAGCGACTTGATGCTTTTTGAGCATCTTTTTTCTGATTGGCTGAGCACTTCCGTCAAATTTATGCATCCCTCGCGTGGCGAAAAACTTGAACGAACGCACGAACGTGATTGGTTAATATTTTCCGTCAACGAGCGCCACTTAATTGGTGTCCACTTACCTGAAACCACATTGAATTGTGATTGGTGTAGATTGCTAGTGACACAATCAACTGCCCCTTGCGGAGGACAACTGCATACGTCGTTGTGGCAATGCGATAGAAAATCATCGGCCCCTGCCGGTGTTTGTTCACCACTAGTGAATCACTCTGATTGGACGAGAGTAATTGAGTTTGAGAATTCGCCCTCTCGCCGCATTGCACCGGAAATACCAATGTCAACTGACTTTTTGGCGAAGTGTAAATCCTCAGTGGATATATGAGAAACAGAAGTGTTGTCGGTGAGATCTGGTGGCTGCACTCAGGCGCCAGCCATAATTGAGTTACACGCTTGAGTGAAGTTTTCTATAGCTTTGATGACAAATAACTCATCGTAAACGGAACTGGGGGGGGGGGGGGCGTCAAATGTAGGGTTTCGAGAAAGATAATCAACCATACCAAGCGTAGCACCAGGCACGTGCCTGATGTCATAATCAAACGGTAAAAGCCTGTCCGCCCAGCGTGTTAAGCGTGACTGATATGGTCTATTTCCTCTGTGTTCTTTTAGGGCCGAAATGATGGCTTTATGGTCCGTTAGTATCTCGAATTTATTACCTAATAGGTACGTGCGGAAATGCTTGTACGCCCAGACCACCGCTAACAATTCAAGTTCATTAGTGTTATATTTAAGTTCTGCGGAATTAAGGAAGCGTGAGGCAAACGAAAGAGGTACCCATAAACCTGCATCGGTCTCTTGCTCCAGACATGTTCCCAAGCCGCTGTGGCTTGCGTCACACTTGACGCGCGTCTTCTTTGCCGGGTCATAAAGGATCAAGTCAGTAATTTCTGCAACGAGATCCAGAATTTTCTGGAAAGCCCCCTCCTGAGGTTCTTTCCAAACGAATTTCCTCTTATTACCAAGTTTAAGAGATTCCTGAAATTCGCACGTGAGGTTATGTAATCCAGGCATAAACTTCTGAAAATGGTTGAGGGTTCCCATGAAAGACCGGAGTTGCTTAAGTGTCCTAGGTGCCTTCAAACTGCGAACTGCTTCAATCTTGGAGAATTTTGGGGAACAACCAGAAGAGTGGATATCGAAACTCAGCCAATCGAACTTATCCACTCCGAACTCGCATTTGGACAACTTCAACGCAAGACCTTCCTCATCCATCATAGAGAGAACTTTATAAACAATTTCAGTATGTTGAGACAGCGTCCCCTTTGAGACCACTAGAATGTCATCCAAATAGCAAATAGTTCCCGGAATTCCTTGCAGCGTACAATCCATCGATTTTTGAAACTCCGACGGCATATCTGTCAACCCGTAGAACCTAGTGTTGAATCTGTACGTTCCTGTCGACTCTCCGCAATGATATTGAAGTTACAATGACTACTCGTTAATTTCGAAAGTTTAATTTGACTGAACACGTATTTTAAGTCGAGAGACATCAACCATACCAAACCAGGGACATCAGTAGTAATGATCTAAGCTGCCGAATCGATTGGTTCTTGAATATTTGGCATTTGATACTTATTTTTCTATATTTGAGCGTTGAGGGGTTGAGCATCCATTGCGAGTTTAATCGATCCATCTTTCTTTGCTGTTATCACAATGGGGTTGATGAAATGACCTGTAGTGCACTTCACAAATTTTGGACACTGATGAATCGTGATTTCGGATTTTGTCGAAGCAACACATCCGCTAACCTTTTGTTCAAGAAAGACACCGGACTTCCTGTGTCGACTGTAGCATAGAATGACTTTGCGTTTGAACGTAACATCAGACTCAAATTACGGGGTGTACCACGGTTAGACTTTAGCAGTTCCAAACTACAAATTCGAACTGAAGAACGTTTACTTCGCGGTTGGATACTGAGAATTCCATATTCAGGTTCACTGTCATCGTCTTGATCCAGAACAATATGATCGATCTCCCTTTCCAGGCTTGATTGCGCTTCCTCTTCTTCCACACGATTAACTCGACGTCTAGAGTTACACACTTTTGCAAAATGTCTTTTTATTCTTACATGTACGGCATTCTACATCTCGCGCCGGGCAACTTTTCGATGGTCCGGAGAATACGTGTTACTGCAAAAATAACACGAACGTGATGGATTTTGACTTTTCTTGTCCAGTGCATTTTATTTGCGGGAAGAGGATTGACCACCACCCCGACGCGATTGAACTGAGAAGGTTGGCTCTTGTTTGATTTTGGGCAAGCTGAAAGAGGAAGAAACGTTCTTATTGTGGGGTAAGATCTTCTGGAACTCCCTTGAAGTAGAAGCACCTTTCTCCAGCTCCAACGCTAATTTTAAGGTTCCAGTGGCGTCCGGATTTTTTCGAATTAAAGTACTTTGGACGTCGAGCCACGGATACGTCCTATAAACAAGTCTCTTACCACACTGCGTTCTTCCTGTTCGGTCCAATTACAGCCAGGGTTGGGTTTTAAAACAGCCAACCCTGATTACAGCACGCCGCCTGAGCCGACAGTCTTGAGTGAAATGATAAAAATGAATCGTTCGCTTCCATGTACCAAGAATTATAAAGTTTAATGCGTTCCATGGCGACATTAACTTCCACCTTGAAAGCAAGCGTAGACACAGTTTTGGAAAAATTCTCTAAACGATAGTCGATTGAGGTCCGCATGTGGAAAAGCTTGCACCAGTTTCTTTCTCCTTTCATTTCCCAGGGCTAAAAATAGTCTGGATCTTGCTCTTGCACCAATTCATTCCGATTCGCGGACCTTTCTTCCTCCTTTCGGCATTAGCTTCTTCCACCCGTCGTCTTACGGCGGCATCTCAGCGAAGGCGATCATCCGATTCTTGTTGAGACTCTGGGTCCGACCTAGATTCTGGTCTGGGAGGGGGGTCGTCGTGCACGTCGCCGGGCTCAACAATAACGTCCGAGACATTGAAATTATCGTTTATACCTAGTGCTAGGCTGAATTGACCGAACCAGCTATCCCAACTATAAGGTGGGGAAAGAGATGGCTTCGTCCAGAATGGGGGTAAGGCAGCGAGGTCCGTCCTGTCATCCGATACAGGAACTGTTGGCTGCGCCATGACATTTACCGAACTCAGGGACCGAAAAACTCGGTAAAATCGAAGAGTTGAATTAAATAACTACAGCTGTAGTATATAAGTAATATTGTACTTATAAGGGATCTTATCCGATCCAGAGTTTCATAAACTTTCATAATCAAAGGGTTTTCAAGTAGTTAAGGACAATAGTTGTTAGCTAACGTAACAAATAAGAATAGGTCTGTATCTTAGCACAGATGAACAGACAGATGAGCAAAAGATTAAGCACCATGAGATATAGCTTAGCACGGCTGGTGGGAGATCTTTGACGCCACTGCAATAACTGCAGCAAGAATGCAGCGAATAAATATACTATGTTATATGCGTGGCATGACAGTTGTTAAATTCTTGTCATGACGTAAAACTGAGTACCAGCAAGCGTTTCAAGTGATAGATAGAGGACTTTAACTTGTTTTTAGAGATGACAAAAACTGCAAATGATTTCGAAAAAAGCAGCTATGTCAGCCTTTCAAATTCAATTATTAATTCTCCCAGGGTGATAATAAAGATCTTTGAAAGAACGTGTTAGTGAAATATGTACGTGGAATTTTGCAAAAAATCCGATTTTAAGACAGCTCGGTAGAAGGCCGGCAAAGATTTTAAAAGTTAGGAATAAGTTACTTTCAACGAAAGTATCAAAAATCATCCAGCAAATAAGAGAAGAAAACATCTTGGCAGAAAACTGTCTTAATTCTGCAAAAAAAAATATACCACAAACCATCAAAACAATAATCTTAATTCTCAGCAGGAAGCTCAATTATTTAGTTTGATCTGTAATTGTGCTTTATATCATCAAAAACCTTTTGACGCCTCGAAGGCTTGAATAATTCAGCGCCTTTTTCACACTGAAGAGTTAGATTGAAGAACGCAAAGTTTCCCTTCATATTTACGCTAGTTTTCTGTTAACTATTTGCGGGTTGCCTTTTCGTTACCACGTTGTCACTGTACCGGTCAGAGAAATGCCATCGAGTCTAATAACTGGTTCCCATAAACCAAATATAGCCAACAGAGAGTTGGAAAAATAAACAATGTAGACGCAAAAAAAAGAGTCAAACTAGAAAAAGTACAGGCTTGTTTTTGAAAACATAGCCAACTGACAGTTGGGAAAAAGTAATGAAAACAAGGAAACTGAAAAAAAACAATAGTTTTTCAAAATTCTTCAACTTTTCAGAAAAATCAATAGATTGCCTTAAAGCTCTTTGAATTTGTAGAACAATTCATGAACACTTTTTGTTAAAAATAACCCAATTTAAGAAAAATTGGATCAATAGGTGAAACTTTTATTTCGCTGGGAAATCTGATAATTATTGTCCATTTTCGAAATTAGAAGTCGATCACGGTCTTCGTGACCTTCACACTTTTGCTGTTCGATAGTGGAGTTTTCCCTACTTTTAACAATGGAAATGTACTCAACTTTAAAAAAATCACAAGACAAATCGCGAAAAATCTATGTTGAACGTAAACAAAATTTGAGTCTTTTTCCTGAAAAAAAATCAGCAACACCTATATAAGTTTTCACTACAGACATAACTCTTAAAAACAAACGAAGATGATAAAAAACTAGATAGCCTCTTTGAACCTAAATTCATTTTTGAAACCAAAAGTCGATCATGTTTTTTATAAACTTTACACATTTGTTCGATAAGGAAGCAAAAGTCAACTCAGACACAAAGCTACACTTCGCATACACAAGCAAAAATATGACCGATAACGCTACTGGGAAAAACTGAATGAGTGCAACTTTGAGTCTACAAAATTTCTTAAGTGACGCACGCCAATTATGAGTCTACATAATTGCTAAGTGACGCAAGCCAATTATGACGCAATAGCAGTACCAGTCAATTTGAAAAAAGAAAGAAATTTACCAACTAACATGCCTCAATTTATAGAGCGGACGCATTTTAACTAGTATACGAAAAATTTCATTAAAAACATCAGACACTGCCAGGTTCGAACCCTCTTATTTTGTTGCTGGTCTCCTTCCCTACCTCTATGCTACAGACCCATGATATCTTGAAGCTAAAGTGCAATTTGTAATATAATAGCCGCTGTTAATATCCCTAGCATTGGCTGCACTTAATAGCCTGATCAAAATGAACAGTTTCAGAATGAACACATTTTGTCGCAACAATTGCATCGCAACAATATTTGCACGACTTAGGTAGGAAAAAAAGAAAGTTCATACTATAACACAAGCAATGCTTCTGTAAACAACGAATAGTCAAATTTGGGCATGAAAAATTTCAAGGCTTTTACTTGAAACAAAAAACACCACGACCTATATAAGAGTCTTTAATACGTTCTTCGACTCTTAATAAGACAAGAATTAGATTGCGCAACGAATTAATTGCCGCAGTGAACACATATCCATTTTTGGAGAGTATCGTGCCGTTCGTGACTTTCAGCTGTGGATAGGCCAAAATCCCTGTCTGAATGTCAGACCAGTCCACAGTCACTTCTGCCCTAACCCTAAGCCTAGTACCGGTGCGTTTTTCTATTTGACCCTAAAAAATGGCCGACCTGGGAAAATCGAAAACTATTGCGAATTAGGATAAATAGAGGTCATATATGGACTCTCGAGAGCATTTACACCAATCCCTATGTTTTTTTTATCCTTTTGCGGCTTTTGATAAAAAAAATATTGGGATCATTTTTTGTTGGGGTTAAGAAAAATGAAAGTTGGGTTTTGCAAAGTTCGCATAGAAAAATTGTTTTTTTTTCATCAATTAAGAGATCGGGACAGCTAGTATATGGTCTCTAGTTTCCAAAAATGTCAATTAGAGCTAACTTTTATCATTTTAAGACAAAAAAAAACTTATTCGAAAATGGGTGCGTTTTTGGTCATTTTTGGGGTTAAGCCCAATTTTTCATAACAGTGTGTCAAAGTCAATCAATTGCTTTGAGTATGTTCTATACATGATTTTCGAGTGTCGTTTGGGTCAGTAGGTTGTTAAAACAAAACAAAAATGTTAAAAAATGCAATTTTTTGGTTTTTTTTTAACCGAAAAAATCCAAAAAGTCCCGACTTTTCTTTTGTGAAAAAAAAAAATGTGATGTTTTTTAACCAACTTAAAAGAAATATATTCGTGTTCCTCTTGAAAAACCCTACATTTTAGTGTATTTATTTTCTCTCTAAAGTCAATTGAATGATATTTTAGGACAAGTGCGTTTTTGGAAAAAGTTGGGGTTAAGACCTATTTTGTTTTTTTTTTACCCTAAAAATTCAACCAACCGTCCAAAATCGATAAATGATACATGGTTGGACTTATCCTGAGCCAAGGAATCCAGAGAAAAAGTTGGGGTTAAGAATCAGAGTTAAGTTAGGAATTAGTTACTTTCAACGAAAGTATCAAAAATCATCCAGCAAATAAGAGAAGAAAACAGCTTGGCAGAAAACTGTCTTAATTCTGCAAAAAAAAATCCATAAAAAATATACCACAAACCATCATAAACAATAAAAACAATAATCTTAATTCTCAGCAGGAAGCTCATTTATTTAGTTTGATCTGTAATTGTGCTTTATATCATCAAAAATCTTTTGACGCCTCGAAGGCTTGAATAATTCAGCGCCTTTTTCACACTGAAGAGTTAGATTGAAGAACGCAACGTTTCCCTTCATATTTACGCTAGTATTCTGTTAACTATTTGCGGGTTGCCTTTTCGTTACCACGTTGTCACTGTACCGGTCAGAGAAATGCGATCGGGTCTAATAACTGGTTCCCATAAACCAAATATAGCCAACAGAGAGTTGGAAAAATAAACAATGTAGACGCAAAAAAAAAGTCAAACTAGAAAAAAGTACAGGCTTGTTTTTGAAAACATAGCCAACTGACAGTTGGGAAAAAGTAATGAAAACAAGGAAACTGAAAAAAAACAATATCTTTTCAAAATTCTTCAACTTTCAGAAAAAACAATAGATTGCCTTAAAGCTCTTTGAATTTGAAGAACAATTCATGAACACTTTTTGTTAAAAATCACCCAATTTAAGAAAAATTGGATCAATAGGTGAAACTTTTATTTCGCTGGGAAATCTGATAATTATTGTCCATTTTCGAAATTAGAAGTTGATCACGTTTTTCGTGACCTTCACACTTTTGCTGTTCGCTAGTGGAGTTGGCCCTACTTTTAACAATGGAAATTTTCTCAACTTTAAAAAAATCACAAGACAAATCGCGAAAAATCTAAGTTGAACGTAAACAAAATTTGAGTCTTTTTCCTGAAAAAAAAACAAAAAAATCAGCAACACCTATATAAGTTTTCACTACAGACATTACTCTTAAAAACAAACGAAGATAATAAAAACTAGATAGCCTCTTTGAACCTAAATTCATTTTTGAAACCAAAAGTCGATCATGTTTTTTATAAACTTTACACATTTGTTCGATAAGGAAGCAAAAGTCAACTCAGAGACAAAGCTACACTTCGCATACACAAGCAAAAATATGACCGATAACGCTACTGGGAAAAACTGAATGAGTACAATTTTGAGTCTACAAAATTTCTTAAGTGACGCACGCCAATTATGAGTCTACATAATTGCTAAGTGACGCAAGCCAATTATGACGCAATAGCAGTACCAGTCAATTTGAAAAAAAAAGAAATTTACCAACTAACATGCCTCAATTTACAGAGCGGACGCATTTTAACTAGTATACGAAAAATTTCATTAAAAACATCCGACACTGTCAGGTTCGAACCCTCTTCTTTTGTTGCTGGTCTCCTTCCCTACCTCTACGCTACAGACCCATGATATCTTGAAGCTAAAGTTCTATTTGTTATATAATAGTCGCTGTTAATATCCCTAGCATTGGCTGCACTTAATAGCCTGATCAAAATGAACACTTTCAGAATGAACACATTTTGTCGCAACAATTGCATCGCAACAATATTTGCACGACTTAGGTAGGAAATAAAGAAAGTTCACACTATAACACAAGCAATGCTTGTGTAAACAACGAATAGTCAAATTTGGGCATGAAAAATTTCAAGGCTTTTACTTGAAACAAAAAACACCACGACCTATATAAGAGTCTTTAATACGTTCTTCGACTCTTAATAAGACAAGAATTAGATAGCGCAACGAATTAATTACCGCAGTGAACACATATCCATTTTTGGAGAGTATCGTGCCGTTCGTGACTTTCAGCTGTGGATAGGCCGAAATCCCTGTCTGCATGTCAGACCAGTCCACAGTCACTTCTGCCCCCGGCGCAGTCCTGATCAACACGAGTGAAGGCGCCCCACCTATAATCAACTAATACAGAATCCAATATTTTCCAATCCGATTGACAATATAAAACTACTATTTTCTCATTACAAAAATTTGGATTTTTTTCAAATAAAGGTAAATCGCATTCACATTTGGTTTTCTGGAGATTTATTAGATTAAATTTTCAAAAGTAAATGCTAAAAGCAAAATAAGCAGCCGAAGTTGTTGAAAAAGTTATAAAAGTCACAAGCAGGAATTTCTGTTCAAACTGAAGTTTCGCTGGTTGTATTGCTCAAATTATATTTCTAGGCGTAAATGACTATAATCGGTGATTGATTCTGATTCTGACCGATGGTGGACCAAGCGAAGAATAGTGTGTCGGAGGCAGAAGTGGATTTGGTGAGGAGCAGATTGTCCACATGGGATGCCACTCCGCTCTCAGAGGAGCAGATAGTGTTGTTTTCACCACAGTTCGGGTTGTACTGTGGCGGAGAGAGCTAAACACACATCATTATGTCAAATTGCTCATGACACTCCTCCAAAAAATCTTCGAAATTTGTTTTGCAGATTTGCTACTCGATTTATTGATATTTGAGCTCCGCTTTGAACACAAAAAAAAACTAGCGCGAACAACTTTTCAGGCCTCGCCTGTTAATAGAAAGTCGATACAACCAGTAACGAGTTTGGATGGAAGCCGCTTCCCCTCAGAGATTATAAATCATGAGGTCAATTTTTGACCAACCCTAAAAAAATTTAAAAGGCTAAAAATTTCCTCATTTTTCGACCAAACCTTAAAATTTTGTAAATGTTGAGGGAAAGCGGTCTCCGAAAAAAAGCGATGTTTTGGTAAAAATTTCCCAAGTGCCTAAAAATGTATGCTTTGAACCGTTTTCTACAAATTTCGTGGAAAACCAATTTCATCGACAAACAAATTTAAAAAATTGCATTCCATCGAGAGAATCTTACATCTGACCCTGGCCACACCAATCAAAGGTGTCGCTAATTAATGTCAATTACACATTAAACATCTAGCATAAAATCAAGACACAACAGGAGAAAAACATACCAAAACATACCAAGCTATAAAATTGGATTACTTCATTAAAAATGCCTAAATCTAAACAAGTGTTGCAAAAGAATTATGCGTTGAATTAATTATAAATTCCCAAAATTATTAAATGCGGAGCAAAATCAATGTTCAGTTTCACAAACGTGTATTACATTTCATAGCTGTAAATAAATAAAACAAGGATAGCCGGTTGCTGTGCAAAAAGCGCAGAATGTTCCGAACATATTCATAAAATACTACAAAAAGGTTTCTTTTTTGCTTTTAGTGCGTGGTGTGAACTAGGCATAACCGACAGCCCTTGACCTCAAAAAAGGAATAGCAAACAACATACTGAAAAAAAATTGTTTTTTTGAATACTTTTTCAATTTTTGACCCAATTATTTTCAAAATTCATTGAAAAACCTTTATTGCCAAGAAAGCGCAAAATGAAACTTCCGAAATTATTTTTGGTTAAAGCAATTTTTCTTTGCCTGAAGCTTAAAATTAAATAGATTTTTTATTTAACGAATGTTACTCGATCGCTTTACCCGTTCGAAACTAAGACTCAAAAGCTTAAACCAGTTTGTCTCGACACTGGGGCAACTTTTTGAAGTTTTTTTGATGTCGTTCGACTGAAAGCGCTTTAATTTGATGTATCACAACACATTCCGATAATTACTTCTGGCACCTGACTTTGCGAGGAAAAAAATAGGAACACACCCGAATACAAAGTTTTTCCTTATTTTCAATGGCCGAAATAAAAACAGTATCATATAGGAATTCAGTCATATTGTTGTCAACTAAAAGCCACCAGTTGGCTACCCAAATTCAACCCAACCAAACTGCATTTTAAACAAAACGAGGCGAGAAAAACTGTATCGACCCAGTTGGAGTAATTCGTTCTAAATAATTCCTACTAGGTAGCTACCAACCTCAACGCGCCGTCCACGAAACAACAAAGAAGAACAATGGTTTGAAACCACTATGACATCGTTCCTCTAATACCAAAAGCAGCACTTTTCAATCACAAACCGTGCTAAAAACCTTGAGTTTATAAACCAGCACCGTCAAAAATCATCTACAATAAAGCTTAAAACTTAATTCCACGGGAAGTTGACACTATTGAAAACATGTTCCGTGTGATACCAAATGCAAATTTGCTCAGCTCCGATCTGCGTATTCTCTACGTCCGATTAACTACCGTAATCGGTGAGAGCCTAAAACTCCCAATGCTTGTGAAATATGTAGTCAAGGCCCTCCCAGTCTGCATCACATGGTTAACTGCGGATGCACAATCAGATGGACAGACGTAGCCATCGTCAGTCTCTGAACTGAATCTCTTCGACTAGCTGAATCCCATCAGCTCACACAGCAAGGAGGAGTGGGATAGCTAAACTCCATTTAAGACTCAATATTCTTGACAGAGGTTGCTGGCCTCACAGCACGAAATACCAAGAGAACCAATCGGACGAAGTCCAGTGTAGAATGAAGTTTAAGTGAAACGCACCTGTGGTATGCTCTAAATATCCCCTTCGAGGCCTGGGACGGGATTAAAACAACGAGATAATCTTTCATTCCCTCCGAGTTAAAAAGTCAAAAAGAAACGAAACCCGCTGTCGAAAAAGATGAGGCTACAACAACCATTGTACCATTTTGAATGAATATGAAAAATATGTTTTACCTCCAAAAAAAATGAGCGATTCTGGCCGAATTTCGAAACTTTTGCCCCCAAAAAAACGACCTAAATAACTAAGAGTTGACAACTCAAAAAAAGTTGAAACAACATTGTACGAATTGCAGTTGAAAAATGAATGCGTAATAAGATCTAGCTGGAAACTAGGTCAAATTTAATCATTTTAAGAATGTTAAGAAAAAACTAATTTAACGAACTTAAAGACCATTTTGAGAGAGTACTTGAACAAAATAGGATTAGGAGAAAGCATATTGATTTAAAAAATTCATTCTTAATAATCATTAGTTAAACAAATTATTACACGCACGAAATTTAAGCGGAAACAAAAAAGTGTAAGTTTAAGAAAATTGAAACAAAAAAATCAACATAGAGGCGAAGCTGAGCTATGCACCACTTGCAATACAAAACAGAAGGAAAAAACAATTGAAAATGTCGAAAAAACTACATCTATCAAAATGAATAAGGCTAGTTATGAAACACAAACATGCCAAGACAATGTAATTTAAATAAGCATCGAAATGTAAATTACCCAGCGTTAACAAAGCCGAAAATACCTTGGCCGAAACACTTGAAGCCAAAAAAAATCAGGACTTAAGACTTTATGAAAATTCGAATAAAACCCCTCGCCCTCAAAACACTCAAAAAAAAACTTGCTCGTCAAATGAATCAATGAGAGGCCACTAAACCGATATAATATAGACCGAAACCTATTAAGCCCAAAAAAGGCAAATAAAAAAGGCCGAAAAAAATCTAAAAATCTTAGACTAATAACTTATTAAGCCCCCTCTACCCTCAGGACACGCACATACAAACTTTTTTCGCTCGTCAAAGCACGCAATAGGAAGCCAATATATCATAAGCCGAAACCTATCCAGCCGAAAAAAAAGTTGTCATGAAAAAAAATAACTATAATTTCTATTAAGATTTTTGTGCATTTTGTGCAATCTAGAAGGGGGCAGAGAAATTATGTTTCCATCGAAACAAATAAAAAAATAAGCCACTAAACCGATAAAAAAAACAAAAAAGAGAAAACTTACGGAGTCAAGGTTAGTAAAGTTTCAGCACAGAGTTAAAGTTAACACAAGTTCACACTTCGCATACACAAGCAAAATATGACCGATAACGCTACTGGGAAAAACTGAATGAGTACAACTTTGAGTCTACATAATCTCTCAAGTGAAGCACGCCAATTATGAGTCTGCACAATTGCTGACGCAAGGCAATTATGATGCATTATCAGTTAAAAGAAAAAAAATACCAACTAACATTTCTATTTCTAGAGCGGACGAATTTTAACTAGAATTCGAAAAAATTCATTAAAAATATCCGACCCTGGCCAGGTTCGAACCCTCTTAATTTGTTGTGGGTCTCCTTCAATACCTCTACGCTACAGATTCATGATACCTTGAAGCTAAAGTGCTATTGGTAATATAATAACCTGTGTTAATATCCTTAGCATTGGCTGTACTTAATAGCTGGTTAGTGATCTTATGCACATGCTGGAATAAAAGAACACTTTCAAAATGAACACTAATATTTGCGACTTAGGTTGAAAATAAAGAGAGTTCGCACTATCACACAAGCTTTGTTTGCTTGTGTAAACAGCAGAGGTAAATCAGATCATTAAAAGCAACTATAATGTAAAAAAATTAAAATTAAAACAATTCTACAAAATGGCACTAAAGCCGACAAAACATAATCAGACAATAAAAAGCCAAATTTTTTTAGACTATTTCCCGATTGAAAAAAATAGGCCCCGTCAGATTCAAACCCAGGACCTTTGCCGTCCTAGGCGCATTCGTTACCTCCAGACTAAGTGTACCGGAGATGCAAAAAAATTGAATTCATTATGAACTGAACCTGCTGATCAAAAACGTTCGCATGCTGAGCGAAGTTCCTAACGGATAAAGGTCCAAAACCGGTTGCGGTACCCTGGCTGATAGCTAGAGTAATGAGAGATCTAAGCGGATTGGAAATAATTGCGCTCCTTTAGACAAAACTAACTCAAATAGAGGACAGGTATTTTTCCCACAAGGTAATCAAATTCAAACCTACTCACTTTTCTGACCAATCCATTGGCAAGTAGAATAGAAGTTAAAAATAAGCTGAGCTTCAAGATTTGATACATTTTGTATCTGAAACAAAACGACGAGGTAAACTCTAAACAGCAATCACAAACAAACCATATTTGTTTTTAACATCAATAGGTCAACAAAAGTTTTAAACCAACTTTGACTCATGCTATACTGAAAGTCTAAAATCGAGAGAAATCAAAAACTGAATTGCTTCCAAATTTTAAGCAATTTTTTTTCTTCAAAAATACATCAAGTTAAAAACCTTCCACCTAAATAAAACAAGTAAAGATCTCCTTCCCTATTATTGAATGTGGAATAAAATGACGCAATTCTGGCTGGCTAAAAAATCCAGCTAAGAAGTGGAAAAAATCCTCCCAAAAATCGCTTTAGAGGAGGATACTAAATTGGTTTGAACTATCTGAAGGCGTGCTTACGGTGCCGTGATTACAACATTAGAAAAGGTTTAACTGATGAAATTGAATTGCAACATAATGATTACACTTCAGCATTAAATTACTGCACTCGTTCCAGAAACGCACAAGCAACTACTCCACTAATTATGCTATTTGCTTGACGAGGAACATTAGAAATCAAATGAGTCCAAAAGCTCATCTGATTTCTGCTGAAAAATAGCTTGCTGTTACTTTGTTCAGTAACTAGTTTAAAGCTAGCCAAGAGACAGTATTCGCCGTTTTCGCTTATAAAAATAACGTGTTATAGAAGTAAGATAGCAATTTCGGCCATAAATAATTAAGCTAATAGTCAACCATCTAGTTACAAAGGTAGAGCAGTAGAATCATTCAACTAATTATAAGAATCATTCAACTAATTATAAGTTCACATTCTGAATATTCCAAAATCGGTTTTGTCTTTATCTGCTGCGCCTTTTTGATCTAGAGTGGCTGCCAGACTCAACCCCAGCACTCTGCGGGTGTCTTTGGGGTCAATGATGCCATCGTCCCACAGTCTCGCACTGGCGAAGTAGGGGTGTCCCTCCCGCTCGAAGCTGTCAATAATTGGACGCCTGATCTTCTCCTCCTGTTCTGCAGTCAATTCTTTTCCTACACAAGAGTATTGAGCTGCCTACTAATCAGCACGGTCAAAAACATACCAACAACAATAAAGCAAACCTCCTTTAATATTTTTTGAGGGAGCCGAAGGCTCAATATTAAAAAAAATCGTTTCATTATTAAAAAAATGGTCTCCCAAGTTCTGTAGTCTAGTTTTCAAGATAATTTTGCTGTAATTTTTGTTTTGAAATTTCATACTTTGAAATGATTTGAAATAAATTTCTTTCTTTCCTTCTCTTCTAAGTCGAGAACAAATTTGGTAAAAACTAACTATATACAGATTAACTGCTGTCTCTTTTTATCGACTACCCAATCAGGATAAACGTTGGCAAGACGTAGATAAAAAGTCATTACTCTTGGTTAATTTCGCCCATGATTGAGAAATCATTACGGTTGATTTCGCCCATGATCCGTTCGATAAAAAATCAACAATTACCTTCTTTGGCCTTCTGGTTTTTCTGGATCGTTGTCAGCACTGTAGCTGCCTGTTCTCCTCCCATCACCGATATTCTCGAGTTGGGCCACGTGAACAGGAAATTTGGACTGTACGCACGCCCACACATTCCATAGTTGCCTAATCAAAACCACAACTGCAGCCAAAACTACAGGATATGTTCTTTTAAAGTCTATATTACGCTTTGATACCACTTGCTAATCGCAAGCGTAATCAATCAATAAACGATAGTAGAAGCCGCCAAAACTTGACCGATGAGCGCAAAATACTGCCGTACACAGGAAAAATATCAGAAGAGAATTGCAAAAAATTTATAGAATTAAGGTATTTTCCAATATTTCAGTTAAATCAAAACCGAACTGGCGAATTGCACATTTCTGCGTCTGCGAGATCTTCGGTTCACGCGACAGACTTTGAAGACAAACTTTCCAACTGTATACTGACTTATACTAGTAGGTGTTATTTTACAAAAAAGGAAAACTAACCTGCTCCAAATGAACCTCCGATTATGAGTGTCAATTTGGGAACATTTGCACAAGACACAGCAGTAACCATCTTGGCCCCATGTTTTGCAATACCCCCTGCCTCATACTCCTTGCCCACCATGAATCCAGTGATATTCTGCAGGAACAACAGCGGTATGCCCCTTTGACAACAAATCTGAATGAAGTGTGTAGCCTTCAGAGCCGATTCTGAGAAGAGAACTCCGTTGTTTCCTATTATACCTACTTTGTTGCCAAATAGTTCTGCAAAACCAGTAATTACAGTTTCCCCGTATAGTTTTTTGAACTCATGAAAACGACTTCCGTCGACTATGCGTGCAATCACTTCGCGAACATCGAACGACTTTTTCAGATTATCGCCTACAATGCCGTAGATTTCATCCGGGCTGTAAATCGGTTCTTCCACAGAATGAGAATTCCAGAAATGCGAGGTACTGCTGCGGTTCAGATTAGCAACGATGCTCCTCGCTATTTTGAGTGCGTGCAGGTCATTCTCGGCATAATGATCTGTCACTCCTGACACTTTACAGTGTACGTCTGCGCCTAAAACATGTTGAAGTGCAAGCTATTGACATAAATCGGTGTTGTTTGCCCAAGAGTATACAAGATAAAAACATAGCCACTGACAGTTGAAAAAGAAAAATGAACGCACGGAGTCAGAAAAAATTTCAAGGAAAAAATATATGCCCCTAAAGCTAATAAAAGATTTTGAAGAGTATTGATAAATTTAACCCAATTTGAGATACCTGGATCAACGAGCAATAAATTTATTCCGCAATTCAATTTTCGAAACTAGAAGTCAATCACATTTTTCGTAACCTTTAAGCTTTTGCTGTTAGTGTTCCTTTTAGCAAAATATAAGCTGAACTTAAAAAAGAAATCAAAAGTCAAACCGCGAAAAATCAAAATTGAGCCGGAACAAAACTAGAGACTTTTTCCGGATAAGAAAACTGTCTGTACCTGACTGTACAGTGAGATGAAAACCAGCGTTCCCCAAGGATGCAGTGATTAGTTCGAAAATAAAGTAGGTGTGCATCAAAGATCGGCACTTAGCCCATTGTTGTTTATAACAGTAGTGGAAGAGGCTACGAGAAACTGTCGTTCCAAAGTACCATGGGATATGCTATGAGCAGATGACCTTTTGATATCCCTTGAACCGGTATCCCAATCTATAATGAAGTTAGCAAAACGCGGTTGAAACTTTGCAAAAACGCGATTTAAAAACCAACGTGGACAAGACCAAGCATTTGATTTCTGGCCAAAAGTGAATTCTTCAAAAAAACGGAAAATACCATTGCGCTTGGTTAAAGAGAGTCGGCACCAATCAATGCGACGCCATTCTTGTAAGTAATGGGAGCATAAAAATTCAGTGTTTTGAGAAAAATCCCTAAACAAAATACTAATTGATTATTCAAGATGCAATAATCCTCCCAATTATCACTCGAATCAGAATGATACTCTACCATCAATCAGCTTAAAACCCTGAGTATTGTCCAAGAATTCTACTGTCTGGGTGATATGATTTTCGTTAAAAGAGACGTTTTATGATTTTTAATAAAAGCACGGAAAACTTCGATAGCAGAACGTATTTCCCTATTACATCTTATCCTCTACCAAACTGCACTATACAATTTAGCCTATACTCCGACTTGGCCAATGCCATTTTACCCTATTTTCTAACTTAACCTATGCTAATTTATCTTAAGCTCAATTGTGTCGCGATCAGTTTTTTTTTACTTTTGAAGTGGTTATTAAATACCGAATTACTAACTTTTAGCAATTTAGCGGTTTGCCTTAAGATTGTATTTAATCACAATTAACTAAGTTTAGATCACAATTTTCACAATTAATGGTAGAATGAATGCAAACACTGTTTCATTCTGTATTCAAAATTGCAACAAAAAATGAATGAAATTTCTTGTCGCACTCTTATAATTGATGGACATGAATGTATCACAAAGCAGGAGGCGAAAAAAGGAAATGAACAATGAAAATGTTCAAGATAACACTCGCACAAATGCAAGGTTACAGCTATCACAATTGACGATGACCTAATTTCCTAACAATGATCACAGCCATGAAGTCTTCCCTGGGCAATCGGACGCACGAATTTTTGTTCAGAAGCTGAAATAAGAGACAAAAATCCAGCCTGGCTAAGAGCAGTTCAATTGCAAAATGCCTGCAATCGGTGGCGGACGAAAAAGCACTGCAAAAAGCTTTACCATCTTGACCTGCAACAAACAGGGCTCTAAATCGACAAAAAACAGTTGAAAGACCCTTGCCGATAGGCATTTTGAAATACTGAGACAATTTGCGAGCTTCTGCCTTTTCGACAGCGGTATCGAGGATGAGTATTTCCGAATGAGTATTTAATTTCGGCAAATGCGACAACAAGAATGCTCTTGAGTTGAACCGAGATTTATGGCTTTGTGATGACACCTTTAAATTACGTTCAGTGCAATGTTATCAATTCTATACAATCTACTAACAACTTGCAGGTTTTTACGCCCCGTGTATTTATGCTTTGCTTCCAAAGAAACTAGAGCAGAAAGTTGCCCAACGGTTTGTCACGGCTTACGTGAAATGCCAAGCCCAGCTGTATTCTCCTCGACTTTGACCGTAATGCTGCTCAACGCTTTCTCTTCTCGCAACCCGGGCACATAAAAGGATACTACTTTAATCTAACTCAAACCTATAAACGCGAAATCAACGAAGTCGGTTTGAAACGATCGTACGAACGTAACCATGAGCTCAATTTGACACTACGACTCAGTTGACATGGTTACCGTTTAGTTTGATCGAGTAATCGAAGAAGTTGAGAAAGTTTCTGATCGCTTTGAGCTAGATGAGACCATTAGTAAAAAGCTAGATGAGGTTGCCTCTGATTTCCAAAAAAAACTAAATCAAAGGAGAGACCGAGAGCTATTATTTCCATTAACTTTGTGGAAAACTCAAAAGAAGCTGTATCTGGCCTGGTAAAATGCCGTAAAGGGATGGCATCTTGGTGTCACTGCCCTATTTTAGGGAAGTCATCCTTCTATTTATACGTTCCTGGACCGAGTCAAACTCAATGCAGCCAACCATAAGTTCAATATTCTTAAGGCCGAGGGAGGAAATAGCAACCCAAATGTGAGAAGTACCGAGAATTGAACGAACGAGTAACAAACATTGTAAATAGATTTAATAATGATTCTATCAAAAATTATTTGCATTCTCTTGCTCAATTGAGCTATTCTTAAATGTCAACTTAAGTGCATATACCAATAATATACTTTTTTTTGCCTCCGTGTATATACCAAAAAAGTAAGACACACTGACAACTTTTTTCAAAAAGGAGAACATACCTCCAAGTAGCTCAGCAGACACAATCTCCCCAGTGGCCGCTTGAACCAACGGGGGTCCTCCGAGGAACACTGTACCTTGATTGCGAACTATGACGTTCTCGTCAGACATGGCTGGCACATAAGCACCTCCGGCAGTGCACAGTCCCATCACCACGGACACTTGAGGGATACCCCGGGCACTCATCCTAGCCTTAAAACAACATATATTCAAGATATCATAACCGACTATAGAAAGGCCTGCTTTGCTGCCAAAAGAGAGCAGCTAATCTTTCAAACCTGGCAATCAACTTTTTCGTGAAAAATCACAAAACCATCAAAGTCTTACAACGTTTAGATAAGTGCACACTAACATAACTACCCTCATTGTGCAGCAGATTAATAAAAAAGGATTACCTGATTGTAGAAAATTCTTCCGAAATGGTCTCTGTCTGGGAAGACGTCTGCTTGCAGGGGCAGAAAGGCTCCCCCACTGTCCACGAGGTAGACACATGGCAATCCATTCTCCTTAGCTATCTCCTGTGCTCTCAGGTGTTTCTTCACTGTCATCGGTCTATATGTTCCTCCTTTCACAGTGGAATCATTGCATATTATCATGCAAGTGATGCCATTTATTCTACCTATGCCACATACAATAGCTGCTGATGGTATGTCATCTTCGTACATGTCATAAGCTGCCATCTGCGACAGTTCCAAAAGCGACGAATCTTCGTCCAGTAAATTTTGAATTCGCTCTCTAGGCAGCAATTTGTTTCGCTGCAAGTGACGCTCGACCTCTTTTTCAGATCCTCCTTTTGATATCTTGGCTGATTTCTCATGTAAATCGTCAACAAGTGCTTTCATTTTGGAGTAATTGTCGCTGTAATTTGATGAATTTTTGTCAATACTGCTTTTAAGTACATTGAAGTTGTTGTTGAGATAATTAGATGTGGAAATTTGTCTTGATAAAACTAGCTTTGTTATTGACTGCTTATTACATGAAATCGTGACAAGATGGCTCTTTTTGATGCGCGCGGCTCTGCAGAAAATGCAAGACACTAATTTCGTCATTTTGACCTGAAAATTCAAATTATATAAATCTCAGAAAAAAATGTTCAGTGGCACATCTAGGCACAAAGGCCAATGTTGAACTTCACAAACACAAGTAAAATCAAAGAGAACCTTACCAAGTGAAGCTTAGAAAGATTTGTTACCCTGCCCCTTCCGACATATACGCTAAGTGGGTGATAAATTACAATAGGTGGTCGGTTCAATTTACCACCTTGTAGTCTAGCATAAGTTTATTTGATAACAATTTGGCCTCGTAGAATAACACAAGCGTTTGCTTGTGTAAATAAGGCAGTAACTCTTTCGTAACAATTTTTACGCGCATTTTGTTCCCTTGATGGCGCTTTCAGTTAAATTGATGCATCCCTACGCATTCAGTTTTTGTAGCTGATTTAAAAGCCGGTGAAATAAAACGTGAATTGAAAGAAACTTGATTGAATAAAATCAGGAGATGAATAAAATAGAAGGCAACTCATCAATAAATAAAATGTTAATCACATCAAAATCCAACACTTTTGTTCGGTTTAGCTATAGCGCTATAAAATGAAACATGAAAATGACCTCATTTGGAACCGTTTTTAAACAGAAAATAGTCATGCTTAGCCCCCTTTAATCAGATCGATGTTTTAGTTCTTTTTCTGTTTTCCTGCTACCACAAACAATCATCAAAATGGGTTGAGTGATATTTCATAGTGTCGAGAAAAACCAGTGTGAAATTTTTGATTTTTAGTCTAATAAAAGCTAATGAGGTGAGTTTAAGCAGTCTATTAAAAGATTATTTAAGCTTAATTTCAGCCGTGAAAACTTATTTTTACGCGAAAAGAGTTAGTTTTTGGAGTTTTTAGCGCCAATTTGGATACCAAAAGCTTCAAAATTCAAAAACTTTCGGCAAAAATTTGTTTTTCTAGTCGTTTTTCTCTTAAAACTGTTTCCTAATTGGCCTATTTTACTATGAAAGAAAAATATACCTAAGTTATAATTGTTCGTTCTGATCTCTTTTTATCAAACCATGAAAAAAAACGACACTATTTTGAAAAAAAGCCTTTTTTTGAGATTATGGTCGGAACATTCTGTGCTACTTGCACAGTAACGGGCTATGCGCGTTTTTTTTCTTTATCGCAAAACTGTCCGTTTGCAAATCATCCGATTAAAAATTTTGCGCCAATTCTAAGTTGACGATTTAAAATATTCGAATAAAGCCAACTGACAGTTGGAAAAGAGTAATGAACGCAAGGAAACTGAAAAAAAAAATACTTGTTTTTTCAAAAATCTTCAACTTTCGAAAAGAAATCTTCTGAATTTCGAAGCAAAAAAACAGATGGCCTTAAAGCTCTTTACATTTGTAAAACGATTTATGATGGACACTTTATGTCAAAATTAACCCAATAGGAGAAACTTAACCCAAAACTGGATCAATAGGAGAAACTTTTATTCCACAGGGAAATCTGACAATTAATTTCCATTTTCGAAAATAATTTCCATTTAAATAGGTTCCCTTTAAGCTCTTTGAATTTCTAGAACAATTTTTGATTTGCGCTTTTTTGATAACATTAAGCCAACTTGAGAAAACTGGAAACTGGATCAAAGGGTTAAGTTTTTATTCCGCTGGAAATCTAAAAATTAAATTCCACTTTCGAAGCTAGAAATTGTTCACGAATTTTTGCGCCATTTGCACGTTCGTATTTGGAGAGTGCATTTTACGTCAATTTCAACAGATGAATTTCAATTGAACTCAAAAGTGCATATATACCTAAGTGTATCAATATTTTAAGACTTTTTCCTGAACAAAAAAAATCAGCAAGACCTATATAGGAGTACTCACTACGTTCATTACTCTTAAAATGGAGTATTCTATCGAATGTGATTTAAGGGTGGCGAATTGATGGGACAGAGACCTTCTTGGTATCAAACACAACTCATTCCAGCAGCTCGCTGTTTCGAGCTGCACTTATACTTTACGAGCAAACAAAAAATTAAAACTGATTTCACATGAAGTCACTAAAGAATGGTCCCAACAAAGAGTCGTCAATGTCAAATAAATAAAAATAAACTGCCAAAATAAAATACCTAAGCTTTGATATAAAATGGAATGCAACAGAGCACTTAGATGATGAAGGTTCTATTTCGAACCGCAGCGTTCCGCCGTAGGTGTTATCAAACCACCTATTTCCTGTGAGACCCTCCGCGTTTCTTCAGACTAGTCTTCATTTTCAATCTCTTGGTAGCTTCATTATGTACTACCTATAAAAGCAAACAGCTAACAAGCAAACAAACTTTCTTTACTCAATTCGGCTGATAATCCAATGCTCAACATAAACAATTTTCAGCATTTATGGATTCCTTCAAGTAAATATCAAACATAAAGACGTTTGTATTTGAATATGAATATAACATTTTAAATTCAAATATATGAAAAACACTTAATCCGAATTCCTTACTATTCAAGTACAGATCAGACTACTAAAAATGGATTAATCCAGGGACGGATCTAGGACTTTCTAGAGGGGGCGGATTTCAGCTCACCTGCAAATGTTTTTCCAGTTGCCCATTTGATCCAAAACACTCGAAACAAATTTGACACGCCCACTGCTCATCATGCACGTTGAGTAGATGAGTCATCAACTTAGCACTGGTCGATTTAAACGCACAGTCTTCTACTGAACAAGCAAATACTTCTCCCAACTGATTCTTGGCAATGCCTCGCATGTAGGGATCCTCTTTGGCGCTCATTATTGAAGAATGTCGTTTCTCTTTATTGCGAAGTGTCGACTTACGCGGAGATGGATGAGCATTGGATCCGTGTTTATCAGAGGACCCAACCGAATGCTCATCACTTCTTGACATCCATGGAAGGTTCAAGTTCAATGCTGTCATTTTACCCTCAAGTAAAGACCTCAACTCATTGTTCAGAGGCGGCCCAGACTTGGCGCTTTCTTTCCGAAAATGAGGACGAAATTTAGTGTCCACATGCAGAGGTGAGAAGTTTTTTCTCGGCTTTACATCATCGTTCTTCTGTTCAGAAACAGGAAAATCTGGGACACTACTCTTCGTTGGTGTAACAGCGACAGATTCGAAGACAATTTCGCCTTTTGGGCTAATTTTCATCCCTCTTGACGGGGAAATTAGCCCATGCACTACTTGTGCGGTATCTCTTACCTCATTTTGATCGGTTGTCACTGAAGTAGAGTTTGGTTCAAATGAAGTAGAAATCAGCTCAGCCGTATTTTGGAGAAAATCTGGCCTCCCTGAGTTACGCCTAGAGGAACGTCTTGTCATAACATTCGTGGGAGAATCAGTAAAACTACTCTCACTGCAAACTGAGTTAGCTTTTTCAAAAGATAGCACCATTGAATTCAATGCTTGATCGTTCTCTGAGACACCATCTGCGGAATTTTGCCGTTCTGATTTGATTGATATGGCAGCTTCTTTTTCATTGGAGGAAGCAACTTCTGATTTGGTTTTGATGAAGATTGTTTTCTTGTCAGAGTGTGTAATTAGATGACTGCGCATATTGTACCATCGAGAAGTCGACATCTGTTTTAGACAGAATGGACACTTGATTTCCATGGTTCTCAAATTAAGCGTAAAATTAGAGAAATCTTTCTCGTTTAACTGCTCGATCAATTGTGATATATCAAAATATATTCCATTCGTTTCTTGATTGGTTCCTCGGGTTGACATTTTGGGATTGTTCTTGATCTAAAACAAGTTAAGAAAAAAACATATTAGCTCTTTTAAGTTCCCACTACTGGCGCATTGGGAAGGAACTATGGCGTAGGGTATTATTTTGAGGCAATTTTAAGATCTTCAGAAGATTCTTGCAAGAAAGCAAGTGAGATCTCATATAACATCCCTTTCGCGGTTACATTCGACCCCGAAAAATAGCTTTCCAAAAAATTCTCTCAGTGTTGAGATAAACTGCTCCGATTTTTTTTTGCTGAAAATGAGTCACTCCCAAACACCATTCAAACATTCCCTAACATTGGAGCAAATACTACCTAAAGGTGATTTCCAGACACCCTTCGCCAGAAAAAAAAATTAAAGCAAGGTTTGAACACCTGAGTAAATAGCTAACAACACAATTTTACCTGTAAAAACAATCGAAATTACCGCTAGTAATTATTATCGCTTAGATATTGTCAGAAAAATATCGTAGCATCAATTAATTGCTCCGTACTACAGAAACCATAGAATATTAAATGGAAGACCCCGATTTCTTGGAGTGGTGTCCTGCTGACATCTTCCACGCCCTCTTCCCTCGCACCAACAGAATGGTCATGAGAATGACCAGAGGATGACACGGCATCCACGTGGTTCTCCAACAGCTGCCCTATTTCCCTGGGAAAACAAATGAAAACTTGAGAGAAGCAAACTTTTCACTGCTATATTCCAAGTAAAGTTTATCGCCACTATTTGGTATCTTCAAAAACACACCAATCACGCCAGAAGAAACCAAGGTTCTTTCTCCAACTAAGGTTGTCAGATACAAATCTTAACACAGGCGAATCTGAGCTTCGAACAACTTGTAATACAATACCAAATGCCAAAGTTCAAAACACGAATTAAATTATCGCAAGGTTAACATACCCTTCAGTTGGAGAAGAGTCAATGAACTCAAGTAAACATAAAAAAAACTGAATTGTTTTTTTTAAAATCTGAGCTTTCGAATTTCAAAAAAAAAATAATAATAGATGCCCATAAAGCTCTTTGAATTTTTAGAACAATTGAGAACAATCTCAAAAACCTTTTCAACCACATAAAAGCATTTAAGGAAATTGCCGAAAATCCTTCTGCAATTTTTTAAATCAAACAAAACAAAATTATGGTTCAAATATACAAAAAATCTGGAATCAATTGAGGGTATCATTGGCTCTACCCAACGACTGTTATTGTTTAAGCTTGATATGAAAGAACAACCTGATTAAAATGGAATTTCAAAAAACCCGAATCAAAATTTTCGACAAAAGAAGTCGGGACAAAATCGAAAAACTTAAACTGTTTCTGGATTTTTGATGTTGTTCGAAAAATTTTAGATATGAACATAGAAACAAGAAGGACCTAAGCACGACATGCAATGCAAAAGTGAACGAAGCTGATTATTTGTGGTACCTGATTTTGCGTGGAAAAAAACTAAAACACATCCGAAAAATTTTCGAACAATTACCGGATAAATATTTGCAGAAAATCAAAAAAAGCTGGGAGAGCCTAGGAAAAACGCTTATTCACAGCAGTCTTGCTACACTCGCTAGATAATTTCGTAGACAAAATAGCCAGGCGTGGAAATCTAGGATTTTCCTCTTTTTTAGGTCGACCAAATTGATTTTCTGAGCTCTCCCAAATCACTATAAAGACCCTTTTTGCGACCAAATTCTCTGTACCGCAGGCAAAATTTTTAAAAGGCGTTTTAGGCACTTTTTGGAAAATATTGACCAAAAAATCGCGTTTTTTCGGCGCGCACTCCCCCATCAAAATTAGTATATATTGGCGCCAAAGGCGCCTTAAGAAAAATTTTAGGCTCGGTCAGCCAGAAATAGATATCTCAAAATAGTACAAAAGGGGGACCCTTTAGGTCGAATCCCTGAAGAAGTGCGACCCCCCCTAAATCCGCTACTGAAAATAGCTATGAACTTTTTACTAAAAAAAAGTAGATATTGAAACAATATGATGTGTCATCATCTTGAATCAAACTCAAACCAAATTGCTCAGATCTAGCTATGACTCAAAAATATTTATACGTAATTCATAACTTTCAGAGCAAAAAAAACGGAGCAGAAAACTCGATTACAAAATTAAACGACATGCAATGCAAAAGTGAACGAAGCTGATTATTTGTGGTACCTGATTTTGCGTGGAAAAAAACTAAAAAAAACTAATTTCGTAGACAAAATAGCCAGGCGCGGAAATCTAGGATTTTCCTCTTTTTTAGGTCGACCAAATTGATTTTCTGAGCTCTCCCAAATCACTATAAAGACCCTTTTTGCGACCAAATTCTCTGTACCGCAGGCAAAATTTTTAAAAGGCGTTTTAGGCACTTTTTGGAAAATATTGACCAAAAAATTGCGTTTTTTCGGCGCGCACTCCCCCATCAAAATTAGTATATATTGGCGCCAAAGGCGCCTTAAGAAAAATTTTAGGCTCGGTCAGCCAGAAATAGTTATCTCAAAATAGTACAAAAGGGGGACCCTTTAGGTCGAATCCCTGAAGAAGTGCGACCCCCCCCCCCTAAATCCGCTACTGAAAATAGCTATGAACTTTTTACTAAAAAAAAGTAGATATTGAAACAATATGCTGTGTCATCATCTTGAATCAAACTCAAACGAAATTGCTCAGATCTAGCTATGACTCAAAAATATTTATACGTAATTCATAACTTTCAGAGCAAAAAAAACGGAGCAGAAAACTCGATTACAAAATTAAATGAAATAAAACGAAACGAAGCAGAAACTACTCAAAATCTTGAGTTATTGCTCAAATCTAATTACACAATTAAAACTAATTACACACATTCCGAACAAAAAAAAACATCGTAAAATACTGCTAAAAGGTAATGAAATAAAACGCCCAGGAAGTAATTCGATAAAGATTAGAAAGAAATTCAAAGTGACACTAATTCGCAGACACAAGCGAGAAAACAGTAAAAACAAGCTAAAATTATTTACTTTTAAATACTTTTTCTAGAGAAAATTTATAGAAGGCAATGTTTTTTAACAGATACTGTAAAGGTGCATAAAAAGCAAAATTTATGAAATATATCTTCACTATTCGAATTGAAAAGAAAACATAGAACTTCAAAAAATGACTAAAATAAAACACCCGACTAAAATTGGGACAAAACCTTAAAAGCCGGCAACCAATTTTAAATTTTTATAACCCTTTCCCAGTTTCACTTATCTATCCAAAAAACTACAGCGTACAAAAACTGGAGCCATGAAATTAGAGATCCTGTGAATTAAGCTATTTACGAGCTAGTACCCGGTATCCATACCCCTGCTTATCGCAAGGGTAAACAGGTTGTATTAATATTTCTCTTCATTGAGTGAAATCTAGCTGTGAATAATGTTTAAAAAAACTATCGGCAAAAAATAATTTTGGAAACCTGTCATTCAAGCAGTGAGCCTTCTGATTTTGTTTTAAGTTCCTATAGCGTGAATTGTATCGCAAAAAATGATAGTTTTCAAAGCAAACTGTTCAAGCAATGAAAAGTTGAAAACTCTTTGATTGATTAATTGCACGACACCGTTTTTTCAAGTTTTTTTTTAGCAAACTGTTCAAAACATGAAACTTAAATTTTTCAAGTTATTTCATTGCATGAGCTGTGAACCAAAAATGTTTGAAAAATTTTCTTAACGTGATCGATTCGCAATGAGCGATCAAACTTCCATTAAATGAGCGAGAAAGTATGCGCGAGAAACTCATTCTCCGTATTAAAAACATTGTCAAAAACTTTGATGTTTCAAATTGTTATCACCCCTTCAATTAATTCGCGAAAATTACAAGTTTTTACAACGGAACCGATTGAGCGAAGAAATTTTTCAGAGCGTGGATCGATTGGCGAAAACTTTTAAAGCAAGCGACTGAACAAAACTACTTTGATGAACTCAAGCCTGTGTTATCAGCTGGAATCTATTCGGAAGAGTTTATTGTTTTCAAGCAAGCTTATGAGCAATAAAACTTTAATATAAAAATGTTTTTTTTTCATGAATTGAAACGATTCGTAAAAAACTATATATTTAAAAGTGAACTCTTGAACACAACAACGATTTAATGAAACTCAGGCTTTCATAGCTTAAATTCATTCGAGAAAAACTACTGCTTTCAAGCAAAACTTTTTTCAACTATTGAAAAAAGAAACTTTGAATTATTTCAAATTGTTTTCATACAATGAAACGATTCGCAAATAAATTAAACTTTTTCGACCAAGAATTTGAGCAATTACCTTTGAAAAATTTGAAAGTTGTCATAAAAGCGGGAAACGGTCCGCGAAAAGAGTTATTGAGCAAAAACCCTTGAAATATCTTGTTGTTGTAGAACTTTACAGAAAAAAGGAGAATAAACTTATCCGCTCATTCACTAACACATATTGAGCAATTGGTCCTAAGTTAACATTAGAAATCATACAAGGAGAGGGTCGATAACGGTGCCATGTGACCCACAAACGCCCAGACATTGGTAATTTTTTTTGCTATCAAAAATTAAATAAATTACCATATTTTTCTGAATCAATAAAAAACCGCAAAAAATTTCGGTGAGCCTCGCAAGTAAGATATGCTTGCTAAAGTGGCCACTACTAAGCCAAAACCATGTATCCTCGGTCTCCCTTATTAGGAGGGAAGACCAGATAAAGTATAGATATGTTTTCCTTTTCAAGTTTTCGGATTTTAAGAATCATTGAATTGTTCCTATGTTCTAAACTAGGAGCTTCTGGAAGGCCTAGCTTTATCAAAAGAAACTCAACCCTAAATAATACCCCGTTAACATATAATACGGGTATAAAAAGGTAAATTTAAAATTAATTTTTAATATGAACAATTTTCCAAGTTTTCATGATTTTTGAAAATCGTTAAATCTTAATTACTAGCTTCTGGGAGGCCAAATTTAGCAATATAATCGGAATTCTAAACAAAATATCCTTAAGCATTTAAATACGGCAGCAAAGATTTTAGATTTCAAATTTTCTTATTTACCTTTTTAGCATTCAAGTACGGGTAAAATCGTCCAGAAGTTCTATACTACGAGCTACTTGAAGGCCAAATTTTGGCATTAGAAAGGCAACCTTGAACTACACCCCCGTTACTATGTGGACCGAGGACAAAAATTTGAACTTAAAATAATTTTGAACTTTTTTAAAGTTTCTAATTTTTTTGAAATATGCGTAAAATCATCCATTTTATCATAACTACCAGCTTCTGGAACGTGCAGTTTTGTCATTACAACTGCAACCCTAAACTACACCCCGATTAGCATGCAGTCTAAGTGCAAATTTTGGTCTGAAAACTATTTTCAAAATATAATCGATTTAATTTTTCTCATTACTTCAAGACAAATGTAATGGTTCACAAAACAAACATCTCGCCCTGACCTGAAAAAAGCCTCAAATATATAATGTCTTGCTTTGCCCCTTTTTCCCCTGCGCTGCCCTGTCTTGCCTTACGCTGCCCTGCCCCTCCTTGCCTACCTTACGCTTCACTGCCCTGCCCTTACATGCCTTGCCCTCCTTGTATTGCCCTGCCCTGCTTTGCGCCGCCCTGCCTTGATTGGCGCTTACTGCCGTGAGCCTACTTGATAACTTGCCTTGCATTGCCCTTACTTAAGCTACCCTACCTTGCGCTGTACTGACATGCCCTGAGCTCAAAACCTCAAAACAACTGGACTAGGCATTTGTCCATAACGCCTTTTGTTAACCATTTTCTCCTATGAAAATTGCTTAAACATTGCGCAGCATAGTTTTAAGCATTGCGTTTAAATCATAGATGGATTTGGCACGTTCAGTTTACATTGTTTTTGAGAGAAGAGGAGACTTACACTGTCTCTTGGGAGGCGCGGGGTTTGAGAGTAGTTAAGGCATCCTGGTCCTCTTCTGTCTGAGGCTGTTGGAGCACTTGTACACGTGAGGGTGGCCCTTTGCAATTGTGCAGCTGACCAATATGTCCATTATCAGTAAAGAAGAAGCAGAATCTAAGACAATGCCAATGAATGAGAAGGATTTGGCCACGCAGGCGCCTTTGATATAGAAAGATTTGAATCAAATAAAAGGCGAACATTCGGGGAGACGAGGGGTTGTGGGATTTCTCTATTCCCCTGCCAACGCTACCAGTAACGATAATCATCAACACCGTTTAGCATTTATAGCAGCCAATACTCATGGTAACTGAAAATTGTATTTATTTAACAAGTTGCGAATTACAAGTTGCGAATTATCGCTATTTAAATAGAAATGAAGATGAATGCTTTTTGCCTACCTGCACACAAACTTGGCCCGATGTTGCTCCTTGATATGCCTTATGAGTCCCATACGACCACTGTTCGAATTGAAGAACTCCTCATTGCACTCTTTGCACTTCACTCCACAGCTAGCCCCATTGGTACCCTCTGACTCCGGTCTCCTCACACTCACACTCCTGGACCTGTCTTGGATCCGCTTAAAGCCGTTTCTACACCTTGTTTTGTGCACCTGTGAAAACCAAACATCTTCATGGTCATTGTAGTCAAGCAGGGATTTGCAGTCAAGCCATTCCTTCTCAATAATAGTGATCCAAAATTTTCCAGAAAAATCTTTAAAAATCATTCAGCACCCCGAGAGAAATGAAAATTTAAGATAATCCATCAATCTTACATTCAAAAATCTTAAAGAATCACATGTGAAAAAAACGAACCTTGAATGCCTCTACACTAGCGAAGGCGCTGTAGCAAACTGGACAGCAAAATGGCAAATCAGGATGCTCATTTCGCATGTGCACTATCATGTATCTTTTGGCATGTCTCTGCTCACAATGTTTACATAGCACCAAATTATCTCTCGGTTGACTGCTTCCAATGTTGCTTTCAATTTTATTACTATCAACCTCAGCTTTTGGGTTCACGTGGATTATTGCAGACTTTTTGTCTGTTGTATTAGCACCATTAACTGGTATTGAAGACCTCGTACTGCCTTCAGAATTCGTAATAACTGCACTTTTAACTTGCTCCTGTGGCTCATTTACTGCACTGCTTTCACTTCGCAAAGAGACTCGTCTGGATTCTCGTTGTTGTTTTGGCGACGAGTGAGGCGAACTCGTTTCCAGAAAAATATCCGCAATCTTCTCTTCGTACGAAACTGCACTTTTTGATAGTCTTTTGGGCCGAACATTCGAGCTAGAGTCGTCAACGTTTTCGCTTGTTGACCCTGTTTTGGGGTCATTGTCTAACAAAAAGGTATTCTTGCTTTGTGAAGTAAGTTTCACTGCCAAACTAGGTTGAGCACAAATTTTGCTTTTCTTGTTTTTCGAAGACTGCTTTGGTGGCGGCTTGACCCGTTTTTTGGTTAGTAAGGCTGGTTTATTGACTAAATGGAACATGTCCTCCGGTCTTTGTGGTTTTTTGATATATACCGGAATATTATCCGTTTTAACACGCATCATAGAGGCTCCAAGTTTCTCAACTGCCGGTTCTTCGATCTCTTCGTTGTTATTTGTGTCGAAGACAACAACATCTGCTTTATTCAGAGGGTCGAAGCCTTGCTTAATGTCTGAATTCAAGGTCTCATTTTTGGCACCACTATTTGAGTCAGCACGAGGACAACTTTTGCTGTCGATTTCAAACGTCGGTTGGAGCTTTGAAAGGTCGTTTATTGTAGGCACAACCTGAAAAAATTACAGAAGGAACAGATTTTGATATTTTCTGAAGCAAACTTTTCTTTTTCCAAGAAAAGTGAAACTGAGAAGACAGCTTTAGCTTCCTCATGAAATGTATACCTTTTGTGATTCCAATGAATGGAAATTATGATTTGCAGATTTAGGCAGCTCGTTAATTTTCAGAGCTCCATCATGCGCCACAACATTCGTGCATCCAGAGCAGGTCTTCAAGTGCGTCCTCAGACCACCATAGGAGCTCAGTCGCGACTCACACTTGCGGCACCTAAACCAAGTAAAAAAAAATTAAAAAGTACATCATGTTACTATGCTAGCAACTCAGCATGTTCTCATCAAAAGTGCGCGATCATTCAGCCGTTCTAATTAGAATGTTCAAACTATCCATTTAGAGACTGTGCAAAGAAAATGATTATCGATATGTATAACATATATTGTTAGAAATGACCCCAGAATATACTAGCTCCCACAAGCTTTTAAGTCTAGACTGATATAGTAATCACTAAATCAATCATTGTTTCAGCATGCGAAGTTGTCAAGATTCATCATTATCTTGAATGAAGTTCCACTGTTTTTAAAGCATTATCTCGATGCCAATCTTAATTCCTTGCTAACATTTATTTCAAAATTACATGTATGTGTTTTTCAAAGTTATTAATGTAGCAAATTAATTCAAATTGAGCTTAAAAAATCACAAGTCGAACTGCGACTGATCAAATTTGGGCGTAAACAACTTAAAGACTTCTTCCCGAAAAAGAAAAACCATAGGACCCTTTTAAGCGTCTTAGCATCGTTCATTGACACGTATTCGATAGCCCCAATCATTCGCCAATAATAAATGATTGACCCATATATCACTACTTCAAGCCAACAGACAAAAATTTTAATCAAATCATGTGACTAATGGGATGTAAAAAATCAACTCATTTCAGTTTCCAAGGAAAACCATTAATCCCAGAATACCGCCAATGGCTCAACTCATATGAAACTAACAATACACACAGTATCAAACAAACCAAAAATATTAATTGATACAAAAAATATGACTGTCATACAAGTTAATTTGACTTCATGATTAGTGTTCGATTTCCACAACGCCTAAAACACCTTAGCAGAAACCCTTTAAGCTGAAAAAATTAACAAGAAATGAGACTTCTGAAAAGTTAATAACTCCACCTCACTCTCAAAACACACAAACACTCAAAAAACTTGAGGCCACTAGGCTAATATAATATAGGCCGAAACCTGTTAAGCCCAAAAAAGGAAAATAAAAAAAGCCGAAAAAATTCAAGACTTATCAGAAGCTATAAAATCCCCCCCTCACCCTCAAAACACACACTTACCCACACACATTAAACATTTTTAAATCGTCATTTGAACCAAATGAGGCCACTGAGCCGATATAATATAGGCCGAAACCTATAAAGACGAAAAGAGAAAACAAAAAAGCCGAAAAAAGTTATTAAGCCCCCCTCAGCCTCAAACACACACACGCACATACAAACTTTTTTCGCTCAACGAAAGACGCAAAATGAGGCCATTAAGCCGATTAAATATAAACCGAAACTATCAAAAGCCGAAAAAGGAAAAAACAATAACTGGAAAAACATGAAAAACTATAATTTCTATAAAGATTTTTAGCACATAGAAAACAAGGTTAGTAAAATTACTACCAGCAGGAAAAAATCAAAACACAAAGCAGCTTCAAGGTAATTTACGTACAGCAAAAATTTCCACGATGTGACAACTAAGCCGCCAAACCACAAGCAGACAAATAATAATTTAAAAAGTTTAGAAACCGATTGCAATACCCTTGCTTATCGCAAGGTTAAACAATGCAAGAAAAGTAAAATAGCAACTGATGAAAAGAAATTATTCTAAGCAATTGAAACTGGATGAAATGCATTTGTCTAACATTTTTTTCGTTCCAATTATCTTATATGCAGCTGAATAATGGACCCTTATTAATGATGATATAACGATGTTTGAATCTTTTACACCGATAACTTTTACATTGATATCCTGTAACCTTCTTTTCCTGCTTTCAAGTATTGAAGGCATTGATATCATTCTGAGCTATTATAATGAGACCTTCAATGCTGATTTTCAAACAACCATAGTATCATGGAGAGAAGTATCGCACGAAAAAGTGCAAATCATCAGTAATTCCAACTGAACTAGGTGCCTGTACGTAAGCCAATTTCAATAGCCGAGACGTACATCTTTTCTCTGCAAATGGCAGACTTTCTTGAAAAATCTCAACTTTCGAATTTCGAAGAGCTTCAACCCTTTAAGCTCTTTGAATTTATAAACAGTTTATGATTGGCGCTTTTTTGATAATATGAACCCAGTTTGAGAAAACTGGATCAATAGGTGAAGTTTTTATTCCGCTGGAAGCCTAAAAATTAAATTACACCTTCGAAACTAGAAAGCGTTCACGTTTTTTGGCGCCATTTCCACGTTCGTATTTGGAGAGTGCTATTTACGTCAATTTCAGCAGATGATTTTCAATTGAACTGAAAAACGGCATATACACATAAGTGCACTCATAAATGCATCAATATGTAGTTATTAGAGACACTTTTAAGACTTTTCCTGAAAAAAAAAACAGCAAGACCTATATAAGAGTCTTCACTACTTTCATTACTCTTAATAACATTAAATTATTAGCCAGCAGATAAAAGAAAAAGAGTCAATGAACGGAAAGACAAAGAAAAACACCAAAAAAACTTACATTTTCGAATTTAAAGAAAAAAAAATATATGGCCCAAATAATCTTTGAGTTTCAAGAACAATTTATGGTTGACACTTTTTTGATAAAATAAACTCAATTTCCGAAAACTGAATCAATAGGTTAACTTTATATTGCGCTAGTAAATCTGAACATTACAATCCACGGTCAAAATCAGACGGTCATTCTCCATCAAGTGTTTTGTGACCTTTACACTTTTGCTATTCGATAGTGGAGTTTGCCTACATTTTAACAAAATAATTGAACTGAACTTAAAAAGAACTCCAGTCAAACAAACCGCCAAAAATCAGATTTGCGTGAAAAAATAAAGACTTCCAGAAAAAAAACCATAACAAACCTATATAGGAGTCTCCACTACGTTCATTAACACCCGAACATTCAATGAGGCAAACACTTGCACATGGAATTATAAATAATTATGTGTCGATAGCAGTCTGAACCTTCACTAACCGCAGAGGTAGTACCATTTCTTCAAGTCATAAGAGCATTAACAAAACATAGCTTAGGTTCCATCTGTTGTATAATTGTGGTACCTGATTTTGCGTGAAAAAGTCACACCTTGCCCTAATTCAAACGTCCTCCCCGCAGTCAATAGTCGGAAACATAACACATCAATAGAAAAACAATAGAGACAAACCTGAACATGGCACCAACACTATATGGGTTGTGGAGTTGATCCATTTGACACTCGGGATGCAGAGACCCCAACACCATCTCAAGATACTGCTCGTGGGGATGGGTTGGTGTGAGGCATGACTGTGTATTAGTATTGTCGCCGAAGGGAATAGACATGGCATGTGGTTGTAGTGAGAGATAGGGATAGTTCTGAGGGTAGTTCACTGAGATCTCCACACTCAGACTTCCCATCGCCATCATCACACACCTGAAATATCACGACCACTACTATGTCGAACCTGAACGAAACCGTTTCCCTCGTTGACACATCGTCTGAACTTGACTTAACTTAAGCATTTAATGAATCCAGCAAAAGCTAGTTTAGAGAGTAAGATAAGGGAAGGCGATGCAGAGATCGACGATCAACTTCTCGGTTCCGGCCATCAAATATTTTCGTTCTTTTTTCTATAATTTTACTACATCTATAATTAACTACAAACTCTTAACATTTCTGTTAAAAGAACATTCTGCGGGAAAATGCATTTTTAAATTTATCAGCACTCGTCTTGTTTTTTACAAACGCAATTTCATGAATCTCAACAATGTAGGTAGTTCTCAAATGCAACTTTTCTCAGCACTGGCAAAAACTTCTTGCCACTGAATAAATCGAGTTAGCCATTAAATGGAAACTCCGCAATTTGTATACCACTTTGTACACAGCGGGAAGCAGAGCTTCGCACCATGTACGATGCAGAAAATGAACAAAATTCTTCTTGAAGAAAATTATTGGCAATATCTGAACAAACGATTTTCGGACAGGACAGTATTTAAAATTAGCTTAATCTCAGATATTTCTAATAAAAAAAAAACTTTCAAAAAAGAAAAAGCAATCAAAATATAATCTGAAAAAATCAGTCATTACACAAAAAAAAGAAAGCAAAAACTCAATTACATGAACCAAAAAATATATGATCCCGCCAATTGCATAACCAAACAGCTGGTCGCACAATTGGAAAAAAACAGTTCCGAGTAAAAAAGTTCAACTAACTGGAGAAATTGAAAAAAAAAATCAATTCCAAAGTTTCTGATACGAGTGTGGTACGGCAGTCAAGGTCATATTGAGCCATCCATTATATGTATGTTTGATATCACTAAAGGTCAACGTCGGGACAGGTCTCCCGCCAACCATCATTCATGAAGTAACTTAAACGATCACTCTTTTCATACTGTTGAAAGATTACGGTTCTCAACTTTTATTTCAAGCAACTAATCAAACGTAACTAATTCTAATTCAACTTTCAAGATAGTTTTATCCATTAGTTATTAGTAGATAGTTTAGCATTTCACATGGCGCAGCCAGCAGTTTCGACCCACGAGGAACGGACTGAACTTATAGGGGTACCTGTATTTTGAACCAAGCCATCCCTAGACCCACCGTTTGCATGGGGAATCTGGATTGGTCAATTCTTTTTAGCAGTTAACCTTCGAGAACATTGTGATCCTAAAGACCTTTTAGCTGATCCCGCCGAGGTATTTGACGACCCCCCTCCTAGACCGGAAAGAATTCCCTCCTAGACCGGAAAGAATTCCAAACGAATCAGAAAACGAAACAGAAAGAAACAACAGGGTCGCAAGAGACCAAGCGGAAATCAGAAAAGTGAACGAAATAAATATCGAAAGGAGGAAGAAAGGTTCCAAATTAGGACAAAACATAATTTATCACGAAGCTGATCAGCGAGTAAAATCACGCCTATTCTTTGCACTAGGAACAGAAGGGACGAAACGATTTCTCCAAAGCTTCCCTCACACTATCCAATCCGATATAAGCTTCAAAGAATTTTTCACCCAATGTGAAGGTTTATTTAAAAAGGAGAAGAATTTCATAGTAGAACGTATGCACCTCTACAACACCAACCAAGCTGACAGTGAAGGTCTTGAATCATTCTTCCTAAGACTCTCTGGTCAAGAAGCTTTATGCGGGTGGTCAGTCGCAATCGAGAAACAGGTAGTTCGAGATATATTTATTGCAAAGACGAAGTTCAAAGATATCCAGAGAGAACTTTGTATCCACCCGGGAAATTCCCAGAGGAAATGCTTAGATCCGCTCTGTTACAAGAAGCAGGCTACGCAACAGCTTCTACTCTACAAAAGCAAATGGGAAACAACTCGAATTAAAATTACACAATACAGGACTCAAATAATCAATTCAGGGTCAAACAGGAACCTACACTATCAGTTCAGAAAAAAAACCTACAAAACAGAACAAACCGTGCCAAAATCAGAACTCTACATTCGGTAATACAAACAAACCAACCAATAATCAGAAAGCATGTTATTTCTGCGGCAAGGATTATTCATCCAATCATAAATCATCATGCCCAGCTAGGGGCGTAATCTGCATATCATGCAAAAAGGGACTCTTCGCCAGATGTTGCAATTCCACCAAAAATGTAAATAATGTAGATGATGAGTCAGATTCTACCGTAGAAGAAGATATCAACTTCATTACGTCGGACGGCGAATCAGAGTTTGGCGTTCTGAAAAATTCAGGAACTAGTCACCAACTCCCTATCTCAAACGCCTCGCCGAAGGAACACTTATTCCCCGCGAAACACATTATATCCGTTCCAAATTTAATCTCAATCAAAAAACTGGATGTAATAAACTCACCTTCGGGAAAAAATCAAAAGTCTCTAAGTTACCTTAAGGGTAAATAGTTCGTTCTTCAAAGCCACTGTAGATACGGGCAGTCCAGCCTCGTTTGTAAATAAGAATACAGCGGACCTCCTTTTAAGGACAGGTGAAAATATAAATATATAGCCTAAGTCATCATTGCCTATTGACATATCCTATGTGGATTATAACCAAAAGCCGATCGAATTATTTGGAACCCTAGTAACATACATATTATCATTAGGCTGTAAAGTCAAATCAGCAAAATATCTGAAAACAGGACAAGATGTCTACTAGGCCTAGATTTACAAGGTGCAATAGGGTTCAACACAACCCAATCACACCCTCAGGAATTTTTAGAGGTCGAAGAAAATGACATGGCGGAAACATCTACCCATTGGAAGAATTTTTACTCAGAGAAAAACAAAGACATCTTCACAAGACATGGCAGATCAAACAATCACCGGGTACACACAGTTTTTAAGCAACATCTAATTCCAATTAAAGAAAAGGGTCGGAGAGTCTCAATTCACATTCATGAGAAAGATGGAGAGGAAATCAAACGTCTCATCAAAGAAGGCCATATAGTCAAATTGAACATTTGTACTAGCGAATTTTTTGTAGCACCTGTGGTTGTTACGGCAAAGAAGGATGGTTCAGTGAAAATAGCAATGAACGCAAAACCCATGAATGCTTAGAATTTTAAAAACCAATATCAAATGCCAAATCCTTTAGAACAACTGGAGGTAGCAGCCCAAACAACTAATTCTAACTTACCGGGTAAAGTACTTTTCACTTCTTTAGATATTAAATATGCTTTTAGTCAGCTCCAACTAAGTGATTCGGTCAGTAACCACTGTAATTTTAACATTGTATGTGGAGACGCTACAGTTACTTACCGCTTCAAAACCGGTTTTTATGGGCTTTCAGACATGCCTGAAGAGTTTCAAAAGGAAATGGACAATACTCTCAGCAATATTCCGGGTGTCATTTGCTTTTTAGACGATAACTTAATTGTTACAAAAGGGTCAGTTTCCGACCACAATCTAATTGTAAATACTGTACTGTAAAAACTATACCAAGAAGGTTTCGCTTTGAAGCTATCGAAATGCGAGTTTTCAGTAAAAAAGATTTCTTGGCTGGGTTTCGATATCGATCACCTAGGCTATAGACCTAAACACTTCAAGGTCCAAGCCCTTTTAGAACTGAAACCTCCAAGAACTCTTAAGCAACTAGGATCCTATATGGGCGTACTTAACCATCTCCAACGTTTCCTACCTAACCTACAGTTATTTACGGAAAAGTTCCGCCCATCCCTGACATCATCTAACAAAGAGAAATGCATTCATGATAAGAGCCAACAAGAAGCATTCGAAGCTACATTGAAACTAATGTCGGATATCACCATGATGTACCACTACGATCCCAAGAGAAAATCAAGAATCAAATGTGACGCCAGTCACAGTGGGTTAGGAGCGGCCCTAGAACAACAACTAACGGAGGACACTTGGGTACCGACTTCATTTGCATCTAGATTCCTAAACGTTCAAGAAAAGAAGTGCAGCACCAACCAATTCGAATTATTAGCAGTAGTTTGGTCCTGTGAACACTTTAGGAATTATCTTCTGGGCAACAACTTTGAAATTCTTACTGATCATAAACCAACAATATCAGCTCTTAAAACTAATCGCGGAAACAAATCTTATCAATCAAGATTAACCAGGTGCGCAGATAGACTCCTACCTTTTAACTTCGACATATCTCACATCTCCGGATCAAAACTAGGAATCGTCGATTATCTATCCCGTTATCCGACTTTTGAAGCACCGGACCCTTCAAACTTTCGCGAGCAGTTTGTGGTAAAATCGATTAATAAATTCTTCTCAGCTTGCGACATTATAGAAAAATTATGGATGGAAGAAATTTACGATATGGAAAAATCCCACGCATACCATCCAGTTGTCAACATAAACCAGGCAGATAATGACTTTTTCACCCACAAAACCATAGATTTAGAAAGCAAGAAGGATTGGGTTACAAATTTCATTGAAAATACTGCCAATACAACACAAGAGGGCGACAAAATTTCGCTAGACCCAATCAACCAATCATATTGCTCTAAATTAATTTATGCACGAACGGTAGAGGGCGACCGATAGTGTACGTACTTTACCGCCAAAACAAGACGCAAATATGCAAATATTTGAGGATACTCACTTTATCAACCAATCAAATCACTCCAATGTAATTTATGCACAATCGCTAGAGGGCGACATTATATGCGTTTTTCTTGCCAATTCTCTCGACCAATCAGAAGCTAGAGTTAACTCAGCAAAATTCTCGTCCAAATCTCATGTCATTTCTGGCAATTCTCAGCCATCATCAACAACAAATAAATACCAGCCAATCAAATCAATCCGACCGAGTTCTAACCAATTCATCCCTTTTCCAGATATGTAGTCTAATGTTCCAAAAGAAGTCCAAACGAACGACAGCTTCGAACGCCTACTTAACCAAGTAGCGCCCATATCAGATGACCTCTTCGCCAGAATAAGATCAATGGGAAGGGCAGGGGCAATAAGGAGAAAGAAACCCACGCGGAGAAAAACAACACAGAAAAAGGAAAGGAGAACTCAATTGAAATTCAAATCAGCCCAAACTCTAGCAAATCTGAGATCGAAAAGGGAAAAAGGTTGCATCTATCCAGAGGAAGAAGAAGACCCAAGTCAACAAGATAAACGCCGCTCAACCAAAGAAGTTTGTGCAGAAGACAGGAATTCTCTCCCAGGTTTAACGGGCATTCTCGACGCGGACATTCTGTCAGAGCTGGTCGATGAGGACCCAACTTATCGCCTTATGAAACAAGCGATACTTAGCAGAGACTATGAGGGATTTTCGTGAATAGACCCATACATCAAGTCGATGTGGAATGCAGCAGCAATCGTCGACGGCTGCGTCATCATTGACGACCGCATCGTCATCCCCTCCTGCATGCGAAAAGCAGTCTTATCGAGACTACACAGATCTCATTCGGGCCAGGAAGCCATGATAGACGCAGCGTAGTACATATGATGGCCAAGAATCAACCGAGATATAGTCAGAATGTGCAAGGAATGTACTTTATTTGGTAAGAACTTGAAATCTATTAACAAGTCTAACTCATAGAAGCCTCTTCCATTATTGAGCGGACATAACCGAGAAGTTCAATTAGACTATGCAGGACCTCTTTCGGATGGAGCAGGGGGCCAAAATTACATTCTGGTCGCTATCGATCGCGACTCTAAATAACCTTCAGTTATGTTAATCAGAACAATAGGTGCCAAAAACATCTTGAAATTTCTAAAGGGCTATATCACTATTCACTCGAATATTTGTCTGTCCTAATCGATTTTGGTTCAAATCTTTTTGCGTTTCTAAGGGGATTTAACATATTTTCTGCCTAGTAGGCGACCATCGAGGATGTGGCCTAGTTGAAGGAACCATTCAGACCATCAAAAGGAAATTAAGAGTGATGCAACTGGAGAAAAACTCCGAAAGTATTGAAATTGCATTAAAAACTATTAGAGGACATAAGAATTAATAGAAACAGTGTTACAAATTCTTCGCCTTTCGAGCTACAGTTCGGAAGAAAACCTAATTCCGAACTGTGACAGCAGAACTAGAGTGAAGATCGTGCAGAAAGGGTCTAGTAGCCCAGATGTCACACCTAGATTTGGAGGCCCCAACACGTCAATCTCAGAGACACCTTACTATCAAGAACTAGAAAAGTTAGCTAAGTCAGCTAATGAATGGATGACGCTGAAAAGATCATTGACGCAAAAACATGGAGCAGAAGCCCTGAAGACGTTGACGGACAGGATTCAGATATTGGCCGCATCACTCACGAGTAATCTCACATCGGGAACGTTGAGATTCAGAGCCGACATTTCGAAACTGACAAATTCGAAATCGCAGAGTAATCTTCATAATTTATTACTTTTGGACAGGAGAACCGGCAAGGAGTCATTTAGAGTTAATGAACACATTGTAAAGTTTTTGGAAAACACTTATACGACAGCATCGGGCGAAGTTATCCGGAAAAACCATATAGCTCTTAGGTTGAAATGATTATCTTTCAGGCAAACAAAGTTCAACAAAACAAGTCGGACAGAATAGGACCAAGAGACCCAGAATACAGGACAGCACAAAAACGACCTCAGAGGACGATCTAGCCCCACTGTCTCCTAAAGCGAAAACGTTGTCCGCAAAGACATCTGTTATACTGCCACCCTCAAAACTGTCAGCCAAATTAAGGAAAATCGCCCCAAAGTTGACCGAGGGGAGATTCACAACAGAGCAACCCATCTTTTCAGGAGCAGAGCCGATTAATCCGATCGTGGACCTAATTCTGTCGTCATCAAGTTCGGGAGGGGTAACTATACCCCCAATCGCCATGTCATCCCCTGCCGCACCACTGATGGGACCACCAGCCCGCGTTGGGACTAAAATTCATGAACCTACGACAGAAATTCAACCCACGACCGGAACTCGACCTATTAGAGAAGAGGTAAAAGATCCAGTTCAACACAGCCCAAAAAGATCGGGAGGGAATACCGTCCCGCAAAAGCAATATCTGACGCCGAAATCACTCGCAGAATCACCTTCGAGTTCAAAGCCGAAACAGGTTTTTCCAAGTGCACAAGATTGGATCCCGATTTCATCGGAGGGTGATGACCACAGACATCAAATTAACCAACAGCCTCAGGCTGAACACAAAAAAAAGAAAATTTCCAAACAGAAAAAGCAGAAAAAGACACCTTCCCCAGATACAGACGATGTAGATGACGATTCAAATTCAAATTCTTCGAGATTGTCAGGAAGACCGAAGAAACAAACACGGTTTTATGGAAGCCCGGTCAGACACGCGGTGAAGGAAATCTCTCAGCACCAAGCAATCGACCCATCGCCCAAAACACCACGCAGAAAACATATCTGGGGGAACTCTTATCTTCTCCACCAACACCGAAAAGGATTATGAGAGTTTTTAAATGATCTGTCAAAAAGGAATAGTCGAGAAACTGTTGAAAAAACTGAAACTCTGAAACTATTTTCAACATACCACTAGTGCTATTATTTAGTTTGTTATATCGAAGTATTACAAATTTTAGAAGGGAGGAAATGTGGTGTGGCAGTCAAGGTCATATTGAGCCGTCCATTATATGTATGTTTGATATCATTGAAGGTCAACGTCGGGACAGGTCTCCCGCCAACCACCATTCATGAAGTAACTAAAAATATCACTCTTTTCATACTGTTGAAAGATTACGGTTCTCAACTTTTATTTCAAGCAACTAATCATGCGTAACTAATTCTAATTCAACTTTTAAGATAGTTTTATCCATTAGTAATTAGCAGATAGTTTAGCATTTCACAACGAGATCAGTTAATTTGATATCGGCAAAAATTAGGAGAATAAAAACATTCGGAAAGTAGGCCTACAGATATAAAGCCGACCAAACTGCAACGCAAAAAATCAACCGAAAGTTTTCGAATAACAATTACTCTGCGAATCTCAGAGTGCACCCAAATCACAAGCAACAAATACACCGGCCATGGTATTGTGTTAGCACTTGTAGAATATACTGATTACCATTTCGTCCATTCTGTGAAAAAATTCTTTAAGGAAAAAAAAGACGCAGTACCCGGTAGCAACACCCTTGTTTATTGCAAGGGTAAATAAAAACCGAATCTACCAAAGAAGAATTTTTGAGCTTTCTTTGTGCATATATTTACAAGCATTACATTCAAAATACCCCTTAACAAATTCAACGGTCTTGAGCTGGATATAAGCAAATACTTTTATCTTCAAAAACCCGTCCGACATCATTTGCTCAAAAATATCCGACAGCTTCATTTTTCTTAATTCATAAAACTCATTTTGTTAGATTAAATTTTGAGTTTATTGATTTCAGATTGTACTATAGAGAGGTTATCAGTGAGTCAGTCAGAGAATCAATACTGGGGTTCGATCCTAACAAATTTTCTAGGATAGCATCAGGCTTTTTCCCACCTCCATGGGACAATAGTTTAGCTTTGTAGTCATTTCCAGATTGGCGTGAAAAAGGATCATGCTGGAACAAATCGAGCCAGATTTTGGTCGCAATGGCTTTGCAATACAGGTACGTATAATACTTGGCACCATAGCCAACTAAATGTCCAAATCTCAAGTAAAATGCACTTGATGGATCCACACTCACACTGGGATAGTAGTCAAAACACAATTTCTTGTACTCTATTTGCATATTGTGAAACATTTTTTCCGAGTGTATTTGATGGTCAAATGTTGCGAGCAGTAGCTGATGCTGCATATCTGCCGCGTTTCCAAACCTTCGATGTTTCTGCAAATCGTGCAATAAATCTTCAGGTATAGTTTCGCCTGAGTCACAGTGCTTGGCAATTTTCCTCAGCACTCGGTCATCATGTGTGAAAAACTCTAAAAGGTTCGACGGCACTTCCGCGAAATCGGTGACACATCGGGTTCCCGACACATGTTGGAATCTTGTTCGTGCAACCATGGAGTGTAAAGCGTGTCCCATCTCATGAAACAGATTTTCAACCTGTGTGATTCCCAGCAAAATATGATCTTCGGGGTGTTCAGGCTGTACAAAATTACAAAGCAAAGCAACGACTGGTACTTGATACTGTCCGTTGTCAAGTCTTTTTCCACCGCGAATAGTAAAATGACAGTCATTTTTAGGTTTCGAATCCCGCATGAAAAAGTCACAGTAAATATACCCCAAGAGCGTGTTATTTTCTAAATCTTTGACCGTTAATTTCTGCACACTTGGATGCCAGATTTCCCCAGGTGAAGTTGACTGGAGTTCGAGCGAAATTCCGAATGTTGTTGTGCACAATGTATTCAGACCGGCCATGCAGGTGGGTAACGAGAAATACTGTTTGTATTCTTTATCAACAAAAGGTCGTGTCTTCTTCATATAGTACTGTACGTCCCATGGCCAGAAATCTTCTGACTTACTTTCATGTTTATTCTTAATTATCTGCATTTCTCGGAACTCCTGGGTTGAAAAATTGACTAACTTTCTATTCAAAGTATCCAAAAATAATTGAACATTTTCGAACTTCCCAATAGCACTATGCTGTGACACTTTATGGCTATAATGCATAAAGCCACACAGCTCTGCTAAGCGGAAGCGCTTCATGACAAATGCGCTCAGAAGGTTGGCCTGTGTCGGCTCATTGAAGAAGAAACTCAAGTGACCAACATGTCTTATTACGGGGTCATCGTGGTCCGCGTAAGGTTGCGTAATTTCTACATGGTCAGGTACATCTTGGCATGGTGTATACATCCACGCGTACTTTTTGTGTAAATCGTTTTTGGGAATAGCGACTGGCATTGCAGTTCCGTTCATGAAATTTTGGCCCATTTCGAGCAATTCGTCGTTTAGTTTCACACACTCTTCGCGTTTCGTGCGCTCTAAGTGGATGCCACTTTGCTCGAAGTCGTATTTTAACAGATTACCTACTCGGTAAGTCTCGGCATCCATTTCGGAACCACGACCCGACATCACCTCGGCTAATAGTTTGTACAATTGGACATCTGTGTTCAGAGTTTCAACAAGAGATGAAATCCGAGCCACCGACTCTCCAGCAGCGGCCGAATGTGGCGGGTGAATGAACCGAACGAAGTCGGCCATATCTGCAACTTTACATAGTGTGTTCGATAAATCGTCTAACTTCTCTATGACAGTGGAGCGCCCTCGTTTTTTAAACGCATCCTGAAGTAAGCGATCAGCATCAGACAAGGCTTTATCTGTTATTTTCTGGTAAGCTTTACTTCCCTCGGCTAACTCTGAGAATCCAAAAAATCCTGTTTTAGGCCTGTCAAAACTTTCTTGCTGGGGTTGGAAAGCGGTCTGAAAAGCGCCAAAGGCTTTTGCGTCAGTGTTAAGCCTTCTCAATGCAAGCGCATTGGTTCTAGCTAATCGACTCATTTCGATTAAAACATATAACTCATTTTGGCTCCATTAATCATGCAAATTGGGACCCTTTTTTCAATTTTTCTGAAAAACAGGTATACTTCTGATTTACATATAATTATGATGTATCTTTGATCTATAAAAATTCATTTCTTTCTACATCCTTGATTTTTATATTATCTGAATTTTTAACCTATGTCCTAGAGTTAACTTGTCCAGAAGAAAAGTTTTTAACTCACAATGCGTTGATTAAAAACCCGACAACTAGCTGAACTTTCTCGCTTTTATCTGTTCTATCTTCTCGCATCTCGTTTGAATAATGTACGCAAAAATGTGATTTCACTGGCTCTTTGCAGTAATGATTTATTAATAGGACAAAAAATTTCTTGAATCAATAACCACAAATAGCGACTTATTGCAAAGCAAAGGAAAAACAGTGAAGCTTCCCGAGCTCCCCAAAAAAAATTCTTCTGAAGTCGCGATCTCAAACACAGAGGCGAATCGGAGCTTCGCGCCACTTGTTCGAAAATATCATTCACGCACCTCTAGGTTTAGGTGTCTTTCGAGACATACGCAAACTTTGGTTTGCCTAGTCTTCACAATTTTTCATCATTTTCGACTTATGCTTTTTTATGATTGAGTTGCATCGCAATAGTCGAAAATAATGAAAAATGTTGAAAACTAGGAAAACCAAAACTTTCATATGACTCCTAAACCTGATAAAAGACAACTAAACCTGGAGGTGCCGGCACGATATTTTTGGAACTTGTTATACTGATGCAGGACAAAACGCTTAATTTCAAAAATTGGACTTTGCCCAACACCCTAGTTGTTTCTCGACTAAAGTATATTAGAAGAAAACTTTTGAGATTTTGAAAATTTTCAGAGACATACCCTTTCTCTATTAAAAAAAATTGAGGAGTTGCAGCTTCTGCTGGAGAAATTTGCGAAACCGCGTCTTTCGATAGAAGCTTTCATCTCAGATTTGATAGGGTAGTTTTTAAGAAAACTCAAAAATTTTCTTAAAAAACAATCAAAGTTCAAAAATCCGCATTTTTTAGTGCTAAAAGCAGGTTGTGGTCGATAAATAGAACCGTTAACACAGTGAACCGTTAACACAGTGTGGTGTTTTGATTTATGGGCTAGCCAATAAAGCGGATTTAGGAAGATCAATACTAAAGTAGCTTTTTTTCTTGAAATGGGACGGATACATTGCAATTTCAAGTATTAAAAACAAATTATACACTTGGAATCAATTGCAAATTTATGAACTAATAAAAAATCTGTAATGAAATTCTGGTTTAAAACAGCAACTAAGTAATCAATAATTACTCGCATGACCACGATTTTTTCGTCGAAAAGAAAAAAATGAGGAATTTTAAAACAGTTACTAGAGAAAGGAAAAACAAATTTTGAATTTTTGTTGACCTAATTTTTTAACTTTTCTCATTTTTTTTCGACTTGTTTTTTTTGTTTGTTGCATCGCAAGTTTGTTTCATGTTTGTGTTGAATAGGTCCTGTTTTGAAGTTGTGCAGCATCTTGTTCTGTTGTAATTGTGTGTACAATTAAGTACTTGAGAATTAAAAAAAAAAATCAAAAATAACCAGACTTCTTTTTCGTAATTACTTTTCGATTTTTTTTCTTAAATTAATTGTTGCCTCAATAAAAATACAATAAAAAAGAGCCTATGCAACACAAAATTGAAACACACTTGCCATGCGCCAAACGAAAAAATATATACACGTTGACAAAAAAAAACTTGAAAAATTAGGTCCACAAAAATTCAAAATTTGTTATTCTATTTCCTCTTGAGACAAACAACAACAACAACTTAGAAACAACAACACTTGCACCTGCAAAAAAACTGCCTACAAGAAATGCAAAATCCGAGGTGCGGCAGCTTAGCCAACAAAACTTGATCAGACAAAGGAAAGTCCGGCAACAATTATTACCAACTTTTTGTTTCAACTGCATAAATACTGAAAAAACAAGGTACGGCCGACACTCGGACCTTGAGTGCAAAGGCGACGTCCTAGGCGACGTCCGTTAGCCCTAGGCAAAGTGGCAAGGAACCTGTAAGATGTAAACAGAAGAAAACAATTGATTAAAAAAAGAAGAAAAAAATTTGTAAGAAAAGTTTTTTACGGGGAAAAAGTCTGGTTCCTGATTACAAGACACTTGTTCTGGCGATCGAGACAACTAATATTTACATTCGAGGCAATCAACACTTTGAAAAGCATTTTTTTTTGTTTTGCTACTTGGGGTACAGGACTACTTGACGATGATTGTATATAAAAAACTTTTTGCTCGATAAGGCTATTAAACAACTGTTTTTAGTCAATAACCAGGAAATATATTTTTTTCAAGACAAGTCTGTTTAGAAGCGGCGAATCATTGCTCAGAGGCGTCACACACGAAAAATTGTCTTTTGACGGCCTCCCAAGTTTGTTTGTACAGAAAATAATTGATTTATCATTATTCTGTTTTTTAGACTAGATCATACTAAATTGACAATTGAAAAAGAGAAAACGGCATGTAAATGATTTCTATTTATTCTCATGTGATCTACAAACTATTTTAGCAATAGAACTGTCACATTAAAAAATTCATCTCTCTTCCCTAGGAAAAAATACAACGGGAATTTTTTTAAAAAGTTTTTTGTTTTCTTAATTTTTTTTTCATTCATCAGTGAACAAAAACAAGCTATACTAGTGTTTCTGCAATACTGGTTTCTCTGAGAGAGTTGGGATTCATTGAAACTAAGGGTGCCTTAACTTCTATTTATTATAAGCTATTTAATTAAAACATTGATCTAATAAAAGCGACAAAACGTTTTTCAGATATGAATTAACCCAAATAGGAGAACATAAAATTATCAGATGATTATTTTTAACATCCAAGAACAAGAAAGCAAATCTGAACATAAAAGTAATATAGATATTGATAAATACTATGCTGATAAATTTGGCAGACATTGATATAGGACAACTAAGGATTTTGAAATATGGTCAACTAAACAATAATTTAACGAATTAAAACCTTTATATACATAATTCAATTAAAACTTGATAAATGAAAGGATTAAGACACCTGAAAATTTGTAAATCATTAGCAAATGATTGACGAATTCTCCGTTTGATTTTCGGCACGATCGGCAATATCAAATTCAGTTGCCGATTGAACGCAACAAGAAGCATCTATAAAAACACTCGTTATAAGATACTGATGTTCCGCAGCAATGCATATTGCTGATTCGTGCTATTACATATTTTGAATCGAAATTTTTGGTTTTAGGATTAGTCTTGATAGCACCTAGATGGGATGATGGAGAACAGTATTGAAGAACATAGCTCTTCAGTATTCGGATATTATAAAGGATTGAACAGCGCACACTAACACAAAATTGTCAATTATTTCTTTGAAAGAGGAACATACCTATCGTTTTTGCAGACAATTAAGTGTTCAACATCAAATTTTTGTCAAAAGGTAAAATTGAAATTTAGATATAAATCAAATTGCGGTCGGCTTGATCAACAAGCCGACCAAAATTGAAGGAAACAAAATTTCACAGAGGCGAAGCGGAGCTTCGCACCACTTGCAATACAACACAAACACAAGAAGTCGAAAAAATTGAAAATGACGAAAAAAATAAAGTCTACCAAAATTCAAACAGTGTAACTCTCGATAGAAGTTCATTCTTGGCAAAAAGGCCAGCCGTTTGAATATTAAATGAGCAGACAAAGTGAGCCGGAAAAAAACATGCAAGCCAACAGACAGTTGGAAAAAAGTCAAAAAACGGAATCACACAGAAAAAAAAAACAATACAGGGCTTTTAAGCTTTCTAGAGCAATTTATGATAGACAGTTTTTAGAAAAATTTAACCCAATTTTAGAAAATTGGATCAATAAGAAAATTTTTTATTTCGCTGAGAAACTGGAAATTAAATTCCAGTTTTTAAACTACAAGTTGATCACGTTTTTCGATCCCTTTAATCTTGTGCTGTTCAATAAGGGAGTTTGCCCTCCTTTTAGCAAAGGAAATCAACTGACTTTAGAAAAAAAATCAAAACTCAAACCGCGAAAAAGTTAATTTGAGCTTGAACTTATTTTAAGATTTTTCCGGAAAAAACCATAGCGACCTATATAAAAGTCTGAACTTTCCTCGACTATTAATGAGCAACACCTGCACTTGCAATTGCAATGAAAACTGCTTACAGCACACGAAAAACCAATGATGTGGCAACTAAGCTGACAATCTTTGAGCAGACACCATTTGAACCAAAATAAAAAGATTTCATGACTTTTTTTCAATCTTTCATGTCTTCCCCTGAAACTAGAATGGCTAATACTTGCACTTGCAACTTCAATGAAACTTACTTACAGCACAAGCAATATCTCTGTTGTGGCAGAGAAATTTCAGCAGAGAGACGAAAGTCTGACAGTTACATGCATACTGAAAAAAAAAACGTCCGGTCGAGACTCAAACCACATAGCTTAGGGTGCAAAGGCTGCGGTGTTACCCCTAGACCAAGTATGAAGTAATAACAGTTACGAGAAAAGAAAAAAAGCTAAGATATTGGGAGAAAAGAAGTGAAAAAAGAAGCCAAGAATGTCAAAAGTTGTTTACGGGAAAAAGTCTAGTTCACGATTACAAGACACTTGCTCTCGCAAGTGTAATAAAAATAAACGTTTATTCAACAAGTTCATTAGAATTAAAACATTGCTAGAACGTGTTTTCGTGAAAAAAAAAGACCTATGAGATTGAGATTTACGAATGCTAGACAACATAAACAATAAAGCTCCAAATATGTTGAAATTGGTGGCTATAAAAATCATGTTGCTTTCTATGGACCATTTAGATTGATTTTTATCTAAAACTGAATCCATCTATTATTTATTTAGATTTTATTGATCACCGAACATCGATATGCCAACTTAAAGCAGCAAAATGACTGTTTTTCAGTCCCCGATCCATCCACGATTACATAATCAACCGAAACAATTTTCGAAGATTTACACTTCATATTGGATAAGCAAGCGATGTCTTCCTGAATAAAATGGTATTCTTAAACGTTTTTGGATGAGAGATAGGATCAGGAACTGCAAAAAGAGAGTAACCTCCAGTTTAATTGTTTGCGAGAACAATTTTGTTCCTTTTAATGCAACAGAGGGATTATGTAAAGCACTTCATTTCACTTCCTGAATTTCGGCCTGAGATGGTTCTGGAACCTGTGCATCTGATAAAGCAGAAGATTGGCAAACTGGATGCCGCACGGCTTGCAGCTAAAAGGCACGATTGATTCTGGACTCGAGTCGGATTCTTCCGATTCGCTCGAACTTTCTGTATTCTCCTCTGATTCGTTTACAACCGGTAAATTACTCGAATCCTTGTTAATCTCATCTTGAATGCGCATAAACGGTGGTTCCCATGAATTCATCTTTTTGCCAAGTTTTGATCCGTAATGATTGATAATCTTTCTGGAGTCTAGATTTGGAGCCAGACTTTGGACACCCGTCCGTTCTTCATTCAGTTTTTTCAATTTTTTAGACATTTCCGGTTTCATGATCTGTGTTTCGAAGCAATTTTTCTTATTTTGGCTAGCTGTTGCCAATGGATTTGATATCATCACGACATCATCATCTTCAATGCCTTGATCTGTGTCTTCATCTAAGAATCCGGCCATTAGTGGAGACCGGGAAACTTTATCTAAACTACTAGCGTAAATATTTTCAGGATCGGAAACTGATTTGCGAGGCCCCCTAAGCTCAGCAATCTCCGAATTTTCAATTTTAGCATTACTACTCATGGGTTGGCTGGACGACTGATATGGATTTGACATAGAGTCCAAATAATCTATGGTGCAATAGGACATTCCTGCGTCGAATTTTCCCTTTTCAACCTCGCCATTTAACTTTGTCACAAATTTTCCAGTTCGCGGTTGCTCGTTGTGTTTGCAGTCAACGAATCTTCCAGAAGATTCAACCGAAGTCGGATAGTAGCCGTTTCGCTGGTCTTTTTCGGTATTTCCAGAAAATAGAGTTGTCGAAGGTTCAAAGAAAACATCTTCAGAGTCAGAATTTTCTCGGCATCCATCTAGTTGTCTACATTGGCTGATACTGCTGCAGGCTGCCACAAAATTGTCATCATTAGAGTCGATTCGATATTGATTGTCATCATATTGATTTTTGTCACTGTCTATGGCCAACTGTGGCGTTGATGGTCTATCAAGGCAACTATCAGCGTTGCTACTGTGATTTATTGCAGTTTTACCCAAACCTACGGGTCTTTCTCTTTGATTTGTAAACTTTTCTAAGTTCCAACTATAGTTACGTTTTTCGACGCGATAAATTGAGAGTTCCGGTAAATTTCCTGTCTTAAACTCTGCTGCTCGTTCAGTCGCGGAGTTAGTGTAGCTACAATTTATTTGTGGGGCTACCGGAATTGATTTTTTGATGGAAGCAATTCTTATACCAACGGATGCCTGAAAAGACGTTACTGTGTCATTTCTCTCGCTATCATTCATTTCAGACGTCTGCTTAACATCTAAATAACGTTTTGTCTTTACCGGATTGGAAAATGAAACCAACCGTGCATCGTTTTCTAAGACTCTATCGGCCGTAGTTTTTTGACAGCTATAGAGGTGTCTAACTTCAGAATCACTTTTAAGCCTGCGATAAACACTTTTTCTGAAGTTTCTTGATATACTCAAGTTACTACAGCTTTCGTGGATTAAGCAGGAATAATCCAAATCTGAATCAGAATTTGGAGCACAATCTGCCGTAAAATTCGCTTCTTGGGAAAATTCCCGACGTCGATCAATATCCGAATGATTAAAGGTTTTAGAAACTTTTGCTTTTCCCGATGCGTCCGAAGAAACAATATCGGATAGTAATCTCCTACTTCGTTTCAAAGGGCTGATTATTTTAGCGGTATTATTAGCAATATTTAAGCTACTTGGACGTTCAAGCAAGTTGCTCCTGATAGTTTTGCTTTTAAGTGACTCCATGGATCGTACAAACACATCCGGCCCAGAAGTTGAACTGGAATCCAGCTCAGAACTGGTGCAATTGTCCGAATAGCCAAAAAGGTCGTCACTAGTAAGCATTTCCGTACCATCAAATCTGTTGAATCCATTTTGATAGCTGGGTTCAACTTCTTCTGTTTGAGTGTTTTCCTCATTGCTTTTGTTTATACGTTCCTGGAGAGCCTTCAGGTTCATCCGATTGACTTCAACCACGGCAGTCAAATTCTGTAATTTAGAGTCATTTCTTATTAGTGGATCGGTAATCAAAGTCCATGAGTTAAGGTCATCTGTCTTTAGGCTGAATTCGTTGTTAAGCTTGGCGTAAAGGTCCATGAAAGTCAAAAAATTTGCATTTTCATCAGGAGTGTCCGATCTAAAAAGCTTGATTGATTTCGTGGCTAATTCGTCGCACAGCTCTTTCTCTAAGCGGGCTTCCTGAAACCCACTTTTGAGCGATGGAGATGGAAGCGACTTGCAATTGTTATGTCTGATGTGTCTGCGGAGCTTTCGGTAGGTTCTGAAGTTTTCTCTACAGGATCTGCATTGATAGTGTATGAAAGAAGGCTTCATCAGAATTGCTTCGTGGTACTCCTTGAAATGTTTCGAGGGCGTCGGCATTTCGACGAAACAGTTTCTGCTCAAAACCTCGCTCAAGTTGACCGCATGGCAGCTGTAGTCACAAGACATTTCATTTGAAGGTAATGTGAGCGTGAATTAGTTCACATTCAGTAATAGAACCGAATAAATCTACGGTAAACTCCACAATAACAGAACTGAAAAGAAAACTTGATCACTGTCCTAATTTGAAAACGGTGCTTTGAAACCAAAATGGCGTCTTTAAGGCAAATCAAAAATTCATCACGATTCCGGATTCTAATACGAAATTATGATTAACGTCAAAATCTTTTCGTAGCATTTTGGACGAATTAAAAATTTAGTAGGAACGGCAATAGTTTTCAGAATCGACTGAAAATTTCTATATTATGCTATGAAAAAATGAAGCTACTTATTATTGCATCTAAGCTGTACAGTCGCTTATGGGAATTTCAAACTACAAACCCAGGTAAATGAAAAAAAAACATTACTTTTAACAGCTATTGAAAATTTCACAGATATTGAAATTACATAGAGATGAATCAGCTCGCTATAACCGCCATATACATTTCCAATTATGCAAACTTAGACAATCAGGCTTGGCAAAATTCGGCAATCATAAGCAGCTAAACTTAGCTAAATTATGCGATGCGAACGATTTGCACTAAATTATGCGGGCCTTTGTGGAAAAATAACAATTCTCTGGAAAAATATTGAGGTAATTTCAATGATTATCAACAACAACACTCAATACTATTACATATTGTGCACTATCAGGGGCGGATTTAGGGGGGGGGGGGGGGGGGGCGGACGCCTCCTCCCCTCAGGGATTCGACCCCCCGCCTTTGGTACTTTTTAAGAAATCCATTTTTGGCCGACCGACCCTAAAATTCTTCTAAAGGCGCAAATATATACTAACTATGAGAAGCGTGCGCCAAAAAACGCGATTTTTTTGTCAACATTTTCCAAAAAGTGCCCCCCCCCCCCCTCGAGAAAATCCTAGATCCGCCCCTGTGATTTATACAGGAATAAATTTAGCAATAAAAATGCGAAATAATTAAAGGTGTCAAATTCATCTTCCAGCTATTTCTTGAAACTAAGAACAAGTACAGCATAATTTTTTTATTTAACACTATTTTCCATTAGTATATAAATTAATTCTACCAGCAATATGCGTCAGCGGCAGTTGCCATCAGGTCTAAACATGGGAGTTTCAACTGCTTTAAGGAAACCAGCCGTGATAAGAAAAACAAGTTGAGTTGTGAAAATAAATTAAAATTGCGCAACTAACTATACGGAGATACAATGATTCTAATGGAATTTCAACGATAATTCATAGATGCCCTGGCAAAAAAAAACTATTAAAATCCTTCTGCGAAATCATCGTTTTCTTGAAAATGCTAATAGAGCTCCTGCAGCCAAGGCGCCGATCAGCCCCACCGACGCTGCGCCTCCAAGAACTGCAGCGCCTATGATTCCGTCACGTCTCTGCTTGTTGACAATGAGTTGCTTCAAATCTTGAGCTTGTGAGTTACTTGGTTCCTTTTCTAACACCAGAGAGATCAAAGGTAGTGCCTGTGAGTACTCTTTCAGTTTGTAGTTCCCAACAGCAAGATAGTAGAGACACTCTCTCGCTCCGGCATACGAGTTGTCAACTAGATTCTTGAACATCTTCATGCCCTTTTTGACGTCGTCTTCGTACTGGCTCTTTACAAGACAACAAGCATACTGGAACTCGTCGTCCTGGGTGAGACTCTGGTTTTTGGACGCTAATCTGTACTTTGCCTCAATGTACTTTAGATCTGCCACTGGAATCGGCTCGTTGATCACCTGCTCCGTTTCGCGCAACCCCATAAACTATCTTGAAAAAATAGAACAGTTATTTTATGGTAATTTAGATCAACTACCAACGCTATAGTCCGCCGATATTCGGAATGAAATATAATTGTTGGTTAGTTTTTACTACTGACAAATTTTTGAGTATTCTGGTTGCTGATTGCTTTATCTAAGTAATATATAAAGGGCTTAGTTATCAGTATAAAGAGATAACGAAAAATTTCGAAATAATTGTCGAATAACAAATAATTCAAATATTTGACGGCAAAAAGAAAACGCTTGATTAACCCAATACTATCGCAGAAATGAGAAATACATAACATAACATGATTAACAAAACATTGGGAAGAAGTTCGAAATCATTTTCAAAAATGAAACTTAATGGCAACCCGTACAACTGGTATTCATTAAAATACACGAAAATTGTGCAGTAAGGCTGACAAAATCTTTAACCAAAAAAAATCAGCCGAAAACTTTTCGCGATTACTTTTGGATATAAATTACTTGACATATTCAAGCTATTAAAAACCAATATAACAGAATATCATCGAGTCCAGGCGCGTTTCCAAGGTTTTTTAAGCTCTCCCAAAACACAATTAAGATCATCTTCCGCCCTAAATGATCTTTTAGGACAATTTTGGGAATGTTTTCAGCAAAAAATTGCTTTTTTCCGGCTCGCGCTCGCTTCTCAAACTTAAGATTATAGTGATGCCAAAGGCATATAGCCAAGTGGATACCGGAAAAATATCGCGTGCTAATGATAAGCGATCTTAACATTAAGACTAAAATATCAGAAAAAACCTACAAAATACGAATCTACGAAAATGAAAACAATTGCCAACGTAAGCACTGCCACCAAACAGTTGAAAAAGTCAATGCAGTTAGGAAGACCGAAAAAGGAACGTTGAAAAAGGAATGGACTTTATTGGAAAAAAATATATATACTTTTATATACACAAAATTTTCCACCGATTTTTGGCCCACCTATTGATTTCCACATTTATCTCAAAATACTTAAGACGCTATACCAAATGTGAATTATGGAACAAAGCAGCGTTTTTAACAAATTGGAGTATATGCTGTCTTGAGGGACTTCAGAGCTTAGATTTGAAAATTGTATTTTTCGTTTTCATAAATCTCTCCCCTTGCGCTCTTAGATTGTCGAATTTAACACAATTTGAGAAAACAGAATCAATAGAAAAAATTTATTATTCCGCTGAGAAAACAAAAATTCACCTTCGAAAATGAAGTCGTTGACATTTTTTTTAGCCATTTCCACATTCATTACGACCTACATAAAATTCTTCATTACTTTCATTGAAACTTATATATTAACACAGCCAACAGACAGTTTGAAAAAGTCAAAATGGACGGAAGTAAACAGCAAAAAAAACTGACTTTAAAAAAAAGTTCAATTTTGAAATTCTAACCGAAATATATGGTTTTAAAACTCCGATGAATTTGATCGACAATATCATGAATCAATATAGTTCTAAAACTCCGATGAATTTTATCGGACAATATCATGGATCGATAAATATATTTTTTTATTCCGCTGGTAAAACTGAAACAAAATTCACGTTAAAGTCTAGCTTTTCGTGACCTTTACACTTTCGCTGTTTGATAGTGGAGTTTGCTTCCCTTTTATAAAAAGGGAATGAATTGAACTTGAAAAGAAATCAGAAGTCAAACCGCGAAAAATCAAACTTCAGCGTGATGAAGTTTTGAAACTTTTCCTAAAAAAGGAATAAAAAACTATTACTGTTCCGACCACTTCCGAACTTTTGAAAAATTGCAAGGAACTTCGTATTCGGGTGTTTCAGTTTTTGTTCCGACCACTGAAAATGGGGAGGAACTTTGTGTTCGGGTGTGTTTTATTTGTTTCCTTTTTATTTTCCACGCAAAATCAGCTACCACAAACAAACATCAGACTGGGTTGAGTGATATATCATAAAAAAACTCTTTCAGTCATGATTGGAACTACCCTAAATAATTCCCAATTTTTTTTTCTAGTGTTGAGAAAAACCGGTTTGAAAATTTTGATTTTTTTGTCCTAACTCGATCAAATAAAGCAAGCGAGCAGGTTTACAACAGCTGAAATGCATATACTATGCCTAATTTAAGACCTTGAAACTCAATTTTAAGCAAGTAAAACTAGTTTTGGGAGTTTTTTGCTACATTTCGGGATCTAATTTTTTATAGTTTTTCTTGTCATTTTTCTACAAACATTTTTGTCCAATTTGCCTATATTACTATGACTGTCTAATATGCTTTAATCATATTTTTACGTAAGATGCTTTTATCACACCAAGCAGAAAAAAACTACATTTATTTGAAAAAAAAACTATGGTCGGAACATTCTTTGCTACTTGCAAGTAACTGACTATCCTGTTTTTTGTTTCCTAGCTAAATCAGGTGCTAAAAATAAGCATCGGAGCGGCTGGCCAGATTGGAACCTAGGAATTTTGCCATACCAGGCAAGCTCGTTGCCTCCAGGCTAAGTGAGCCGGGAACGCTAACAATTTGAATTAATTCTGAAACAAGGTACCATTGGAGATGAGTCCAGAAGTACACTAGAGATCAGTCCTGTGAAAACTGGTTTGCTGGAAAACAAAGTCTAGTACCCGATTGCAATACCCTAGCTTATCGCAAGGGCAATAAATTATGAAATTGAAAAATATTGCATTTGACAAAGATTCAGTTGAAAAATTTCTGTAATCGAGTTTTTTTTTATCGTTTTGTTTGAAAAACAGCTTTTTTACTAATCAAATTACAAGTTATTAAAAAGCCGTACATGTGCTCCAGAAGTTGCAACTTAGATTGAAAAAATAGAATAGCCGTACATTAATACTACGCTCGCTTAAGCGCGTTAGTGTAATCATACGATTTGGTCGAGTGTTATTTCATAACACAGAGGCGAAGTTTCGCCTCGGAAACACTAGCATGACCACGCCAAGAAGCATCTCTAAAAAGAGCAATAAAAAAGGTAAAAAAGCCTCGAATTACTAAAAATTTGGCAAGGCTTCGGATTCGATCTGCGGCCTACAGATCACGAGTCTCACGCTTATAGTAAACGTGCCACTTAATAAGTGAACACTTTCCGCTTGCAATGAACACTTTTATTTGCGGGTTAGGTTAGGAAAAAAAAAGAAGATCCGCACTAATACACCAGCTTCTCGCAAGTGTGATAAGCGTTTTCAATGAAACTTCTAAACCAATGTAGAATAAATTGATTTCTTAAAATGTTCGCATATTTTGTCGAAAAAAAACTAGAACATTCGTCGAAAATTGGTCTCTGCTTGAACTATTTTCGAGAATCCAACGAACCAAAAAAGGAACATCAGTTTAAAACCACGACATATAAACACATGAATCGATTGGCATCAGCACCAAAAGATATGAGAAGATTAACGCCTATTAGCTTAACAAAAACGCTTTTCAATCAAAAGAAAGTAGAAAAATTTAAATTCATTTATTAATCTCTAATCATCTAAAATTGCAAATGCGGTTAGTAACCAAATAAAGCAGCAACAAATGCATCATTCACTGATTGACCAAATTAAAACACTTTTTCTGTAAGGGTTGTGATGAAACTGCATAAAGCCCTAATCAGACAAGAATGGAAGGCTAATATGTACTGAAAAATAATTCACTTCTATTGTTATTTTAATTTAAGTTAAAATTAGTTAAAATATCAAATCTGTTCTGAACTATATGAAACAAAAATTCGACCAGACTGGATTGAGAATATAGAAATTGAGAATATAGAAATTGCAGAAAGCTAGAAATAGCTTATGTGTGAACGCTGACCTTTAGTGAAACACCAATCAAACAAACATCTTTTTTCATTCTGAGTCATCTGAGGTATATATTTTTTTCAAATTTCAGAACTTTTTCACATTTTATCATCGTTTTTGCATTTTTGGCGAAAAAGTGACTTGATCAGAAACTTTCACATCAAATCAAGATCTAGACACTTTAAACCAGTTTCATAAAACAAAATAGAAATTGATAATTCTCGACTGATTTGAAAAAATAATTCATATACTAAACGCCTAGATAGGAGTTTCAGAAATAGTTGCGGTAATTTTTCCGTATATCATAAATATTTTCGAATAGCATATCTGATCCGTCAAAAACGCGAGTTTTTAATTACTGGACGATTTTGTACAATGCTTAAACATACATCGCACCTACTAAAGATCACCAAAACGACGTTACAAGCTACACTCAGCAGCTAAAAGGTAATTTCACTAAAAAAAATCATAGCCAATCGAAGATTGGAAAAAACAAATGAACGCAAGTAACATAAAAAACACTGTCTTTGTTGGAAAAATCTGCACTTTCGAACTTCATAGAAAAAAAATAGATGCCCTTTAAGCTCTTTGAATTTCTAGAACGATTTATGATTGGCGCTTTTTTGATAACATTAACCCAACTCGAGAAAACTGGATCAATAGGTAAAATTTTAATTCCGCTGGAAATTTAAAAATTAAATTCCACTTTCTAAACTAGAAATTGTTCGTTTTTTTTGCGCCATCTCCACGTTCGTATTTGGAGAATGCTTTTTAGTATCTTTCTGCAGATGAATTTCAATTGAACTCAAAGAGTGCATATATACCTAAGAGCATTCATAAATGCATCAATATGTATGAATGCACATCTGTAGTTATTAGAGACTTTATGCACATTTTCCTTAAAAAAAACAAAGCAAAAAAAATCAGCAAGACCCACATAAGACGATTCACTACGTTAATTACCATTAATAAATCTAGCTAAGCGCAAGTGTAAATATGGTTCAGCAGTGGATGGCTCTTCTGGTTGCCCTGAGGATAAAAATAAATTGCACATATTTGAATTGACTGTATTTTTGTATGAATGACGTGCACAGTGCAAAGGCGGCAGTGCAGTTATAGAAACGCACCGAGTGCAGTGTAGAACTCCTGCAGGTATTTGATGAGTTTGGAGATGTTCGGTCGCTCCACTGCATCATATGCCCAACAGCTGCACATGCATCGGTATCTAAACACACCTAACTATAGATAAGATTAAAAAATATATATTTCTTTTCTGCAATAATGTTGTTTGCTTTTCTTTTATCAAAGGACTTGAATTGAAATTAAAAAGAAATCACATTTCAAAACGCGAAATATCACATTTGAGCGTAAACAACTTTTAAGAATTTTTCCTGAAAAAAAAACAATCATCACGAACCATAGAAGAGTCTTCACTACGTACTTTCCTTGACTCTAACTAAAAATGCTACTTGTTCCGACCACTGAAATTTCGGTTTTCGGATTATTTTAGTTTTTTTTCGACCATTGAAGATGGGGACAAGCTTTGTCTTCGAGCATTTTTTAAAGTTTTTTTAGCACTTCACGCAAAATCAGGAAACAAAGCTAACTGACAGTTGGAAAAGAGTAATGAACACAAGGAAACTGAAAAAAAAACTGATTTGTTTTTCACAAAAACCTTCATCTTTTAAACTTCGAATAAGAGAATAGATGGCCTTACAGCTCTTTGAATTTGTAGAATAATTAATGGTGGACATTTTTTAGTTAAAATTTGAGAAAACTTCATCAATAGGTAAAACTAATATTTCGCTGAGAAATCTGATAATCAATTTCCGTTTTCGAAATTAGAAGTCGATCACGTTTTTCGTGACCCTTACATTTATGCGGTTCGAGAGCAGAGTTTGCCTTCCTTTTAACACTGGAAATGCACTGAACTTAAAAAGAAATCAAAAGTTAAACCTCGATAAATCAAAGTTGAGCGTAAATAAATTTTAACTTTTTTCTGAAAAAAGAACAAAAAAATCACCCAGACATATATAAGACTACTCAATACGTTCATTTCTCTTAACCAGAAAAAACACTGAAGTGAAGCTGCGCTTTGTAAACTCTGGCGAAAAAATGACAAAAAAGTAGCTCCATAAAGCAAAATAAGAAATATATAAAAACAAGCCTTCAAAAATCAAACTTTTGCTATAGAGGAATCGATGCTACGACCAGGCGTTTTATAGTCTCCTGTCCTCGCATCTACAAAAAGTGCCCTGATAATTTGCAAACACTGGCCGTAAATAAGCAGCTACATAAACTAATAAATAGCCAATGCCATGCAGCAAAAGTGGCACCAAATACAAATAGACACAATTTTGCATGTAATAATTTAGAATATAACAAACAGGCATCCACGCTAACTTTGGATGTGAAAACTTTGAAAACATAAAGTCAAATTACTTACATAGAGGCGAAGCTGCACTTCGCATACACAAGCAAAAATATGACCGACAACGCTACTCGGAAAAACTGAATGAGTAAAACTTTGAGTCTACAAAATTTCTTAAGTGACGCACGCCAATTGAGAGTCTACATAATTGCAAAGTCACGCATGCCAATTATGACGCATTAGCAGTCATTTTCATTTTATAAAAATTTACCAATTAACATGCCTCAATTTATATAGCAGTAATAAAAAAAATTAAAAGTATTAAAAATGTATTTTTTTTTTAAATTCGAGATTTTTTGTGAAAACTATCTCTGCACACGCCATATCAAGTGCAAAGTGATAAATTTCGCTGCTAGTGACAAATCAGTCATGGCAAATAATACTCCTTCAACCAATTTGGAACGATTTCTTTGACGGATTGAATCTCCGCTTACGCTTTTAATGCCCGAATATATCGCGCGTTAGTTGTCCCAAATTGGTCAAAATGGCAATTTTTAAACCCCCATAACTTTACGAGAAAAAAATCACAGGTGAAATATCTCTCCAAATTGAAGCTCCGGATAAAAATACTTTTCGAATGATAGAAAAAATCCCGTCAAAAATGGTAAGTTAAAAAGCCGACATTTGTCTGAAGAAAAAAACCCTCTCGAGCAGAAATATTCCGCTATTTTCGATACGAAAGTCGGAACAAGACTGTTCGTATCAGGGCGAAACCTTGAATGTTCCGCCTGCCTTTTGAGGTCTATGAAGCAAAAAATAACATGAAAAAAATTAAATGTAGTAAGATAAAAATAAAATAAAATTTGAGATTTTTTTTGAAAATCAACCCCTACACGCCATATTTAGTACAAAGTGATAAGCTTCGCTCCTGGAAAAATATCAACTATGGCAAAAAAGTTTCCTTCAACAAATTTGGAACGATTTCTAAGACGGATTAAATCTCTGCTTACGCGTTAATAGCGCGAAAGATATCGCGCGTTAATTGTCCAAAATAAACCAAAATGGCAATATTTGAACCCTCATAACTTTACGAAAAATGATCACAGGTGAAATATCTCTTCAAATTTAGGCTCAAGTCAACAATACCTTTTGAATGATAATAAAAAATTTCGTCAAAATGGCCAGCTAAAAAGTCGAAATTTGTCTGAAAAACCCACCCCGAGCACAAATATTCAGTTACTTTCGTTACGAAAGTTAGAACAATAATAATAATCTGTCTTAACATCCTTAGCCTTGGCTGGACTTAATAGCTGGTAATTGATCAAAATTAACACTTTCAAAATGAAAACATCTTATCGCAACATTATTTGCGTCGCAACAATAGTTGCGACTTAGGTTGGAAAAAAAAAACAGTTCATGCCATAACACAAGCATTGCTTGTGTAATAAAGTAGGCATTTGGAAAATATAGCATCTAAGATATATTGAGTTTGAAAATTTGTGAAACCGAGTTTTTATTATTAGTGTTGTTTGAAAAAAATAGCCTTTTTGGGTTTGTTTGACAAATAAAAATGTATCATTTTGGTTAGCGTAATACTAATTGAATGACAAATCAAAAGCTATCAAAAAACCCGTACAGGTGCCCCAGAAAAATACCAATACTTGAGACTTAATTTGAAAAGAAAGGAAAAGTCGTACTTTGAAACTACTCTCGCTTAAGCTCGCTAGAGTAATCATAGGAATTCGTCCAGTGTTATATCATTAAAAAAAGCTCTTTCAGCCTAGATTCAAGAGACCTTTAAAATTTTACAAAAAGCTTTTAGGATTGAAAAAAAAAACGGTTTGAAATTTCTGACATTTAGTTTAATTTCGAACAGAAAAAGCGAGCGAAAAGTGTTATAAAAAATTTTTATTTGTGACGTAGCCCTGAAATCGTAGTCTAACTCCAGAATCTTTTTAGATTTTTTAGCGCCTTCTTCAAAACGTTTTTATTTAAAGCTTTCTGCAAAAATTTTAGAAAAAATTTCAATTTTTGTGATTTTCTTTTATTTCTATTTTTTGAGAAAAACTGAAGTCGAATATAACTGATTTCGTATAACTATCGAATATGCCTGTTCCAGGCTTTCTTTCAGATCCTTTCATCACGCCACATGAAAAACGACAATTTGAAGAAAAAAAAACGGCTATCCTTGTTATTGCTCCCCTTAGAGCAGCCGTGGCCGTGTTTAAGACGCGCGGCCTTTAACATAACGTCGCGGGTTCGAACCCGATTCGGTCACGATTGTAGGGGTCTCAGTGTCATCCGCGCGTTCAAGGTGGTACCGGCTGCGGCAAAATCGATGACATCTTTCTCCTCCACGGAAAAATTCTCGAAGATGAACGGTAGGAGTTGGGCCGAAAAAATTTCTCCCAATTGGTTTAATGGTCACGTTCATCAAACAACTGATAATATTCTTAATTACTATTCATTGAAATTATATGAAATTTCATTCCTGAGCTGTCCTTCAAGCAGATGTTTTCTATTTCTTCATAGGAGCTATCCATATGCAAGCAATACACCTGCGTCGCGAAAAATGAATTATAATAGAATCTTCAAGCGGAAATAGAAAAACTGAAATCATTATTATTAGGTTCTATAATGAACCCTATTTAGAAGTGCTCATTTAGCCTGTCAAAACTAACAGAGCGTCTGGGCAGTTCTGAGGCTGGTACAGTCTTCCTCCCTCTTTTAGAAAAGACACCATCTCAAAAGGGTCAATGTCTTCGTACGGGTTTTCAGCTAGGGTCCATAACTCCCATAGGGTGATACCAAAACTCCAGACATCGTTAGCCGGCGAGTAGATGTACTTGGAAATAGCTTCGATTGCCAGCCATTTGATAGGCCTGTTCACGTTGTCGCCGAGACACTGGTAGTCTTCTGGGAAGAGATCACGTGCCAACGCAGCATCGCCTATCTTCACCACCCAACCATCGTCTAGGCTAAAATTTGTCAGAAAACCAATTGCAACTAAGTTCAAACAATGATTTTTCAATATAACATCTTATGTGTAAAATATTTGTTCCACGGCTTTCAAGTTCCGAGGGCTTTTGATTCGCATGCATTTGTACTCTTTATCTGATTTCAAATTTCAATTTTGAGAAACCCCCTCAAATTTAATTAAAATTTCGATCCTACTTGAAGATAAAAACAGCTACAAAAAATACTCACAAGCAGTTTCTTGTTGCCAGATCGTTGAACTCTAACTTGCTCTTAACAATAAACTGCAGACCATGCAAAATTTGGATGCCCATGCCCACCACGTCACGCGTCGTGAGAGACTAAACAGAACCCACGGCATGAGAATCACAGTTAGGCTAAGAAAATCGAATCTTCATTTGCTTTGACAAGTCACTTAAAATTTGGAACAAAAACAAATTTACAAAATTATCAATGGAAAAACATTTTGAAAATTCTAATTTTTGTGAAACCACACGCTATGTAAAGTTCAAACTAACAGGTTTCTCGTCTTGTAGCGTATTAATATGACCCAAAATTTTGCTTCAAATATTTTTGGAGACATTTATAAGCCGGATTAATTCATCGCATCAGCATTGAAAGAACGAATAAATTGCACTATACTATCCTCAATTGACACGTTTCAAATCACAACACCTAAACAAAAAAGATAGCAAATTTTCTCAAACAAAAAACCAGACCGATCACAAAAATTCCGTCTTTTTCTTCAAAAATTGAAAACATTACACACAGACGCGAAGCTTCACTTTACCAACGCAAACAAAAAAGCGACAAGAAGTAGCTCTTAAAAAGTCAAACACTAACAAAAATAAAAGAAAAACCTTGAAAAGAAAAACTGCTATGTTCCAAAATCGAACCCGGATCTCGAGATTAAGAATCAGTCCTAGCTTCTGCGTCATGGTGACTTGACAATTATCAAAGACTAATAACCAAAAAACCAAATACGAAGATAAAATTTTAATGCGGCAAAAATAAACCAGAATAGGGGTCCAGTCACAGCTGGAGGTAACTCTTTGATAATATAAAAGGAACTGATGCGAAAGGTAATGCGAAATTTTCAAAATGTCCAAACTGATTATTTATCAAAATTACTGAGGGAACGTTTTTGCGATGGGGATAAAAACATCTCCGTTTAATTGACTTCTTAATCTCAAAACAGGCAAAAAAAAATTAAGCGAAGTCAACCAGGATGTTTACCATGTCTATGGCGAATTCCTTGCAAAAATTGATAGAATCAAATTTCGCAAGGGATACACCTATAACTTGTCTTGTTCCGTTGAATCTTAATTACACAATTGGCACGGTAGTTTTCGAGAAAATCAGAACTGTCAGCATTTCGAAAAACGGACTTTAAGTCCACAAAGACTTTCCTTAAAAATAGCGCATGGTCGCTTAAATAACAAAATTCATGGCACCTGTTCCTTTGATTGAACCTGTTCCTAAATTCAGATTGAGCAAATTAATTGCTTAAGTTAAAAAAAAACTCCAAAAAATCTTGAAAAAAAATTGAACCCAAATTTTCGTATGTCTCTATAAAATCAACTAGAAGCCCAGCTAAGAGTGGAGGTACCTGATTGATATTTTTTGGAACTTTTAATAGTGACGTGGAATGAATTCGTTAAATTCAGAAATTTTAATTTGGACAAAATTTAAGTTGTTTCTCTGCTGAAATAAGCGAGAACGAAAAGCTTGAAAAATGGGAACCTTCCGAACGACAAAAATATTACTCTTGCTATTAATAAAGAGAAGCCGCTTCTGTAGTAAAACTTCTCGCAACCTGTTTATTTGAACCCTTCATCTCAGATTTGATAGGATAGTTTCTAAAAAAAATTCAAAAAGTTTTTAAAAAACGGTCAAAGTTTAAGAACTCGACTTTCCGAAATCCGCAATTTTTTTCTGCTAAAAACAAGTAGTGGCCGGTGAAGTACAAAAAATTCTCGAAATCAAGTTTCTCGGTCAACAAATCAGACAGTTGACGTTTCCGAGAAAAAAATCGGTCAAAAACCAAAACCCTAACTTTCCGAGATCCCTAACTATTTTCTACACAAGGAAGGTCGCGGCCTCTTAATCAGATGAGATACCCAAAGACGGATTTCTCGATTGAATACTTAGCCTAAAATTGGCAAGGAAGTTTTCGAGAAAATAATTCCAAAAAACGTTCAATAAATCTGAAATTTGACACTCATAGCTTTTTGAAGAAAAAAAAATTGCGCGTAGCCGCTTATGCAAAAGAATTTCACATAACCTTTTATTTAGAATGAAATCAGATTTGGAAAGGTAATTTTCTTATGTGTAAAAACCAAATTGGCCGTAGTTGATTATGCAGGGAAGCTTCAAAAGCCCGTGCTTCAATCAACCAATAATCTCAGATTTGGGAGGATAGGTTTCGAGAAAGTTTTTGATTTTTCCGAAGGCAATAACTTTTGTACAGATAAATTTGGACATAGAAGATTATGCACAAGAATTTTGTACAAAACACTCTTTGGATTGAATCCAAAATCTCATATTTAAAAGTGTAGTTTTGAAAAAAAAACGATAAGTTTCAAAAAAACTGTCAAAAAATAAAACTGACTATTCCGAGGGCCATAGATTTTTGGGTAGACAAGTTTGGGCGTAGCCGCTTATGCAGGAAAGATTCACACAGCCCGTTTTATCTATTCAACCGAATATCTCAGATTTGATAGGTTAGTTTTTACGAACACGGGAAAAATAAAAATGTATATGGGTCAAATGTCCTCCACAGACTTTTCCGAAGGCTGTAGACAGTGGGGTAAAGTAAAAAGAGACTAGGTGATTATGCAGGCATACAGGAGAGTAGACAGTCTTTTTACTGATACACTTTCTAGAAATTGGTAGAGAGTTTTTCGAGATATATTAATGATATGCAAAAAATAAATAATTAAAAAGCGTCTCAAAAAATAACAAACCTAAGCCCATACAATTTCAGAATGTCTATCAAACATGTTTATAATGTTTATCAAACAGGAGTTTCAAAAAACACGCAAAGCAAGACACTTGAATTTCAAACTCACAGGCGAATCTGAGCTTCGCAGCATTTGCAATACAAAGTACAGGTTTAAAATTGCATGATACTCAGAACTACTGTCAATTGTTACCCTTGAAAAACCAAACGAGTACAACGAAAAAAAAATATTTTTGTTAAAAATTATTGAAGTGTTTTCAGGGGGTCTCAATGATGTTGAATTCGAGCATTATCTATTGTACAATTAATATTGGAACTTAGGAAACAAAATATTTGGTTAACAAGCCGATGAAATTAAAGCTTAATTTCGATCAAAACATTTCAGCAAAATAATTGACAAAAAAACATGTATGCCCATGTAGCTCCACAAGTGCCAGGATGTTTACCATGTCTATGGCGAATTCCTTGCAAAAATTGATAGAATCAAATTTCGCAAGGGATACACCTATAACTTGTCTTGTTCCGTTGAATCTTAATTACACAATTGGCACGGTAGTTTTCGAGAAAATCAGAACTGTCAGCATTTCGAAAAACGGACTTTAAGTCCACAAAGACTTTCCTTAAAAATAGCGCATGGTCGCTTAAATAACAAAATTCATGGCACCTGTTCCTTTGATTGAACCTGTTCCTAAATTCAGATTGAGCAAATTAATTGCTTAAGTTAAAAAAAAACTCCAAAAAATCTTGAAAAAAAATTGAACCCAAATTTTCGTATGTCTCTATAAAATCAACTAGAAGCCCAGCTAAGAGTGGAGGTACCTGATTGATATTTTTTGGAACTTTTAATAGTGACGTGGAATGAATTCGTTAAATTCAGAAATTTTAATTTGGACAAAATTTAAGTTGTTTCTCTGCTGAAATAAGCGAGAACGAAAAGCTTGAAAAATGGGAACCTTCCGAACGACAAAAATATTACTCTTGCTATTAATAAAGAGAAGCCGCTTCTGTAGTAAAACTTCTCGCAACCTGTTTATTTGAACCCTTCATCTCAGATTTGATAGGATAGTTTCTAAAAAAAATTCAAAAAGTTTTTAAAAAACGGTCAAAGTTTAAGAACTCGACTTTCCGAAATCCGCAATTTTTTTCTGCTAAAAACAAGTAGTGGCCGGTGAAGTACAAAAAATTCTCGAAATCAAGTTTCTCGGTCAACAAATCAGACAGTTGACGTTTCCGAGAAAAAAATCGGTCAAAAACCAAAACCCTAACTTTCCGAGATCCCTAACTATTTTCTACACAAGGAAGGTCGCGGCCTCTTAATCAGATGAGATACCCAAAGACGGATTTCTCGATTGAATACTTAGCCTAAAATTGGCAAGGAAGTTTTCGAGAAAATAATTCCAAAAAACGTTCAATAAATCTGAAATTTGACACTCATAGCTTTTTGAAGAAAAAAAAATTGCGCGTAGCCGCTTATGCAAAAGAATTTCACATAACCTTTTATTTAGAATGAAATCAGATTTGGAAAGGTAATTTTCTTATGTGTAAAAACCAAATTGGCCGTAGTTGATTATGCAGGGAAGCTTCAAAAGCCCGTGCTTCAATCAACCAATAATCTCAGATTTGGGAGGATAGGTTTCGAGAAAGTTTTTGATTTTTCCGAAGGCAATAACTTTTGTACAGATAAATTTGGACATAGAAGATTATGCACAAGAATTTTGTACAAAACACTCTTTGGATTGAATCCAAAATCTCATATTTAAAAGTGTAGTTTTGAAAAAAAAACGATAAGTTTCAAAAAAACTGTCAAAAAATAAAACTGACTATTCCGAGGGCCATAGATTTTTGGGTAGACAAGTTTGGGCGTAGCCGCTTATGCAGGAAAGATTCACACAGCCCGTTTTATCTATTCAACCGAATATCTCAGATTTGATAGGTTAGTTTTTACGAACACGGGAAAAATAAAAATGTATATGGGTCAAATGTCCTCCACAGACTTTTCCGAAGGCTGTAGACAGTGGGGTAAAGTAAAAAGAGACTAGGTGATTATGCAGGCATACAGGAGAGTAGACAGTCTTTTTACTGATACACTTTCTAGAAATTGGTAGAGAGTTTTTCGAGATATATTAATGATATGCAAAAAATAAATAATTAAAAAGCGTCTCAAAAAATAACAAACCTAAGCCCATACAATTTCAGAATGTCTATCAAACATGTTTATAATGTTTATCAAACAGGAGTTTCAAAAAACACGCAAAGCAAGACACTTGAATTTCAAACTCACAGGCGAATCTGAGCTTCGCAGCATTTGCAATACAAAGTACAGGTTTAAAATTGCATGATACTCAGAACTACTGTCAATTGTTACCCTTGAAAAACCAAACGAGTACAACGAAAAAAAAATATTTTTGTTAAAAATTATTGAAGTGTTTTCAGGGGGTCTCAATGATGTTGAATTCGAGCATTATCTATTGTACAATTAATATTGGAACTTAGGAAACAAAATATTTGGTTAACAAGCCGATGAAATTAAAGCTTAATTTCGATCAAAACATTTCAGCAAAATAATTGACAAAAAAACATGTATGCCCATGTAGCTCCACAAGTGCTAAAGATGTACTAAAAGGAATATGCTATACAAAATTCAGAACCTAAAACGAGAGCTTAATCGACAACAATCAAGCCGAAAAACCATCATCCCAAAACAGTTATCTCGAAATTAACAGAGCCCAAAACATCAGAGCAGAAACCCTTCCAGCCGAAAAAAAAATTGATACTACTACAAAAAATTCAAATTCCTTAAGAATTTTTTTTTTCAATTTCATACATACCTATAAGAAACTAAGTCCGGAGCAAACACAAGCGAGGAAATGCAAAAAAGAGCTCCGAACAGGCAAAACAAAACAAAATCAGGAAAGAAAATATTAAAAATACACTATGGGAAAAAATTTTTCTGAGATGAGGAATAACACGTTCTCACATCTGACCCACGTCTCCTAGTATTTTTACTTACACCAGCCACCAATAAAGCAGCTGCAGTTTCTTAACTAATTGCCAATGCTATGCAGCAAAAATTCGACCACAAAAATGTTTCGATGATCCCGATTTGAATCTACCACCTGTTGATTAGAAGTCTCACTTACTCACATTTGCGCCAGGGACGCTTGGAGGTAAACTAGTGGCCCAACTAATGCTGGATGCACCTGTTTTAAAAATTTATTCTCTGATAGTACTGATACCATAAGGCGTAACTTTCAAAGTTTCAAAAAATGGACTAAACGCAAAACCCTAGTGATTTCCCTGCTTAAGTAAGGGATTATCCGTTTAATTAAAGGAGAAAAATAGTATTCACTCTTTCAACTGAATTCTTTATCTCAGATTTTGCTGGGTAGTTTTCGAAAAAAGTGAAATAAGATTCCAAGAAACTATAAATCCATCAACTTTTCTCTAATAAAGCATGGGAATAGCATCTTATGCAGGGAAGACTTTCACATCCTGATTTTTAGATTGAACCCTTGATATAAGATTTAGCCAGAAATTTTTGTGAAAAAAAGCATGAAGTTTCTACAAAAAAAACAGTAACAATTTCAAAAAACGGATTTTTACGATAACGTTATCGGCTTTTCAAAGAAAAAAAATAGGTTGAAACACTTTAAACAGGGAAAATCTAAGCACCATGATAGTATGATTGAAGTAACAACCTCAGAATCAGCGAATTAGTTTTTGAAAAAAAAATAAGTTTCCAAGAAACTATCAATTAATAAAACAATTGACATTTCCTAAATCCATCAACTTTTCTCTAATAAAGCATGGGAATAGCATCTTATGCAGGGAAGACTTTCACATCCTGATTTTTAGATTGAACCCTTAATATCAGATTTAGCTAGTAATTTTCGTTAAAAAAAGCATGAATTTCTACAAAAAAAAACAGTAACAATTTCAAAAAACGGATTTTTGCGATAACGTTATCAGCTTTTCAAAGAAAAAAATAGGTTGAAACACTTTAAACGGGGAAAACCTAAGCACCATGTTAGTATGATTGAATTAACAACCTCAGAATCAGCGAATTAGTTTTTGAAAAAAAATAGGTTTCCAAGATAACGGGCAAAATTTCAAAAATTGGATATTTTCTAAGGCCATAATTTTTTCAAAACACAGGGCTTGGCCGCTTACACAAGGAAGATTCGCATAATTTTTTTTTTCGGTTCAACCCTTTATCTCTAATTTGACGGGGTAATTTTTGAAAAAATTCACCAAAGTTTCAAGAACTAACAAAAATGTCAAAAAATGGGCTTGTTTCAGGCCACAACTTTTTTTCTACCGAATTTAGGGAAAAGCCGCCTAGAAAGGAGGATCCCCATGATTTGTTTTTTTTTTAAATTGAAACGTTCATCTCAGATTTGCGCATTTAAAGTTTGAGAAAAAATGAAGTAACACGAAAGAGCCGCCAGTTTGCCCATTGGTACCATTTTTTTGCACCAAGTTCAATAATTTTCCAGAGCGTCGCAAAAAAAACATCAAAACCCATATATTTTCATAATACCTGTTGTTTTCAGCAGGACATTAAGCTAGCCAAAACCGAAGCCGCAGCATGTGCTATTAAATTCCCTATGCTTAAATATGATTAAATTGAAATATACCAAAAGTTCCACCAATAAGCACTTTTATTTGCGACTTAAATCGGAAAAAAAATTCTTCGTAATAATACACTACGCTTCGCTTTAAAGACTTTTTCCCGAAAAAAAGAAAACCATACGACCAAATTGAGTTTCTTCATTTCGTTCATTGACACATAGAAGATTGAAGCCTAATGAATGATTGACCGAATTATCCCTATTTCGAGCCATCAGACAAAAAAACTTTTTCAAATAATGTGAATAATGGGAAGCAAAAAAAATCAAAGCGTTGCAATTTCCAAGAAAAACCATCAATCCGAGAAAACCGTCAACTGCTCACTTCATGAAAAAAAAACTAGCAATACACCCAGTATCATGCAAATCAAAAATATTGAAGAATACGAAAAAAAAACACGACTGTCGTCAAAAGTTGAATTTTTGAAAAATGACTTCTAAACTTATGTTCGATTTCTGTTCGAAAAATAAAAAGCAAAACATTAACACAGAGGCGAAGCTGATTTATGCACTACTTACGATACAAAACAAGAAAGCGACCAAGTCGGCAAAAAACCGAAAATGTCGAAACAGCAAAATAACAATTCCGCGATGTCGCAACTAAGCCGACGAAACGTAAGCAGACAAATAATAAGCCCACATTTTTTTTTGAAATGGAATGTTTCCGATTGAAAAAAATCGGTCCAGTTATATTCGAATCCACAACCTTTGCCGTACCAGATTCATTCGCTATCTCCATATCAATTGCGCCAGAGGCGCAGAAAAATTTGAATTTATCATGAAATGAGCCAAAATTAACTTATTCTAATTTTGACCAATTTGTGAAGAAAGTTATTTGCGGAAACCCAATTGCAATACCTTTTTTTCAACAGTCTAGTAGCATTATTTAATTCGTCAAAATTTTTCGTAAAATCCAAACTAAAGTGAGTGTTTTAAAAAAAAATGCTGAACTTTTGATTTCAAGAACCTTTCTCTCTATTGAAACAACTAAACGTTAAAAAATCTCATGAACTAAAAACGAAAAAAAAATGTTCGAGTTACGAAGAAAAACACATTACCTAAAGTTTTTTAAATTCAAGAGACTTATGATTGACATTTATTGACTTCTGATAAAAACTAATACTATTTGAGAAAACAAAGCCATTACTTTTATTCCTCTGAGAAACCATTAATTTAAAAATCCACTAAAAAGCATTAGGTATACAGCAAAACAACATCGCTTGACTAACTCGTCGATACTATTTTTATAAAGGAATTTTAAAAGAATTAATTTGCGTGATTCGACGCATGAAATACTATCGTTATACCTGTCTGGTAGATCGAAGATGTCGAAGATGCAGTTTCAAAATCCCAAATGTAGTCTGTGGGTACACGACCAGAGGAGGTGGATAGTACTTGTTTACTTCCTTATCCCTTTCCCCCTTCACTCCCTGTATCTCTTTCGGGTTGTGTTCCGATTGGGAGGAGGGTAGATTGTTTTCCTGGTTGCCGTAGACTACTGTGAGACAGGGCAGCACGTGGGTGCACTCGGAAGCACTGACTGAGGAGAATACATGACACTCGTGCAACATCGTGTCAATCTGACCCACCGATGACTGCTCTGCAAACATAGCATTAGAATGTTCACAAGTTATTCATTTATATTTTGGATTCTTGTAAGTAAGTGCTACCTTTGACTGTTTTCACTGTGATCGGGTACTGGAAGATGTCACCACTGGCCCCCTTCATGGCAACAGATGCGTTGTGTAACAGTCCAAATGTACCTGATAAACAAAAACAAACATAGGATCTTGTTAACTATTCTCCCTGTTTCGATTTTCAGAAATTCGACATTGGCTGCCACATTTTCAATATTTTAAAACAATTTTCAGGTAATATATTTGTTTTAAAATTCCTAATCTATGTATTATATAAATACGAGTAATACGAATACGAACGCGCGAAAATGAAAACCCAATTAATTCGTGGCATTTTTGAAATGTACTTTATACAGAAAAAAAATTGTCAAAAACAATACATGCATAGGGGGAAATCACAAGGAAGAAATAAAAATCAGGAAATAGTTAACAAACATAGCCTACATTCAGTTGGAAAAGAGACAACGAACGCAAGAAAACAAAAAATACTGACTTGTTGTTTGAAAAAATCTCAACTATCGCACTTGAAAGAGAAAAATAGATAGCCTTAAAGCCATTTGAATTTCAAATACAATTCTTGATTGACATTTTTTGCTTGCATTAACTGAATTTCGAAAAACTGGATTGATGGGTAAGTTTTTAACTTCACTGGAAAATCTTAAAATTAACTTCCTTTTTCGAAACCAGAATTCGATCGTTTTTCGTGACCTTACACTTTTGCTGTTCGATAGTCGAGTCAACCTTCCTAGTAACTAAGTAAATGAACTTATATATAGCTTTTACTGAATAGCCATCAAGACCTATATCAGATTCTGAACTATGCTCATCGACTCTTAAATGCCTTATGATCAGATGAATAACGAGCTTTAAAGAGGAGCACTTTAAACTTAAATCAACTTTTGCGTTTAAAAAACCCAACCATAAATTAGACAGCTTTAAAAAAAGCTCGAGCAACTCTAAGACTATAAGCAGTTTTAGGATAATATTGTTCATTTGCTTCAAAACATTTCCAAATACTCTTTTTTGAAAAACAAACTCCAATACTTTGTTTTCCGAAATTTTTCAAAACCTGACTTTTCTTTCAGAAAAATATGATTTCATACATTTTAATACAGAGTCGAAGCTGAGCTCCGCACCACATGAGATACAAAAATGAACTGATTAAAATCAGAAAATAAATTTAGAAAAAATTGAAAAAAAAACATTCAAATAACCGATAAAAATAACCTTTTTCTCGATACAAATTGCAAGAAAAGCCCAAAATGTCCGAAACAAATTTTCCTAATTTACAAGCAGCTTTCTGAAATGTACAACGCCAAATTTTCTCTGCAGAACTAAGCCGACAAAAATCAAAACCAATTTTTCAGATTGCCAAAAAAAAACAGGCCTCGATCGCAACGGAACTCCCGGACTCTGTCGTCTCAGGCATGTAACAGTAACTTCAGCAAAAAGTCGCGATACGAGAACTAAGCCGACACAAATTAACAGACGGACCATATTCCAAAAAAGCGCCATAACTATTTCTAAAAAAGCAAGTACCAGCAGAACTCGAACCAAAAGCCTTTAATGTCAAGCAGTTGCGTTGCCTTTACACCAGATGGTTGAGTTAATTTATAAGTAGCAAGCGATAACAAAAGCCGAAAACAGATGAGCATAAACCCTTCATTTCAAAAAATTAAACATAGCCAATCGAAGATTGGAACAGAGTAATGAAAACAAGAACGCATAAAAAAATATCTTATGTCGCATTTCCAAGAAAAAAATAGATACCTTTTAAGCTCTTTGAATTTCTAGAACAATTTATGACTGGCACTTTTTTGATAACATGAACTCAAGTAGAGAAAACTGCAAGAAAAACCCATTCAACGGGAAAAATGACAAAAACTGGAAAAAAAATGAAATTTTAACCAATCGATTTGGAAAAATAACCAGAAAAAAAGAAAATTCACTTAAGCCGGATATTTATACTGCTAACATGCTCAAATCATGTCCATGACAACAGAAAGGCCCCGAAGATGAATTAGTCCAGAATATGTTCCAGGAAATGTTCCAAAAACATGACTATGACTTATTCGAGAACGAACAGTTAAACACATGCAGGATTTCTTCGCGAATGAAAAATTGAAAACAAATTTTGTACGTATTTTAATTTTTCGCATTAAAAAGCGTCCAGGAGAACTTTCTTTACACATGCAAAAAGTATACAGAACTGTGCACGCTGATGAAAATTACATATAAATATTGCCTACTACTTCTAAAAAATATATCTTGTTCATGCCATTACTAACAATTACTAGCTCCCTATGGTTAAATTCTTGTGACATTAAACTGAGTACCGGCAAGCGTTTTAAATGATAGAGAAACATGACTTGTTTTTAGAGATGACAGAAACTGCAATTGTTTTGAAAAAGCAGCTATGTCAGCCTTTCAAATTTAATTTTTCATTCTCTCAGGCTGTAATGAAGTTGTTTAAAAGAACGTGGAAAATTGCACACAAAAAAAATCGATTTTAAGACAGCTCGTTAGCACGCTGGCAAAGATTTTAACAGCTAGGAATAAGTTACGTTCAAACAATGGACAGAACTTCATTCAGCAAATAAGAAAAAAATACAGCTAGGCAGAAAAATGTCTTATTCGTTTAAAATCTATAAAAAAAAAAGATACCACAAACCATCAAAACATTGATCTTATTTCTCAGCACGAAGCTTATTCAGTAGTTTTTATCAGCAATTGTGCTTTATATCAAAAATCTTCTGACGTCTCACGAAGAAATTTCACCGCCTTTTTCACATTGAAGGGTCAGATTAAATAAAACTAAACATAAGTTTCATTTTCACCCTAGTTGTCAGTTAACTATTTTCTGGTTGCGTTAGTATTTTTCGTTACAAGTTGTCACTATACCGGTCAAATAACTTCGATTGAGTCAAAAAAATTGGTTCCTAAAAACCAAACACAGCCAGCAGAGAGTTGGAAAACAGTGAATGGACGCAAAAATAACAGTATATTCTCAAGCAGTTGTTTTAAGCCTAGACAAAAACTAAAGGCTTGTTTTCTTTTAAATAGAAGTTCAATAAAAAACACATAGCCTTAATTTTCCTTGAATTTCGTAAAACAATTTATGATTGGCATTTTTGATTAAGTTGACACAACTTGAGAAAATTGGTTCAATTGGTGAAATTTTTTTTCCGCGTGGACATCTGAAACTTTAATTTAGTCTTCGAAACCAGAAGTCGATCATATGTTTAGTGATCTTTACACTTGTTCGATAGTGAAGTTTGCTTTTTTCACACAGAGGCGAAGCTGAGCTTCGCAGACACAAGCGAGGAAAATTCAAAAAAGCGCTCAAACAAGCCAACAAAAAAGCAGCAACAATTCGAAAACAAAACTATGTCAATGTTCCGGATTTTATCTCCGACCTGATAAATAGGAGTGTAACTGATGTCCTTGCATTTGCAACACGGTTATTTGGAAGTAAACTAGTGTCCCAGCTAATGCAGGATGTTCCTGTTTTAACATTTTTATTCATATATTTTTTTGTTACGGAAATGCGACTTTCAATATTTCAAAAAATTGGACTTTAAGCAAAAGTCTAGTAGTTTCTCTGCTCAATTAGGCAATTAGCTGCTTATTTAAAAGAAAAAAACTACAAATTGCCCTTCCAGTTGATATCTTTATCTGAGAGTTGGCTGGTCAGTTTTCGAAAAAATTGGGGAAAAAAATCCAAAAAACGATCAAAAGAGCAAAAAGTCAAACAACTTGACTTTTCCTCAAACTTTTATAAACTTGGATAAAATGAAATTTCCCGAAGTCCATATCGGCTTTTCTTGAATAAAATAGGGTAAAGCAGATGACGCAGGGAAAATCCAAGCACCATGTAAGTTTGATTTAACTATCAACATCAAAATAAGGAGGTTAGCTTTTGAAAAAAAGCCTGGCAGCTAGAGCAGGAAGGACTATGGAAGATTCATATGTGGAAGATTCATATATGAACAAATGCTATCGAATTGCTTATGTTTAACACAGAGGCGAAGTTGCACTTCGCATACACAAGCAAAAATATGACCGATAACGCTACTGGGAAAAACTGAATGAAAAAAAACTTTGAGTCTACAAAATTTTATAACTGACGCACGCCAATTATGAGTCTACATAATTGCTAAGTGACGCAAGCCAATGAAGACGCATTAGCAGTACCAGTCAATTTGAAAAAACAAATTTACCAACTAACATGCCTCAATTTATAGAGCTGACGCATTTAAACTAGTATACGAAAAAGTTCATTAAAAACATCCGACCCTGCCCAGGTTCGAACCCTCTTGTTTTGCTGCTGGTCTCTTTCTCTACCTCTACGCTACACATCCATGATGCCTTAAAGCTAAAGTGCTATTTGTAATGTAATAGTCTGTGTTAATATCCTTAGCATTGGCTGTACTTAATTGCTGGATCAAAATGAACACATTTCGTCGCAACCATTGCATCGCAACAATATTTGCGACTTAGGCTGGAAAAAAAGAAAGGTCATACTATAAGGCAAGCTATGCTTGTGGTATTAGGCTTAAATATGACTAGCGTGTAACGCACCTCCGGTGCTTCGAATTTTCAACAACTCAAAAAACTATTCTTTGAGTACACTCTGACAGCACCCAATTACAGGGTTCGTATTTACAAAATTCGCAAAGTTTTTTACTACCGTTTTTTTATACAAATTTTGAAGAACCATAAAATTTTGTACAGTTTTAAAAAATATCTTCGAAAAAATGAACTAAAAAACGTCACATCTGGGAAACTGAAAGCAATTGAGCAGTCGCATTTGAAAGATTTCATAAATCATATCTCGAAAAAGAAAAGGATTTGAGCAGTCATATGTGGAGGCAAAATTCGCGAACCCTGAGAGTTCCCTCAAATTTTCAACAACAGGATTGCAATCTTCAAAGTTTTTGTCATATCTCGAAAACTACAAGGAATTGAGAAGTGAGATTTGGAGGCAAGATTTGTAACCCCTGAGAGTACCCTGACAGCACTCAACTACAGGGTCAGAATTTCAAAAATTGAGAAATTTTTTCTAAATTAAATGTTCTAGAAATTTTGAAAAATCTCAAAATTGCCTATCTCGTAAACTAAAAGGATTTGGTTATTCATATATGGAGGCCAGAATCGCAAAAGCTGGGAAAACTGACAAATTCCTATTATTGGGTTGCTTATTTCAAACTTGATGAAATAAACACTGAATTTAAATTGGAAAATTGAAAAAAAAACCTTAACCATTGCAATATACGATATAGCTTAAACGTGAAAAAATTCTTTTGTTAAACATGCTAAAATAATACGTTGAAAAAGCTTAAACATGGCGAGATAGTGAAGCCCGAATTTAAATATATAATAGATTATTTTAAAATATACCAAATGAGCACTCAAAGTTTATTCCACGTAAACAAAGGAAATGAACTGATTTTAAATGAAACCATGAAAAATCAAATTGAGCCCGAAAGCCTGAAAGAACGAAAAAAAATCGTCAGCACTATGTGAAAGTCTGAACTACAGGCAACGACTCTTAATAATCCGAACCTTTTCCGAACAAAGAAACAATCACAAGACTTGCATGGACCACTTAAAAACCAATAACGATCCCTAGATAAGTAGTTAATATGTAGGTGGTATATTAAAAAACTTGGAAATGATAAATTAACAAAAATGACCATTCTGTGTACAAATTTATTTATGGGTGAAAGTTTTGTACTCGATGGTCTTATCGCAAGGGTAAATATGAAAGATATTCAAGAATCTGAAACAAACTTGAGATTCTTCAATTCATGATTCTTCAAATTTTAAAGAGTTTAAAGCGATTTCGATCGATAGTCAAGGTAAATTTACCCATAAACAAAAAGCGCAATGTTACCTTGTAACACCATCTCAGTCATGTTCACTTGCTGCCTGGTGATGTTGGTCAATACCACTTCTGGTGGCAACAGAGGGTGCTGCATGCCAGAGGAGCCAGGAGTAGTGGGACTCATTAGATTACTTTCTGAACCTCGAACGCCCCCACCCAAATTCATGACTGGCTCACTCGCAGCTGGAGTTACACATGTGGGACCTTAAAATTGATGCTCTGGATTAGACATCACTTCACTGCCCAACACAATGTAGATACCTGATACTTCCGAATTCAAAAGAAATTATTCTGGCTTCTTATTTCACTTTCTAAGACTTATGGATTCCCCTTTAGGACACTTCTGAAGACGTGACTACATTTTGCTACCTGATCCTCCTCCGACTGAGTTAGCAGCTGTGTGCATGGGGGCCATAAAGCCGGAAGTGGCCGGAGAGAGACTATTCATCAACTCCAGTCCCATCCCCATTCCCCCTGGTGGCAGTGCATGATGCATAGGGTGCACGTGTTCCATAGGCACAGGACTACCTTGAACCATGCCTCCGTTGGCAGATGACAAAAACATGTTGCGATTGCTGAAACAGTGCTCACTATTGAAATCCTTTACTATACAATCACCAGTCAAACTTTTGCCCTTTATTCTCTTTATATCCTTAACATAGCTTTTTCTTCCGAAAAAGATTTATGAATAACCAACCTTGGCAAAAAAATTCGAATAAACTTGTCAAGAAACACAATTGCCAAGCACGGAGACGTAACCGAGTCAAATAACAAGGAGACGAAACAAAGATATTCAAATTGCTTATATCACACAGAAATTTGATGCTTTGCTAAGTTAGCCGATGAAAATGAGAGGACCAGCGATAGTCTTACCCTAAAAATTTTCCTAGAAAACAATTTTCAATATGAAAAAACAGCTCCCGGTCGGAATTGAAATCAGCACCTTCATCGTCCCAAACATAGGCGTTTCGAAGAATTTACTTGAGTTGTAACACGCGGAACCGTCAGGCTAAACGTGCAGAAACTATTATTTGAAATGAACATCACATCATACGTGCGATTCTATCGGCAAAGTTGTTTATGGGAAACACGTCAGGCATCCGATTACAATATTTTTGCAAAACGCTAAGACAAAAATCAAAATTTTTCTGGGTAATATTTGGAAGCGCAATACTATCCGGTGATTCCAAATTTACCAAATTTAACAAAACTATTTTAAAGACTTGAATTTGACTGAGTTTTCTAAAGATAATCAGCTAATAAAATCTTCAATCATCTCGTTAAAATTACATCCGCGAATTCATCAGCTTTCGTTTAATTCAATCCTTACCTGCTCCCCATTTTATTGAGCAGTCCGTGACTCATGTTAGCATTATTGTAGTCAGGTGGCTGCAACTGAGTAAGAGAAGACACAATGCCATTCGCAGCGTCCACTCCCCCTCCCCCCGTACGAGGGAGGAATTGACTGCCGTGATTGTTGCTGCCCCCTATTATTGTACCACCGCCAGTTGAAGATGAGTTCGATCTGAACAAAGAACCTGTTTTTTTATTATTCCCGCGGAAAAACTATTCTCAAATTAGACAAATTGTAACTCAAAATTCTGGGGCGAAAATGTCTTTTGGAGATGCGCAACTAACTGCTAACTTATCAACATAGCCAGCGGACAGTTGCAAAAGAGTACTAAACGCAAGTAAACAGAAAAAAAACTTAGTTGAAAAAGTCTAACTTTCGAAATTCAAAGAAAAAAAATAGATGCCCTTTAAGCTCTCTGAATTTCTAGAAAAATTTATGATTGGCGCTTTTTTAACACCATTAACCCAAGTTGAGAAAACTGGATCAAAAGGTAAAGTTTTTATTCCGCTGCCAATTAAATTACACTTTCGGGACTAGAAGTCAATCATAATTTTCGTGGTCTTTACGCTTTTGATGTTAGTGGAGTTAGTCCTTTGAACAAAAAATGAGCTGAATTATATGCCATTTCCACGTTCGTATTTGGAGAGTGCTATTTGCGTAACTTTCAGCAGATAAATTTTAATTTAACTCAAAAAGTGCATATACAGTGCTGATTTAAGTTAACCGGAAAAAACGAAAATTTGAAATTTCAAACTCGTTTTTCTCAAATTGGGTTGATGTTAGACAAAAAATGAAGAGAACAAAAATTGCTTAGATTGTCCCCAGAATTAATAAGGTGCATTTTTTCTCAAAATAATTCTCAACCAAAATATTACCCCTAAAATGGGTCATTATGGCTCTTTTCAATTAATCAAACATTACGCTGAAACTACTTCGTTAATTGATGAAAAATATATATCACAAGAAGCCTCTTACACAGCCCAACAAAGTTCTATAAGGGTTAAACCTCCAAAAACCAGTATACGAGAAACTATTTTTGCTTGATATTCAGGAAACGTGATTTTTACTTATATAAACCCAAAATCTTTGCTTAAAAACAAATTTTAAAGTATTTACTCAAAATTTTGAAGATTCAACTTTTCTGGAACTCTGTTGGGCTGTGTGAAAGACTTCTTGTGATATATATTTCTCATCAATTAACAAAGTAGTTTCAGCGTAATTTTTGATTAATTGAAAAAAACCAAAATGAACCATTTTTGGGTTAAAATTTTGAAGAAGAAATTGTACCATATGAATTCTGGTGAAATTCTAAGCAAATTTTTTTGTCTAATCTTAACCCAATTTGAGAAAATGCGTTTGAAAATTCGAGTTTTGTTTATTTTGTCCGGTTAATTTAAATCAGCACTGTAAACCTAAGTTCATTCATAAATGCATTAATATGTATGAATGCTTATCTGTAGTTATTAGAGCATTTTAAGACTTTTTTCTGAAAAAAAATCACCAAAACCTATATAAAAGTCTTCATTACTCAAAATAACGAAAAAAGATGACTGTCCTTACAAAGTCATTATGTAAATACTCCACCTAACTTCGGCCAATTTACCAAAGATGTGAACTTACCTGTAGTTGAGTTGTGATGCTAGAACTGATTCGCTGAATTGTCCGCTGAGAAGAAGAGCGGCCCTCTGCTGCTGCTGACTTCCACGTACATTACTCATGTTCATTTTGAAAGACCTAAAATTACCAAAAAATGAGGATCGAAATGAGATACAAGAACTTGCGGCGTACTTTAGCAGAGCCCGGAAATGAGAAAAAACTCTGAATCTATAAGGTGCAAACTCGTAAGTTCAGATAATGATTGCACATTTCGTAATTTTTTTTTCTGAACTCGCACTCACTGTGCAGTAGCTGCCCCTGAGGCGCCATTTGGCTTCATGTCCCTCAGATGGTAGAAAGACACTGCCAGCGTGGACACGACAACTAACAGGAGAGTGGCCAGAGCAGAGCACAAAAACACAGCCACCGAAGACATCTTCATTCTAGTGCCCACTCTCGCCACTGTTGACACCACAGGCTCTATACAGGTAGAAAGAAAGAAGAAAAATTTATTTATCCAAATCATTTCAAAGTAAGAAATTTCATCAAAAATTACAGCAAGAATTTATTAGCACCTAAATTTATGAAAAGAGACTAGGAGAGGACAGACAACGGGACTAATGTCTACTTTACAGTCTGCTTGATATGATTCTTCATTGTATTGTCAACAATTTCTTGGAGAGAAAAAAATTATGTTTATTCATACTTATTTTGCAAAACTGACATTTTTTGACATTTGATATTTTGCAACATTTCTACTGACCTACATGAATAGGAAGAACGGAGAGTTGGCGGCAACTTGCTTTTTCAAGAACTTAAGTAAAATTGAGATTGACCTGTACGGAAACATTGAAAAAAGATAAAAGGCAAAAAATGACAACGACAGAAGTTTTCTTGCTAAAACTTTCTGTTCAAATAACATAATTTTTTCTCATAACTTGAAAAGAATCTTCTATTTCTGTGTTTTTGTCCTAGAAAAAAGCAACGAGTACCACCCCACCTGGCTTGAGTCTGCACACTTTGATGACGGTGAATAGGACGGTCCTCGAGTTGATCTTGCTACCATTATCACCCAGACCCCCCTTGGACATGGCGGCCGAACTGTACATTGCTGCAAAGGTGAAGTTCAGTTTCAGTTCTACCGAGTAGGTCGAGTCGTCTCCTGGTGACTTCGAGGTCTGTTTAGTGTTGTCGGAGGAGTGAACAGATTGTCCCGGTGACTCATGGCATGACACGAAGATGGACATTTCTGCAATAAATCAAAGAATAGCACTTAAGAACCAACTAAATTTAGTTGCCTGATTATTTCCAATAGAAGTTTACGGCAGACAATCTGTCAAGGAAATACGTTTCTTTGATCATTATTAAAACCATAAATATCATTTTTTGGCTACTTAAAATATCGAAACAATTCATAGCTGTTACGATCCTGAGCTCCAATATCTCAAATGATTGCGCCAGTACTCATTTTAATTCTACTAATTGCGCAGGTGAGCTTCCTAAAATTCATTCGCACTTCAGATATCTTCAAGCGTTGAATATTCTCGGTTGACAATTATTTGGATCGTAAAAATATGGTATCTGGCTCAGCTGTTCTTCACTTTCTTCATAGGCACTAGTGGTAAAGCGTTCACTTTCAGATAGTCAGACCAAAAAAATTGCATGTAGTTCTTAAGCAGGGGCACAACAGCGGTTCGCCGTGATGAGCTGTACAGCTCGTATGTTGGTCCTATCCCTCGTGGATAAATGATCTTAATAATAGCTCTCACTTAATCTCTAGCTTCAGGTCTACCACAGCCTGGCCGACTTCGACTGTAATAGTGGCACCCCGTGAAAATTCTACACGCAAAAAAACGACCTTGAGTTTCGCTAGGCAAAATAACTCGTCTAGTATGAGGGGAAACCTTAGAAATTGATTAATTTTAGACAGGCTGGATAGCGTTTCATATATCCTCTGCGAATCGCAGACACTAAAATTATTACTCACTTCCCCACTTGTTTGGGTCGTTGTTGAAGGACGAGTGCTCCTCGCTCCAACAAGGTGACTCCACTTTGCAGTTCTCTGGCCGGCTGAAGTTATACCACACCATGCCCAGACTGTCATTTACAATTGTGGCTCTGGTCTCGAACAGGAGCACCAGAAGAGGAGATACAAACATAAGTTGCACCTGGTTAACCTCTGGTTCCAACGTGATCGGACGTCTTAAAGCGCCTCGCATCGCAATCCCATTTCTGATGAAGTGCATTTGACCCCTGATACCTGAAATTAACTCAACTCTTATTATCATTTTCCTGCCGATCGCCATCTCATAAACAACATTTCCTGGAAAAAACTGAATTCCGCGTGAAAGACTTCATAAGTCTTAATATTTGAAATCCAGATACGTAAACAGATCACACTATCTGGTGTCAGCAATAAAAAACAATACTTCGCAGTTCATTTCAGCTAATTCATTAGTAACACCAGTGTGCCACATAATGGAATCAGAAATTGTTATAATGGAACTTTGGCAAGCAAAATATGCAAAATTCTTTGTCTTAGTTTTAACAAGCAATCTGGACGACTTGATTCTGTTTTTGTTATACTGTGTTGGTACAGAGATGGTGGTAGCAGTTACTAACCATAGAGATCGTAGCAGTTCTCTTCGGGCATGTAGAGATCTAACTGGGTTCCCTTCATCAACTGGTCATCTTCATCTCCCTCTTCTAGAGAGATGAGTTTGTTCACTGACCTGCCACTTTCTACAGTGGACTGGACAACATCCAATACACCCAGAGAGAGAAAGACACTGAGTGACAGCAGGGAACAGCCAATCACAGTCCTGCTCTTCATTTTAGTCAGTCCGAGCGCCAGAGGTCTACATCAACCTCACTTGACTAGGCAGTGTCAGTTAAGATGCCGGCTCATTATTACTTATTTTTGATTGGTTTCAATTCAAATCTGAAACAAATCTTTCGATGAATTTTAATAGGGTTATCGCCAGCTTTTGATAGCTACTTGCAGTCAAATCATTATTTCCGCTTAAAATTGCCTTTGTGAGCACATCTGATTGAAGTGAAAGACAATCACAGGACTAAGACCAGATTTAATTGACACTTCAATTTCAAAAGTTACGGAGTCGATACTACGTCGATCAATCATTAGCTTATCAGATTTCAACATCAACACTACCGCTCGCATAAACAATCAACCTTTTTTTTCAATTTTCATTTTGTTCTGATCATCGTAGGTGAACAATTTTTTGTTTCAGGCAGTTTTCGATGATCGAAACATCAGTTTTAGACAGCATCCAAAACAGTTCAATGACGACAATTTCCAACAGCAGTCATTTTTGTAGTTTTAATCGTTTACAATTTCGCACAGGAGAGGCTACTTTTTTCGCACAATTAAAATTGAACGGAACTCTAAACGCAGCCAACAGACAGTTGGAAAAGAGTCAATGAACGCAATTAAACAGAAAGAAAACTGACTTATGAAAAATCTCAACTTTCGAATTTCAAAAAAAAATAGATGCCCTTGAAGCTCTTTGAATTTCTCGAACAATTTATGATCGGCACTTTTTTCGAACTATGAGAAAACAGGATCAATAGGTAAATTTTTCATTTCCCTGGGAAATCTGAGAGATAAATTCCACTTTTGAAACTATAAGTCGATCAGTTTTTCGTGAAAAAAAAACAACAGAAACACCAAGACCTATTTAGAGTACTGACTACGTTCATTACTCTTAACAAAAAAATACCCCAATTACGGTAATCAGATTAACATAAAAATATGTTTTCAGAAAGAAAAACGATGTTTCAAGTGATCTCCGCTTGTGAATAATTCAATTTGAGCAACCACGACTTTTAAGACTTTTTCCTGAAAAAATTATCATGGCCTACATAACTGATAAATCATTTCGTTCATTTGCAATTAACACGTTTTAACAGGATTTTAATATTTGAGAAATATTTCTGCCCTCAGCTCCAGCCGCGACCAATTTTCGGGAGTTTGAAAAATGACAATTTGTCCAACTTTGTTAACTTCTAAAAATTTTTCTAACACAGAGGCAAAGCAAAAAATAATAAAACATTGCAAGTTAGCAAACAGAAAAAAAAAGAAAGCCAGTAAATCGAAAAACGTTTAAAAAAGAATGAAAAAACATACAAATATGAAAATCCGAATTTCGTCTCAATAATTTTCAAATGAATACTCGGAAATTTAGCAAGAGTTCAGAAAAGTTTATCTAGCGGCAAATAAAGGATGAAAATCCATTCTTTTTGAAAGGCGCAAAATTAAGTCACTTACCTATTAATTCATTATCAGAAACCGTTTAGACGGATTAAAGCCTTAAAATTAAAAAAAAATCAACGTTCAAACCGCAGATAGCGTTCAAACCGTGGACACCTTTTAGAGCTTTAAAGATATTTATTGCGCTGGGCTCCAGCTGCGACCAATTTTCAGAAAAATACGGGGATTTGAAAATTGTCAATTTGTTCTGCTTGTGTTAATTGAATACAAATTTCTAACCCAGAGGCGAAGCAAGCATTAAAACGCGTAGCAAGAATCAGGCTCAGATAATAATCCGAACTGAATTGAGGCACTATTTAAATAAAAATAATGTTTATGACGAAAAATTAATCATTTCGTAATCAGTGCGTACTAAATTTTTGGTGTAAAACCCTCCGAAAACTGGCATCTCATAAAATTCTTTTATCTTTAACCACTCACGGATATTTTTCAGACTCTCTACGGGAGGTATCCGAACTTTTTTATCAAAATTTTTGTCGACCATTTTCTAGGTCGAACAAAATGATTTTCAGAGCTCTCCCAAAAAAATCAAGACGCTATACTTTATTTTGAGAATATGTTAAATTTTGAGTCACTGTTAAGGGCGGTTTTTACAAATTGGCTTATGTATAGTGTCTTGTGGGACTTCGGAGCTTAGGTTCAAGAACTGATTTTTTCCAAAAATGCCCTTTTCGCGCTTTTAGATCCAACAAGTGTGAAAATCTTCAAACGGCTCTTTTTATTAATAGCCTACATTATTTTACTTTTACATCTCGTGCTCACATAGTCCAATTGTTACACTAAATAATCAAGATATTCCATCAATAGTTGGTCTTCATGCCTAACCTCGTTGGTCTTCTCACCACTCTTTACTCTGTATCATTGACTGATAAGTGAAATTTGGCAAAACGTCATTGAACGCGATGAAACCGAACTTTCGAATTTCAAGAAAATACAAGTGCTTCGAGTAAATTATGATTGACTTTTTTGGATTTACAAAAATACTTAATTTGACAAAACTTGATCACAAAGTAATTAACTTTATTCCGCTGGGAAAACTATAATTTGAATCCAATTTTGAACTAGATGTCGATCACGTTTTTCGAGCTCTTTACAGTGAAAAAAAAACATGCATTGAAAATTTTCAAACTTTAACAGAAAATTCCTCCAGCAAGTTCAAACAACTCCCCCCTCTCTCCTCCCAAAGAAAGTCCAAGTGAATATTTTCAACTCCAAAACTCTTATTTGAGCTTTGCAACTTAAAATCATGGCCAACAAGCAATTAGAAAAAAGTCAATTAACGCAAAGGAAACAGAAGAAAAGCTGACGCAACTTCAAACTTTGAAATCCAAACTTAAAATATATGTCTTTAAAACTATATGAACTTCACAAACAATTTATGATTAAATTAGCTCTAGTTCAATAAGCAAAGTTTTTATTCCGCTCCAAAATCTGAAAACTAAGATCCACTTTCGAATTTAGATGTAGATTACAATTTTCGTGACCTTTACGCTTTTACTTTTTGATAGTTAAGTTTGTCTTCCTTTAACAATGAACTGAACGTAAAAAGAAAATATAAGTCAAACTGCGAAAAATCAAATTTTCCAAAAAAAAACCATCAAGAAAAAAGTGTCAAAAAAAGTGTCTTCTTTCGTTCAATGAAACTTGAAAAATATTATTCAAGCAAAAGAAAAATTTAACGTCGGCTCAACAAATTTAGGCTTAAGGAAAAATCTAATTCATTTTCCAAACGTTTTGCGTTTGGTTATGCGCAAATTACTCGTTTCTGATTGGTTCAAAAATAAACAATTTGTTCAGTAATTAAGTGAATGAATCTCCTCCTGAAACAAAATTGGTATGGGGGAGATCGCTTTATTGGTCCAACTATTAAAGATTATTTATATTAAAAAAGCAAAACTGTGAGCAAACAGGCCTTTTTCACAATTTCTATATTTCTATATGCGGCTTTGGTCACACCAATACAAACTGGAAAGCTATTAAGCTCACAAGCAAATCCACTGATTTTTTCACAATAGCTAGAAATGCAAATGAGTCAGTTCACTTTAACAATTCCAACGGATTTCATCTAAATACGGTAGAGCTACTACATTAACACAGATGCGAAGCTGAGCTTCGCAAACACTAGCGAGAACACGACAAAAAAGCAGCTTTATGAAATTAAATAACAGATAGAAATAAGCCTCGAGTTAGTAAAACTCGACTAAGTGTGGGCTTCGAGCAATTCTCAAACCTCAAGAATTGGAGTCTCACGCCCTGCCCTCTCGGCCACCAACGCTTAACAACCGGCAAACATTAGTCACAAATAAAAACAGCTATATATGCGAACACATTGCTAATGATATGCAGCAAAAGTGGCAACGAAACACACTAATTTTGCATGCAATTAAATGAAAAGCAGAAAACCACATTAAGTATAAATTATGCATTTCAAAAAATTGCGAGATATAATCGATTAGAAAAATTCTGAAACCCGAGCTTTAATTATTGTTATGTTCTTTGAAACAAATAGCTTTTTTCGGTTTATTTGATGAATTAGAAATGTATCAACTGTGTTAACTTATTACTACTCGAATGTCAAAGCACATGCTATCAAAAAACCGTCAATATTTGCGACTCAGGTTAGAAAAAAAGAATAGTCGTAGTATAACACCAATGATGAATTAGAAATGTATCAACTGTGTTAACTTATTACTATTCGAATGTCAAAGCACATGCTATCAAAAAGCCGTCAATATTTGCGACTCAGGTTAGAAAAAAAAAGAATAGTCGTAGTATAACACCAATGAAAAGCAGAAAACCACATTCAGTATAAATTATGCATTTCAAAAAATTACGAGATATAATCAGTTAGAAAATTTCTGAAACCTAGTTTCAATTATTGTTATGTTGTTTGAAACAAATAGCTTTTTTCAGTTTATTTGATGAATTAGAAAAGTATCAACTGTGTTAACTTATTACTATTCGAATGTCAAAGCACATACTATCAAAAAGCCGTCAATATTTGCGACTCAGGTTAGAAAAAAAAGAATAGTCGTAGTATAACACAAGCGCTCGCTAAAGCTATTTGTTTGAAACAAATAGCTTTTTTCGGTTTAAATGATGAATTAGAAATGTATCAACTGTGTTAACTTATTACTATTCGAATGTCAAAGCACATGCTATCAAAAAGCCGTCAATATTTGCGACTCAGGTTAGAAAAAAAAATAGTCGTAGTATAACACCAACGCTCACTAAAGCTGGCTAGTGTAAGCAGCTTAAGATAGAAAACTTTCTCCCAGACATTTTCGCAAGAATTAAGTCTCCTATAATCTCATCAAGACTAACTACTAACACAACATTAATGAAACTTATAACAACGCTGATCAAAAAGAAGGCAAAGACAGACAAATTTCTCAATAAACAATTCAACGATTTAATATAAGATATAGGAGTAAACACTATGATCAGGGGACTTAATGAGAATTTGGTAGTTAATTCCAAAAAATGCCAAATTTCAGTTCTTGAGAAAGCTTGAAAAAACTGACTGCTTTATTGCATTATAAAACAAACTACATGAACAATCATAGATACTTTAAAAAATACCGTAAAAAAACCCACGAAATTATTTCGAATATTTTTCAAAAGGCAATTCATTAAGTATCTGACCATACTTAGCATTAGCACCCAAACGATCCGGAAACAGCAGAGCTAAACCCTTTTTTCCATCGAGAAATATTCAGACTGGTTTGAGTGGGACGCAAAAAGAAGTCTACAAAAGCATCTCTCTCCATCTTCGCAGCAGGGTTCGAATCCCAGTACCTCTGCATGTTAGCCCATTGTGTCATGTGGCCTCCTAGTTGCATTTCTATGTGGCTCAAGTCCTTCGCAAAAGATTGCTTGCACTTTGAAAGCTCCGCTTGAGACTGCTTGAGGCGTGAAAGAGACGCCTCGCACTTTGTTACAGATTCCTCGCTGAAACAAAAACTTAGATCTACATTTCCAGTTTTAGAGGAAGCACTGAATTGATTCATTTTGTATAACTTCTACTCAATATCCACTCAAAAACAACAGCTACACAGACCCGCTGAAACGGACCCAAATTTTACATTGATCAGAAAATTATCAGCATCTTGAACACATTATTATTTAACACAGAGCCGATGACGAGTTTCGTTACACTTGAGATACAACACAAATACAGCATTGCAAGCTAGCGGATAGAAAATTCGAAACAAATATATTCACATCAAAATTATATATCGAAAATGGCCTTAGAATACGAAGTTACGCGCTTCACCACTAAACTAAGTGAAGAATGGGCCTGCAATTGAGAGAGGTTTTAGGAAAAAAGCAAGATTAGTTTCATATAAATTTGAAAAAAAAAGTCGAGTTCCCGATTACAAGTACACTTGCTTTCGCAAACAAACAGCTGAGACTATACCAATGAATTAAAGAAAACAAAAAAAGATGTATCACGTTAAAGCTCTTAAGTACACAGAGTCTAGTAGGTAATTTTTTTATTCTGCTGGAAAACTTAAAAATGATATGCATTTCAAAACTCGAAATCAGTCACATTTTTGCGCCATTTGCAAATTCATTTTCGCAAATGAATTTGAATTGAACTAAAGACATCAAAAGTCAAATCTCGAGTATAAACAATTTTTAAAACATTTTACTGAAAAAACTGACCTTAATAACTGTCTTCGCAATGCTCATTGCGAATCCTAAAAAAACACAGACCCCCAGCTTCTGTTTTTGTTGCGACCATTGAAAATGGCGAGTATTCGGGTGTTTTATTTATTTATTTTTTTGTTTTCCGCGCAAAAAAATCAAGTTCCACAAATAATCATTGAAATGAGTTGAGTGATATAACATATTAAAGCCTTTTTAGTCGTGATTCGAAAAACCGTGTCGAGAAAAACCGGTTTAAATTTTTCGTCTAATTTCAAGCAAAACAAATCGAGCGAGGAGGCTTGTAATAGGCTTAAAACGTTGTTTTAATTTTTCAAAAACTAACTATTACTTACTTTAACACAAGTGAAATCAGTTACCAAGAAGACGTTTAGCGCCTACTTGGGATTAAGAAAATAAAAACGAATCGACAAAAAATTCTGTAACAAAATACGCCTGACTTTTAAAAAATATAAATTTATTTAATATAAAGCACTGATGACAAATCTCCTTGATTTTTTTTACTATCGAAACTTTAGGCTTTCGTTTAGATTCTCTCGTCACACCAAAAACAAAAAACGACCCGGAAAAGAACTTAATATTATGGGGCTGGGCAAAAACTTTCTGGTGGCGGGGGCTTTCATTGGAAAGAGCCGGAATATTTGAACTTTTATGTCCGTAAACTCCGCAGGAAATTTCGTTTGGTTAATCAAATATGTGGCAAGCCTAGTCTGCCGAGAACTGGTGGACTGCAGAAACCAACTTCAGGTGCGTATACGCGAAAAAAAATTAGCTCGATAAAAATAAATCACATCGCTTTTTCTTCGTATTTGTGGTACGGTGTAGTACTGTTGCCACAGTAACCTTGAGAATAAGTGGTATTAATATTCTGTTATGTATTGTTAGTATTATTCAAGGCCATTCAGGCTGGCCGAACGCAACAGTCATTTGGACGTTTGCAATCTGAAGAGAGATATGAAAAGATAAACATGATCTCTTAACAAAAACCAAGTTTCAACAAGAGGTAAATTACAATTTATTACTCTTCTGTTTTATTACTAACTAACACCCATAGCATAGGAATATCACATGGCGCAGTCAGTAGGATTTATGTCCCAAGACAATAGAACGGATATGGGAATTCCTGTATTTTGGACTACCGCGAATTCCGACCCTCCGTGGAATTTTAAGATATGGCTAGATCAACTTTTACTGGCAGTAACAGTAAAGGAGAGCGTGAATCCGGAACTATTGTTAGAAGAACCAAAGGAAGTTTTGTTGGAACCGTTACCTAGGCCGGAGACTCCACGAGAATGCACAAGCGATTGCAGAGAGAGAGGCCAGAAACCAACTCGCACGGTACAAAATTCTTCTTGAAAACGATGAAAGAGCTAGAGGACCAAAGGTTGGACACAACGTATATTATAATGAAGTACAAAAAAAGGGTAGCCTCTAGATTATTCCTAGCGTTAGGAACAGAAGGGAAAAAGAAATTTGTACAAAAGAATCCGCATGTGGAAGTTTCAAAGTTAGAATTTCGAGAGATGGTTGCTTTGGCAAAGATTGCATTTGACAAAACACAAAGCGTTACGTATGAGCGTTACAAACTGTTTAATCGAGCTCAAGAAACAGGCGAAACATTAGAGGTCTTTCATGCAGCATTAACTGCCCAAGCAGCCAAAGCGGAGTTAGGAACACTTGAAGATGAACTAGTGCGTGATTTATTCATATCGAAAATGAAGAATGTGGCATTGCAGGACACATTAACATTTGAAACATTCTCACCAGAGGAAGTATTGAAGAGGGCATTGAAATTTGAACAGAGCAAACAGACAACTCAGGCATTTCAAAAAGCGAACTCACTGACTGCAAGTGCAGGTCAAATTCACGGAACAATGAAAATAAAGCAAGAACCAATCATGAATATTGGTAATAAGAATTATAATGGCAGGAGACAATCGAGCAATACGTACAAAAAGAAATCATACTCGGATAAAAGAGAGAGGAGAAATCCTATAGATTCGAAAACGTGTACTCGATGTGGTCGATTATTTGGAGAAGAGTGTAATTTGATTCAGTCATTTGACTCGTGCGATGAGTTTGAAATAATGGCTATCGAATTTTAGTTGTCGTCGTTAGAACAGATAGACGAATACATAAAACAGCAAGCGAATAGAAAACAAGAAACCAGGGACAGCGGTAAGGACATACAGAAGGTCGATATTCGCAGAAATACACGATCGCAACAAATAAGGTCATTGAAAGCTTTGGTGAGAATAGATGACCATTGATACCGGAAGTCCAGTATCGTTTCTTAATTGGGCAACCGCAAAGCAAATATTAGAGACTTCGAAAAATACGAAGTTCACTCCACGGGAAAATCTAAATTTGACTGCTCAATTTGTGGACTACAATAAACAGCCAATTAATATACTGGGCGCAATCACTACAACTATCCGTTCGGCAGGGTGGGAAGTAGTGGGAGCATCGTTCTTGATCATAGAAAGACGCACGAGATGTATATTGGGGCTGGATTTACAGAGCAAAGTGGGGATTCACACAACACAGAAGTTGGCACCCAAAGAAAAGACGAGGTTTGATGTATTGCTGTGCGAACAGTCAGAAGGTTGGAAAAATAAATTTTATAGTAAATTTAAAGACCTTTTTGATCGTCAGGGGTGTTCGAAGAATCATATTGTCAGTACAAAGTTCAAGTATCCACTTTGTCCCTTACAAGAAAAAGGGAGGCGAATTGCAATACACATTCAGGAGAAGGTGTATGAGGAAATGAAAAAACTGTTAAAAGAAGGGCATATAAAACGTCTGGACAAATGTACTAGTGATTGTTTTATAGCGCCTAATGTAATAACAGTGAAAAAAGATGATTCCATAAAATTGGCCCTAGATGCAAAACCCATAAACAGACAGTTATTCAAAAATAAATATCAAATGCCTAATGTTGATAAATTACTGGATGGAGTCAGCCAAATAGTTACAGCAAATACAAACGGCACGCTGTATTTCTCAGTACTAGATTTGAAGTACGCGTACAGTCAACTCAAACTGACTGCAGAGACAGCTAAACAATGTAATTTTAACATCATAGGAGGACAAGCTACTGGAACATACAGATTCCTGACCGGATTCTATGGCCTGGCAGACATGCCGGCGGAGTTCCAAAAGGCTATGGATAGAACGTTAAATCATGTGGAAAATACATTCTGTTTTCTGGATGACATACTCATTGTGTCAAAGGGAAGTGCAGAAGAACACGAAAAATTGATTATGAACGTACTGGAAAAGTTAGACAAAGAAAACTTGGCACTAAAATTATCGAAATTTGAATTCTTTTAGAATGAAGTAAATTGGCTGGGTCATAAGTTATCGCTGGACGGTATTTCACCAAAAATAACAAAAAACGGAAGCGATATTGAAGCTTAGTCCGCCAACTTCTTTGAAACAACTCAGGTCATTTCTGGGTAGCATAAATCATTTAGCTAAATTCATACCCAACGCGGCTAATCTGACTGATAAACTGAGACCTCTCATGCGAGAAGAAAATGAGAAGAAAAAACTCAAAAGCGTGAAAATCCAGGTTAAAAAATTCGAATGGGAGGAAAAACATTCGGAGATTTTCGAATCGATAAAAGCAGCGGTTGCGAACATAACCAACATTCACTATTACGATCCTAAGTTGGCTACTAGGGTAAAATGTGATGCCAGCCACAGTGGGCTAGGTGCATCGTTGGAACAACAAGAAGTGGAGGGGGAGTAAATACCGATCGCATTTGCGTCGAGATATTTAAACACACAAGAAAAAAAATACTCCACAAATGAGTCGGAACTGCTAGCAGTAGTATGGTCGGTTGACCGATTTGAACACTATTTGCTAGGAAAAGAATTCGTGATAGCCACAAACCATAAAGCACTTGTTTCTGCCCTGGATGAAAATAAGTCAAATAAAACCTACCAATCTAGGTTAACCAGATGGGTAGACAGACTATTACCCTATCAATTTAAGGTTATTCATATACCAGGGAAAGATATGGGGATAGTAGATTATTTGTCTAGAGACCCGAAGGGTGAACCGTGGCCGGAATCAGTATTGGATGAAAAATTTGTAGTCACATCGATTGAAAGCTTTCATAAAGCTCTCGACTGTTTACACAGTCGACTGAGTGATCACGATAGACTCGACCGGAACGAAAACGTTCTAGAATATTCTAGAATTGATCAAAATGTATCAAATCAGAACATGTCATCCAACAGTTGCTATGGCAACCAAAACGGTTTAAAATGGA